GCCTCTGTGCTGACACCCACCATTACTTGCAGCCCTTGTGGCTTCTCTCTGTCCTGTGCACACTTTCTAAAGACTCCCTTTGTTAAACTCTCTTCACATCATCCATCTGTTTTCCCACTAGGCCTCTGGGGCATACAGAACATGTTTTAGGATATTTTTGGCAGTGAGCAATAGAAACTCCAAAATGAGAGTAGCTGACACAAGATAAAAGCTTTCATCATTCCCCTCCCTTGGAGACAGAGTCTAGAACTCAAGATCCTCCTGCGTCAGCCTCCCAAATGCTGAGAATACAGGTCTGCGTCACTCTACCTGGCTCTAAAACTTTACATCTTACATAAACTAAATTTGGTATTAAGCAGTCCAGTATGGTGGCTCCATGAACATCAGATCCCCTGCATATCTAGTCCTATGTCGATGAGGAGGCTATGTTCTGATAAATGCATGGTTAGGGGCTTGCGTGGTTGTATGCACAGTAAGGATGGTCTAGCCTGCTATTCACGTAAGCTACATGACATAGCCTGTTACTGCCCTGCCACAAGGCTCGATCCACGCTGCCAGGTTGCTCCTGCTGGATTTGCTTGGGCAAGTAATTTTCCTCCACAATCAGCTTAGGTAGAGTTTCCAGAAATTCTTCAGCTGCCTTCACATCAGCACTCACCCGCTCACCCCTCACTTTCACATGATGCAATGAATAACGATTCTTGAACTGTAAACCTAGACAGTGGGAGGGTGTAACCCTATAGCTAGCAATGAACTCAAAATCATAGTTGGTTGCAGCCTTTTCTTGACATCAAAAGGAAACTTTCTGCTTTGGCCATGATTGGTGGGGTATGGAGAGGGACACTGTGCCTCTGTCTTCAAGCAAGGTCGTTAACGAGTTTCCCAGCCTGATGTCAGTGCTTCCCTATTTATCTCCAGAAGCAGATGCTTTAAAAGCTCCTGTCATTTTGCTCTTGTTCTTGGAGAGAATGGAACATGCCTGACTGCAGAGGAGTCACCATCATAATCTTTAATCACTTTCATGTGGGGAAAGTGGGAGGCTTCACTGTGAAGCCCAGGCTGGCCTCAGGTTCAAGACTCTCCTGTTCGGTTTCCTGAGTGCTGGAATTATGGGATATGGTGCCGACCACTTCAAGCATCATTTTCTTTTTCTTTCCTTTCTTTTCTTTTTTTCTTTTGGCAGTACTGGGGTTTGAACTCTGGGTCTCGCATTTGCTAGGCAGGTGCTCACCCATTGACTTGCACTCCTAACCCTTTTTGCTTTAGGTGATTTTCCAGATTGGGCCTCCCTAACTTTTTGCCTGGACTACGTTCGAACGGTGATCCTCCCAGTCTCGGTGTCCCAAGTACTTGGGATTACAGATGTGAGCCACCATGCCCGGCTCAAGTTGCATGTTCAAAATCATTTTTCTTCACCTCTGACTCCTCTAGAATAATGATCCCTCTCCCCAGGGCCTGCCCCTCTGTTGCTGTCCATCTGTCCATCTGTCTATCTGTCTCTCTGACAGGAACACATGTGCTCACTTACTCCCAGTTTCCTTCCTGTCTGTCCTCCCCCTTGGCTGCTGAGAGTATCTCTTATTATCTCCAACCCCAATTCCTGGCATAAAACAGAGACCAATGAATGGCTTAGAGTGAAAAAAATTAAGGGATACTCTAAGGCTTGCACAGCAATTCGTTGTGTGGACCCTGTGGCTTAGCTGTTTCCTTACCCTTGAACATTTCAGTGATTGTGATTGTTATTTTTTTCATTGTAATAAGTAAATCACAATCTTTATTCAGTACTGGGACCAAGCCCAGGGCCTCCTAAGTAAGTGCTGTGCGACATCCCAGCCCAACCCCCAACATTGTAGGATTTTCTTCTTTTTTTTTTTTTTTGGTGGGAACTCAGAGCTTTGCATTTGCAAAGCAGGTGCTCTACTGCTTGAGCCACACCTCCAGCCCATTTTGCTCTTGCTATTTTGGAGATGGGGCCTCAAAAACTATTTCCCTGGGTTGGCCTTGAACCATAATCTTTCTGCTCTCAGCCTCCCAAGTAGCTAGGATTGCAGGCATGAGCCACCGGTGTCCAGCAGGATTTTCATTTGATAAAAGGAATAGGTGCCTCCAGTATACACTTGCTGGCCCCCTACTTGCACCATCCTAATTGGATATGTCAGATAGATTTACAATTGGCAATTATTTAATTTGATAATAATATCAGTAATCTTGTCTAGTACACACTACTTCTGCAAGTGGCAGGTTCAATGCCAAGTGGGGAGCTGAGAGTCCTGGGCTCAGGGTACCCTCACCCACCCTGGGCACGGCTCTTCATGGGCAGCAGGACTGTGGGGCAGAGGATGATGCTGGACTCCTGGAAGGAGGGAAGGGATGTGAGGAGCAGGCAAGGAGCCAGAGGCAGTAGCTGGGAGGGAGGAAGGGAGTGGAAGGGTCACTGGCAGGGGGAGGTGGCTAAGAGGACAGAGGTGGCTTCCTGTCTCTGGGAAGGTCCTGACACCTGAAGGAGAGCAGAGGCTTTCTCTGTCTGTAATGTGGTAACAGAGCCCGAGCCAGAACCTTCCCAGGCGACAGGATGAGAGTCGTTAGGGGACACCTGCCTCTCCCTAGGCGCTCCCCCCACAGTGGGAGCCACTGCCACCCCGCACCTGGGCACCTGGGCATGGGAACACATGGAGCCCATGGCCTCCAGGCCACTCCGGGAGTGGGGCCAACGCAGCCCTGGCCATAGGGGTCCCTGGGCTGGACAGGTTATTAAAATAACCATCCCTACTTAAACCGGGTGAGGCTGGCACAAGAAGAAAGAAGCTGAGGAGCCAGGAAGAAATAAATCTGCCTCTATAAAAGACATTGACCTGTAATAAGTAATGTTTCAAAAATAATGGGGCCAGGAAGTATTATTCATCAAATAACCCCAGGATAATTGATTGGCTCTTTGACAGAAATATGTGCTTGAGATGCATAGCTTCTACCATACTGTAAAATTAATTGCTAGTAGGTGAGATTAAACATGCAAACAAGCACAAAAAGACAATGAAATGAGAACGTAGCGATTCCGGAGGAAGAGGAGACTTGTTAGACTTAAAAGGAATGAGCAAATCCCAAAGTGGATTGTCAGTTCCTACAAACCAAAACACTATAGGTCTGAAAAGAGTGAAAGCACTCAATGATTGGGAAATGGATCCAGAAAATGCAATGTACTAAAGAATACTGCATGTTTAATAAGTGAAAATTTTAACAAAATTAGTAAGACACTAAGACTCCAGGAAAACACAAGACAATTCAGGGCAGGAAGCAACTAAATGGGAAAATATTACAGACAGGGAAATGAGGGGTTTTGTTTTTGTTTTTCTTTTTGTTTTCGAGGTACTGGGGATTGAACCCAGGGCCTTGTGTATGCAGGATCTCAGCCTCCAAAACAGCCAGGATTACAGGCATGAACCACTGGTGTCTGGCTCCATTTTAATTTTTAACTGATTAATTTTTGTGGGAAGGCTGCTGGGGATGGAACCCAGGGCCCATGCATTACTAGGCAAATGCTCTGCCTCTGAGCTGCATCCCTCAGATGTAGCTTTCTTTTTCTTTTTCTTTCTTTTTTTTTTGGCGGTACTGGGGTTTGAACTCAGAGCCTCATGCTTACTAGGCAGACGCTCTACTGCTGGAGCCACTTGGCCAGTCCAGTTTTGTTTTCAGTTTTTTTCAAGATAGGGTCTCGAGAACTCTTTGCCCAGGCTGGTTTCGAGCCTCAATCTTCCTGATCTTTGTCTCCAGAGTAGATAGGATTACAGGCATGAGCCACTGGCACCAGCTGGAATGTTTTTCTTTTTCTCTTTGGAATTTTTTTCTTAAAGGAATGCCAAATGCTGGCAGGAATCAGGCCAGCTTGTCCATCTCTGTTGTAGAACATGATGTAACAGATGTGTACAAAGAGCCTTAAAACCCCAAGCCTTCCATGCTCTCCATCACCAATGACTGGGGCGATGCAAATCAAAACCACGATTAGATACCACTTCACACCCAAAAAAAAATCCAGAAAAGCAAGCCAGCCCTGCAAAAATTTTGTAAATATAAACACATTTCTGCTAGGTGCCAGTGACTCAACCCAATAATCCTAGCTACTTGGGAGGCAGAGATCAGGAGGATAGCAGTACAAGGCCTGCCCGAGCAAATAGTTCATGAGACCCTAACTCCAAAATAACCAGAGCAAAATGCACTGGAGGTGTGATGCAAGGGGCAGACTACCTGCTTTGCAAGTGCAAAGTCCTGGGTTCAAACCCAGACCATTAAAAAAAAAATTTGTGAGTGGGGCCTGTGGCTCAAGTAGTAGAGTGCTTGCCTGGCATGCACGAGGCCCTGGGTTCAATCCCCAGCACTGCAAAAAAATAAAAATAAAATAAAAGAATGGGGACGTGGCTCAAGTGGTAGAGAGCCTGCCTAGCAAGTGCAAGCCCTAAGTTCAAACACCAGTACTGAAAATAAAATAAATAAGAATAATAAAAAATAAATTTAAAAGGGGATTGTAACCACATAGCAGGAAGTTTCCTGGGCCACAGCCATCTGGAAACAATTCAAACCTTGGCTCTGCCACCTGTCAGCTGTGTGACCCTGGACAGGTCACTCAATCTCTCTGAGCCTCCATTGCCTCCCCTGTGAAACGGCACTCACACGGTGGTGCTGTATGTGCAGGCCCTGACTTATGGATGGCATTTGCCATTTAGTGGGGCTGATGACCGGGGAAAGACTTTGCAGATAGAAGTGCTCTTGGGCCAGGAGAGAGAGTAGGGTAAGGCTGGCATTCAGTCCCCAGTGTGGGAGTGGCACCTGAGTTCCCTGGCCCCCGAGGGGGGACTGGGTTTGGGGGTGGGGAAACGGCTCGGCTTGGCTCGTGGTGGAGCAGCTGAGGTGCAGCTGGGCCTGTGGCCTGGGAGGCAGTCTTTTGGGTGGCGCCAACCTGAGCCCACACCTCAGGTCCGCAGCTGGGTCCTGTGTCTTCTCGGAAGACTATGGCTGGGACATGGCTGCTACTTCTCCTGGCCCTTGAGTGTCCAGCCCTGCCCACAGGTGAGCCTCCCTTTCTGTTCCCCCTGTCCAAACCCATCCCTGGTGCTGGGTCTCCGTAAGTATGGATGGGATGCAAGGAGACAGAACAAGAGCCAATTACAGACTCCTGGGGCAAGTCTCACCAGAGCCTTTCTCCTTGTACTCTGCCCCCCAGCCACCTGATATGAGCCAGCATGTCTGCCTGTCCTGGACCTGGAGGAGTGGGGTGAGGGTCAGGCAGTCCCTCTTGGAGGCATAGAAAAATAAGAGCAAACTGGACAGTGCCACAGCATCAGGGCTGTCATGCGATATGTAGTGATGGGGTGTGGACACCCCTTGTCCCAGCGTGTCCAAGTTCACTTCCAGCTCCCCCTTACCAATGGGCTCAGCAGTGGTCCCAAGGCCTGGGTGACTCACCAGCCCTCCAAGATCAAGGTGAAAGCTAAAGCACTCATGCACTGAGGGAAAACTTTGCAGCTTCATCTAGAAGCACCGGCATGCTTGCATATGATAGTGGGGATAAATCCTTGACCTTTGAGTCAGGGAGTCATCTTGGTCTAAAGTTGGTCCCAGGACACACCTGTGGCGTGTCACAGGTGCTGTCTCGCTAGTGAGATGTGCCACACTAGTGTGGAGCAGGGAGAACTGATGGCAGGAGGCCTGAACTTTGGGAAGTTAGCAGCTGGGGTGAGAGAAACAATACCGGGAGGCTTCATGGAGGAGCTGGAAGTGAAACTCAACTTGGAGAATGTCTTTATGCCTGTAATCCCAGCACTAGTGAGGCTGAGGCAGAAGGATATTGAGTTTGAGGCCAGCCCCACTAGGGCTACCTAGTTAGACCCCGTTTCAAAAAAGCAAAAAGCAGGCCAGGTGCCAGTGGCTCACGCCTATAATCCTAGCTACTTAGGAGGCAGAGATCAGGAGGATCAAGGTTCGAAGCCAGCCCAGGTTTGCCTCTTCATTAGACCCTACCTTGAAAATACCCAACACAAAAAAAAGGGGCTGGTAGAGTGGCTCAAGCAGTAAGTGCCTGGCTACCAAGTATGAAGCCCTTAGTTCAAGCCCTAGTACTGCCAAAACAACAAAAAGCAAAACACAAAACAAAACAGAAAAGGTTCAAGAAGTTGAACCTTCTCCATTCCCTTTGTTTCCAATATAATAATAGTAATTATTAATATAATATTAAAACTTATCTACTAGGGCACTTAACATTTTTTACTTTTTCTTTTCTTTTCTTTTTTAGCTCAAGCCACTCCACCAGCCCTGATCTTAACTCTTCACAGTTTCACTGGGCTGGTATTATTAACCCCTTTCTATTGGTGGGGCAATTGAAACTCAGTAATCAAGGGGATGAGTCAGGAGTTGACCCCAGCTCTTTGCGAAGCTCTGTCCTAGGCTTGGTCCACTGTGTACATGGTAAAATCTTAGACATTTCAAACAAAGGAGATCTATGGGTTTTGGAGTATACAGACCCAAGCTCAAATCAAATCCTGAGGACAGCTTACCATACATGTCACTGGCCAGTTATTTGTCCTCCAAGAAATCTTCCCTGAGTGCCCTTCAGCCCACCTCCCACAACACTCTCTGGCATGCTGCAGCATTTTTTTGTTTTGTTTTGTTTTTTAGCCTAGCTACATTTAGCTCATAATGGGAATTTGTTTGCAGGTTAACTTTTGAGACGTTAGCTGGGTGCCAGTGACTCATGCCTGTAATCCTAGCTGCTTGGGAGGCAGAGATTAGGAGGATTGATGTTCAAGGCCAGCTCAAGCAAAAGTGAGACCCTATCTCAAAATACCCAACACACACAAAAAATGGGCTGGTTGATGGAATAGTGGCTCAAGTGGCAGAGCACCTGCCTGGCAAGCATAAGGCCCTGAGTTCAAACTACAGTACTGCCCAAAAAAGAAAAAAAATTTAATTTGAAATGTTATTTATACTAAAAAATCCAACTATTCAAAAATATAATATTTTGTGATAAACTGAGTCGTCATTACTGGAAGGAAAGAGTAAGATTGTGGAAAATCAGGTCTTTTCTGGAAAATACAGGACAAATGTTTGCAGTGTCCATCTGATACAGTTTTTTAATTATGAAAGAATAGACTTTGACTTTAAATGGGTGAATTGTATGGTATGTGCTTTATCTGTGAACAAAGCTGTTTGAGGGGAAGTGTAGCTCACTGGTAGAACATTCGTCTAGCTGGCATACATGAGTTCAATCCCTGGATTCAAGCCCCAGTACTTGGGGGATGGTAGGAACTACAGAATAGAAAAGTACTGGGAATAATATGGATTAACAAATTAACATTTTGCCTTTTTTTTTTTTAATTTAGTACTGGGGATTGAACTCAGGCCCTTGCTAAGTAAGCTCTCTGCCACTTGAGCTATGCTCCAGCCCTTTTGTTTTTGCTTTTAAATTTTTTTTTTTTTTGAGTTTCAAGGTACCTTTTGCCTGGGCTGCCCTCAAACTTGAAATCTTCCTCTACCTCCTGAGTAGCTGGGATTACAGACATGAGCTACCAAGCCTGGCTAACCTTTTGCCATATTGAGTCAGATCTTTTTTCAAAGAAATTAAAAGTTACAGACATATTTGAAACCCCTTTTGATCTCATTCCAGGTCCTGTTTCCTTCCCTTCCACCCCAGAGGTAGCCACTCTCCTCAGGCTGCCACAACATGGTATTTTAAGTATTCACTTGTGCATCTGCTGTCTTTCCCAAGGGACTGAGGTTCTTGAGGGAAGGGACAGTGTCTTACTCAGTATTTTATTCCCAGCATCTGGCATAGAAAGGAGCTCAGATTTGACAGGTGGATGGACAGAAGGATGGATGGGTGGACAGCCATAGATGGAAGGTAGAAAGAATAGATGGAAGATAGATGTATGATGGAAGAAAGAATGGATGAATAGATGAATGAATGAAAGGATAGCTACGTGGAGAGAAAGAAAGAGCTTAGATGCAAGAAGGGAGGATGGAGGGGTAGAAGGATGGGTAGGTGGATGGTGAAGGAGGAAGGATAAATGGGAAAATAGAAACCCAGAACCCTAGCCTATGAGATTCGGGACAGGAGGGCACAGGCTGATCTAGCCTCACAAGTGCATGCTGTCTTGTAGGTGTGGGAGGCAGGCCCTTCCCTTCTCTGGCCCCCCCAATTACACTGCAAGTGGATGGAAAGCTGCGGACACTGGTGGTCTGCCTGGTCCTCGATGTTGCACCCCCTGACCTTGACAGTCCTGTCTGGTTCTCCACTGGCAATGGTAGTGCACTGGACGCCTTCACCTATGGCCCCTCCCTAGCAGCGGATGGCACCTGGACTAGCTTGGCCCAGCTCTCCCTACCCTCTGAGGAACTGGCAGCCTGGGAGCCCTTGGTCTGCCACACCAGGCCTGGGCCAGGGGGCCAAAGCCGGAGCACAGAGCCCCTGCAGCTCTCAGGTGGGGATGGAGCCCAGGCCCCTGTCCCCTTCTACAAACCTGGGAACCAGGATATGGTGGGAGGGAAGACAGGCTCCAAGCGGCGAAGGCATGAAGGGTGTCCAAGGGCGGACTATCCAGGTGAGGTGGTCCCTGGGCTCATAGCAGAATCTATAAACATGCACCCTATAAGGCCCAAACAATAATTAAATGAGCCCCTATCAGGCGTAAACATGAGCCACAAGCATGGGTAAACACCCATGTTCACTCAGTGTCATACACTGTTCCAAACACTTCACATTTACAAGGTATGTCATATAATTGTCCCATTTTGTAGGTCCAGGGAGGTTAGGTCACATCGGCACAGCCAGATGTTATTACTACTGACCAGATGACTGACTTGTCTTTCTGGAGCACTTCAGTTTTATTCCACTGTGTGTGGAACAGATGCCCTGCTTTCCAACGAAAGCTTCCTGTGTGAAGGGCTACAGGTGCCTTGGCCTCTCTAGACCCAGCACAGGATGGGAGAATGGAGGGGAACAGGGCCCTCAGGGCTGGAAGCAGATAGGCTCAGGGTTTCCACAGCAGGCACTGTGTCCATAAGCCGCCCCACACCAGGGCCAGGGATAGCACTGGGGCTGGGGTACAGCACCTGGCCCTGTGCTCCATGGGCCATGCCCACCCCCAAGAACTTCCTCCCTTCTCCTTCGCTGGCAGGAGAGGCCTCTACAGCCAGGACCTGTGTCCAGGAGCCTCATCAGGGTGAGTACTTGCAGGGGAGGGCAGTAGGCTTTGAATAAGAGGCTAGGGACTGGAACCTTGGGTCTGGAGGGCAGGACGTTCAGCTCTGACTTGAGGGGTCCCACTCCAGGGAGCTGGCTGATGTCCATGAAGAGGCTGCCTTGTTAGGTTGGGCCACTAGCCAGCCTGGGCCTCAGTCAACCCTAGGATAAGATGGGGGTGGATCCCCTGACCCCAGACTAATTCCTGGACATCAGTTGAGAAGCATAGGTAAGAGCCAACAGAAGAGTCATTGACTGCTCCTTGGGTAGACAGGCTCAGTGTAGAGCCTACGTGACTCTCTGGGGTGCTATAAAGAGCTGTGGACCAAGAGTCCTGATGTCTCTTTCTTGATCATATAAAGAATTTTGTAGCTGGGTAGGGTAGTACATACCTATAATCTCAGCATTTGCAAGACCAAGGCAGGGGGATTATGAGTTCCTGGACCGCCTGGGCTATATATCAAGACCTTGTTTCAGAAAAACCAAAAACAAGGCTGGTGGAGTGGCTCAAGTGGTAAAAGCACCTGCCTAGTAAGTGTGAGGCTGCAAGTTCAAACCCCAGTGCTGAAAAAAAAATAAAGTAGAAAAATCCCCAAAAAACAACAAAAAAAGTTTTGAGCTAATTAATCTGCCTCATATTCTAGTTCCTGCCTGTGCTCCCCCCATCCAGCCCCCTTATTTTGGAATTTTTAAAAAATGAGGACTGGGAAGAGCCCTGTTATTACAAGCAGAACCGAGGTTAGACACCAGGGCAGGACTTTCCCTGGAGGGCAGGTATGGAGGGGAAGGTGAAGGGCCAGCACAGAGGACAGGCCCTCTTTGCCTTCTGGTGGGTCTGGTGGGCCAGGGGCTCATCACCACCTACTCCTTGCACAGGGACGCCGAGCCAGGCTCTGCGGCTGGGGGCACTGAGGTTACTGCTCTTCAAACTGTTGCTGTTTGACGTGCTCCTGACCTGCACTCGAGCCCCCCACCCTCACCCACCGCACTTGGCCCCAGTGACTGGCGGTCCTCACTCCACATGCTCCCCAGCCTGCTGATGCTGCCAGGAGGGGATGTGCTCCTCCACCCAGCTGGGCCTGGTGTCCCTTCCTCAGGTCCTGGAGCACTTTTTGCATGTGACCTGCCTCCCCTGTAGGCTGGGGCTTTCTGGGGCTGGGCTCTGCCGCCCTCCTCAGACTGAGGGCTTTCAGAGGAAAAATGCTCTACCTGTCCCATCACCCTGGAAGCCCCCTGAAGGCCCTTTGGGGACTTTCGAATGTAGATAATTGAATACTATTAAAGAAAACCTTAGTGACACAAGCAAATGAGAGATATCTTAATTCGCCTCTGCCATGAGTGGGCGTGGGTTTGGCATGTTTAGTTAGAGGAAGCAGAAATCTGGGAGGGCTCCCTTGAGGAAAAGGCTTGCCAGTGGGGCTGGGGTAGGGGGCCTGGGGAGGAAGCTGCTGGTCTCTGTCTCCTTGGGCAAGGCCCCTGTCTGTGACCTTCCCCAGCTCCTGCTCTGAGAGGGCAGGGCAGGGAGCCCAGGGCCCCAGGGAGGTGGTGCTAGGTTTGAAGTCTTGTACAGACTCGACCCAAGTGAACAGGGCCAGGATTCTGAGGAAACAATGATCATGGTCAATGCTCAATTCCAAACTTCCATGTTATTAATCGGCTAGGGCCATTATTCATTTGACAAATAGTCAGCACCAACTAGAAGCCAGCTACAAAAGAAGTTTGGCTTTTTTGGTGTTCCCTTGATTGCTGAAGAGGATTCTGGCCCTGACAGAATGTGAGGGTCCCACAGTGGCATATGACGATGTACCTCATTTCCCCAGTAAGGCAGGAAATCAGCCCTTCCTGAGGGTTCCTCTTTAGTGTTCACCCCGAGAATCTCTGGGTGCTGCCACACAAATCCAGATGTCGTCCCCTGGGCACCACAGGACAGTCTGCAGGATCAGTGACATTCCGTCTTCCTTCCCCCAAGGTGAGGGGTTGTGGAACTTTGCCTCCATAACCATCCATAGAACAACACCCAGCTTCCCTGAGCCTCTGTGCACCCTCAGCTGCTGTTCCATGAAGACCCTCCGTTCCTTGTTGACTCCAGCCTCTTTTTTGGATTCCTCAGGAAGCAAGGGGCAAGGGCCCCAGAGCTTCTGGGGATGAAACTCTCCACCATCTCCCAGGGCCCCCTCCTTCCCTGGCACACAGACTGAGGGAGGGGTCCTGCTGCAGCCTCAGACTTTCTCTCTAACCTTGTCCTTTCCCAGCTTGCAGCCCAGATGCTAAGCTCAGGCCTCCTGCCAGCATAAATATTCCCTCAGTGGCCTTTTGTCCATTCCAGATGCAAGGCTTCCCTCAGGTTCAACTCCTTTCCCCATCTTACCCCAACTCTGTCCTGCCCCAACCTCAGTCCCCATTGTGGTTGGCTTAATTCATCTCCTGGGAGGGCTTCTGAGCCTAGAAATCAAGGGCCTTGGCCAGCCTCCAAGCCTCCCCGCGTCTTATGGAGCCAAGAGAAAGCAGAGAACCCCAGGAAGACGTCCTGACCCTGTGTACTACAGGATTCCAAATGCCACAGTCCTGCCTACCCGAAGTGGAGGTTTTAGTAAGGATTTATTTTAATATAACAGAATAAAGTAGAGGTAAGTAGGGAAAAAAGAGAAATATTTCCTGCTCCCCTCACAGGAAATGGGAGTAAAAACTCAAAAATGGGTGCTCTTGCTTGTGGTCTTTATACTATCTGGGCTGTGGGGGATACACTCTAATTCTTAGACAATGTTTTTTGGGTGAGTAAGATGGGTGCTGTTTGTGTTTGCTATTCTAAAACACTTCTATACCCAAACACGGGGACAATAGGTCATTTTAGGACTTTGCCAGTCAGCCTCCTGTCTTTCCCCAGTGGGAGGAGGCCGAGGAGGCAGATGTAGATAGCCTCTGTTTGCCTCCTGTCCTTATAACTTAACATCTAAAAGTAGGCTTTCCTGTTTTTACTTCTGCTTTTAATGTGTGCGTCTGGCCCTTTTTAATATCTGTTAATTTTAACTTTCCTGTCTCCTCATCTAGCTATCCTGCTTCTGTTTTAAGCAAGAAACTAAAGTCGGAAAATGACAAGTCAGGGCTGGGGGTGGGGCTCAAGTGGTAGAGAGCCTGCCTGGCAGGTGCAAGGCCCGGAGTTCAAACCAAAGACCCTTGAGAGACAGAAACACAGACACACATTAATTAAATGAAAGAAAGAAAAAAAAAAAAGGGTAAGTCAAAGGCTCGGGCCTCAATCCTTCGATATTTTCATAAAGTAGCAAACACACCCAGCCTCTAGGAAGGAAACAGGTAGGGACCAGCATCTTATGGCCAAAAAATAATGTGCAGACTTCTCGGAAAAGCTGAGCTCAAGGGCAGCCTGAAACAGCACCAAGGGCCCAGAGAGTTCTCTTACTGACAGCAGATAGGGGCTTTATTGAGTATCTCCTTGTGCCAGGCACCCTGTTGTTACTAATGAGGCGGAAAGGAAAGGCAATTGCCATCAGTCCAGTTCCTGTCTTCTGGAGCTCAGAACACGATAAATAAGTAATAGGACAGCTGAAGGGACTGAAATTACCTATTGCAAAGAAAATGCCTGAACGTTTGCCATCTGCTCTATAAGCTTTAATTCCACGAGCTGCTTCCCAGCAACAGGCAAGCTTCGAATAGCAGCTAAGAGGATGACTGTCAGCCAACAAACAGAAACTGCTCAGAGAGACAGTTCCTCCAGCCCTCCCAAATGCAGGGTTACCGGGCACTGGGGACTGTTTAAGTCCCCTGAAAGCCTCACCCTAAGTGCCTACTACAGCGGTAACAGCAACAACAAAATTTAAAAGCAGTGCTCATTAAGGATTTGCAGCTTATGACCCCAGAAGAGCAATGACGTTCGGGGAGGCAGGGAAAACCACGAAGAAAGTCATCCCCACATCTTCCAGGGTCAGCGCGCCCGAAGCCGGCCCACAGAGGACAAGACCCGGGGGTCTATTCCCTGAGTCCTGGCCCTCCAACCTCTCCTACGGGCTCCCTTTGGAGTGGGAAAAAGATGTAGCCATAGGTTGCCGAAGCCACCATCAGCTTTCTTATTGGCCGAGACCGAATAATGATAGTCTTCCCATTCGCTAGAAGCCAAGCCCGGAGAAAGCCCATTGGCTGCGTGGTCCGCGGGCCTTCGTCTGCTTCGAAGACCGGCTGAAGCCGAGGAGCAGGGGGCGGGCAAGGGGCTCACTAGTTGCCGTGGTTACGCCGAGGCACGTGTGCAGTCCCGGAAGCGGCTCAGGGAAGCTGCTCCGCGCGCGCCGCCGAAGGAAGCGCCGCCCGGTCCGCTCGGGTTGCTCCGGCTGGGCCATGGAGTCGTTGCCGGAGCCCTCGCCCCGCCGTCTTCTGCTTCTCCCCTTGCTGCTGCTGATACTGCGGGCTCCAGAGCTGGGCCCGAGCCAGGCCAAGGCCGAGGAGACCGACTGGGTTCGACTGCCCAGCAAATGCGAAGGTGAGGGGGCGGGGCTCGCGGGGCGTATCCTGCCGGAGGGGCGGGCTCGGGGGCGGGGCCTGTGGGGAGGGATCCTGGGATCCAAGGTCCTGGGCCCTGGAGTGTTCTTGGAACCTACTGTGTGCTTGGCATTGTGCTGGGCACAGGGATACGCGAGTGGGCCAGAGATCCCGTGATAGGAAAGGTACAGAGCTTTGGGGGCACGGTGACGAGCAGCTAATCTAGCCTGGAGGCGGGGTAGAGGGATACAGGTAGTGGGGTGGGGTGGGGGCGAGGGCTTCATGTGATGAGGAGTGGGCCAGGTGAGAAGTGAAAATTGAGGGGCCCGCTGGTAGGAACCGACAGATGCAGAGGCAGATCGTCATCTTAGGCCTGCGGTCTGAGAAGCAAAGGGCGAGTTTGAGGAACTGAAAATGCCCATATGATTGGTATGGGGGAAGAAGAACCTGAGGCTGTCCGCCGCGTGCCCGAACTGCAACCCTAATCTGTGTAGCTGTCACTTGCTCCCACTAACAGCTCCTTGAAGACAGGAACTTTGACTCAAATATTTATTCGCACCGTATGCCCCAATCATGTGCCCAGTAAATGCTTTTGGAATACATGGGATTAAATGTGAGGGACTGGAAGTGTGGATGAAGAGGGGGCTCTGAGACCTAAGAGGTCATTCTCAAAGAAGCCTAGAGCCGGGGGTTGGGGGGACACTTGGTGAGGAAGGAACAGTTTTTTTTCTCCCTGTGGTACTGGGGTTTGAACTCAGGGTCTACACCTTGAGCCAGTCCACCAACCCTATTTTTTTGTGATATGTTCTTTCGAGATTCATCTCATCTCGAAAAAACATATACCCGGACTGGCTTCGAACTGCGATCCTCCTGAGTAGCTAGGATTACAAGTGTGAGCCACTGGCAACCCGACAAACATACACATGGTAATTTTTTTTGGCAACACTGGGGTTTGAACTCAGGACCTCACACTTGCTAGGCAGATGTTCTACCACTTGAGCCATTCTGCCAGCTGGGAGGAAGATTTTAGGAATATGGAGAAAAGATGAGTTTCCAGGACACAGGGGTGGATGCAGAAACTTCAGAGAAAGCCAGCCAGCCAGGGATCCAAAAGTGTGAAGAGCCTACCATTTGTCCTCCCCTCCACTTCTCAGTTTTCTCCCCAGACCTTTACATTCACCCCTTCCTTCCCACACCCCAGCCCCAGGCCCCTGAGAAAGTTGGCTGTAAATCCATTTCATCTGAATCCAAAGTCTGCACCAGGCCATATGTTCCCTAAGCACTGGGAAATAGGGGCAAGTGGTTTGGGACACATAATCCTTACATTTGAGTGATTAAAAGTGAACTGTCCCAGTGATAGCAGACCTCTCCTGCCTGAGCCTTCCACTCTTCATGGAGTCCCAACTGACATCCTTTGGGGTTTCACTTCCTTTTCTCTTTGTCTTCTATCTTATTCTGATTCCGAAGAGCTCCTCCTGCTTCTCGTAAAATCTCATAGCCTAGCCGGGTGCTGGTGGCTCACGCCTGCATCCTAGCTACTCAGGAGGCAGATATGAGGATCGAGATTCGAAGCCAGCCTGGGCAAATAGTTCATGTGATCCTATCTCGAAAAACCCTTCACAAAAATATTGCTGGTGGAGTGGCTCAAGGTGAAGGCTCTGAGTTCAAGCCCCAGTACCTGGGGAGAAAAAAAAGAGGCTTACATTTCTGTTCCTTAGGAGTCATTCACAGACTCAGAGTCATAGAACTGGCAAGGTTCTTAGAGATCATTCTAGACTAACCTCATTTTGTAATTGGTGAAGATTGCCATAGAGTGGCTTGGCAAACTTCGGCCCTTAGGTTCCTCTTAATATTGTATCTGTTTTTTTAATTATTATTATATCTCTGTTATTAAATGCTGTGTCTGGCCCATAAAGCCTGCCTTCAGGCCCAGAAGCCCGAGTGGAACAGGCCTCGGCACAGAGGAAGGAGAACCTGCCCAGAAAAAGAGTGGGTGGATATTGGTGAAGGTCCGGGGTCTGTGCCATGAGTTTCCTCCCAGTCTGGTTCTGGGAAGGATCCCTAGAGGGGGCTTGAATAGGTAACGTTTGGAAGAGTTGAGAAGCAACGTTGTGGTTGGTGAGTATAAGAGAGAAAGGATGTTCTGAGCCTCCCTTTGTCCCTCTCCTGGAATACTACATGTTGAGCATGCAGGAGAAGGGGGCAGAAGGGCCAGAAAAATGATGCGTTTGCATGGGGTACAGGACAGGGGAGGGAAGGAAGCCCAGATGGTCCTGGGTGGAGAGCCAGGGAGGTGAGACTACCTCAATGCCTTGCAGACTCTGAGATCACCAGTGTATAGTTTGGAATTTTTGTGTGTTCCAAGTTCTCCAAGCCATCAATTAATGTTCTTGTTATAAAATTTCACCAAGGGGAGGAGAGGGAGGGGGTGGAGTGGGTGGTAAGGGAGGGGGTGGGGGCAGGGGGGAGAAATGACCCAAGCCTTGTATGCACATATAAATAATAAAAGGAAAAAAAAAATTTCACCAAGCAAGCCTTCAGGGGATGTATTTATTTTTGTGGTAAATTGGGTTTTCGACCAAACTCTGCTCTCAGGGTTCTAACAGCGCAGATGGCGCTTAGCTTCCATTCAGAGGTGGCAGAGATTGCTTGGCCACCGATGCAGGCTCTATCCACAGTAGTTACCAAGCACCCAACCTAGATAGTCTCAGTAGGGGACTGGAGAAGAAACCCAATACATACGTAATGTACCCTTTGGGCACCCTCATAGTCTAAGTGTAGAGACAGGAGATAACTGAGTCCCTTAGAGAGAGCGTGGACACTACAGAGGCTCCTGGAGAAACGGAGAGTGGAAAGGATTAGTCCAGAAGGGCTTTCTGGAGCAGGAGGTTTTGATGTGATGTCCGGAGACTGGGCAGAGAAGTCTGTAGAGGGCATTACCACTCTCTCAAGGCCTCAGGCTTTCATACTCTAATGGGTAGCTCCTTAAGCAGTGATAATTGTTTACAGTTGTTTTCCATTGTTGTCCTGCACATCTGGAAAGGAGGGACCTTGTTTTCATTTCTGTATCCCCAGGCAGTGCCTGTCACACAGGAGTTGCTTAATAACAGTTTGAGGAAGGGCAAGCGGAAATGAAAATGTAAATGTACAGAAACTGTGGGAACAAGGTCTCTCTGGAGGGGATGAGCAAATTAACTTGGCAGGAATAGAGCTGGTGTTGGAACACATGAAATCAAGTAGTAAACCAGCTATAACAGATATTTGGGGGACAATTAGGGAAATTTCAATGTAGACTTTTAGATGATGTTGGAATTACTGTTAATTTTCCAAGTATTATAATTGTTTTATGGTTATTTATAAGATCCTTGTTCTGAGGTACATGACTGCATCTTCTAGGTGAAAGGTCATATTTCTCTTCAACAAAATTAGAGATAAGGGCAAAATAGTTTCTGCTGGGTATTGAGGGGTGGAGGGGAGAGGGAGGGGGCGGAGTGGGTGGTAAGGGAGGGGGTGGGGGCGGGGGGGGGGGAGAAATGACCCAAGCGTTGTATGCACATATGAATAATAAAACAATAAAATAAATTAAAAAAAAGAAAGGTCATATTTGCACTTTCAAGATGGTTTAGCAAAAACAATGTGTATGTTGCAGTATTATATGTTAGGTGTTGGGAGAGACTGAGGCAGGTCGTTAATAGCTGTTGAATACAACAGGATTTAGTTATTCATTGCACTTCTTAATTTTAATGTATGTTTTTTTGGGGATCAAACCTAAGGCCTTACCCATGCTATTTATGTTTTTTGTTTGTTTTATGGTGTGGGTATTGAACCCAGGGCTTCCTACTTGCCAGTCAGGTGCTCTGCCACTTGAGCTATATACCCTCAGTCCTTTTTTTTCGGGGAGTGGGGCAGATGGGTAAGCACCACTGGGTTGGTGTTTTTCTTTCTTTCTTTCTTTCTTTCTTTGTTTTTTTTTTTTGGTAACTCACTCTACCAGCCCTTTTTTTGTGATGGGTTTTTCCGAGATAGGATCTCACGAACTATTTGCCTGGACTGGCTTCAAATAGCGAACCTCCTCTGCCTTCTGAGTGGCCAGGATTATAGGCATGAGCCACCGACACCTGGCTTTATTTCGTTTTTGTGATAGGGTCTTGATAACTTTGCCTGGGCTGGCCTCAAACTCAAGCTCCTCCTGCCTCCGCCTCACTACCATGCTTTAACTCTACCCTGTTTTTTTTTTTTTTTTGAAACAGTGGCTCACTGTGTTTACCAGGCTGGCCTTGAACTTGCAATCCTCCTACCTCAGCCTCCCAAGTAGCTCAGACTATATGAATTAATGAAAAATATGAATATGAAAAAAAAGCAGCTAGCTTTTTTTTTTTAAGAATAAAATGATGGGTCTATCTACTCAGGAGGCAGAGATCAGGAGGATTGAAGTTCAAAGCCAGTCCAGGTAAATAGTTTGTGAGACAATCTCAAAAATACCCAACACAAAATGGGGCTGGAGGAGTAGTAGTTCAACAGGTAGAGTGCCTATCTGCCTAATAAGCATGAGGCCCTGAGTTCAAACCCCAGTACAACCAAAAAATGAAATAAAATGATGGGTGTGGGGGTATGGTAGAAATACAGTCAGTAGGGGCAGGAGAAGACATGGCAGTGGCTCTGAGAGCTAGTTTCACAGAATGAACTCCAGTGCTAACTGCTTTGCCTTGAATATCGACTTGGCCCAGGCCAGGATAGGACACTGGTCCAGGTCTGTTTCGCTGGGCTTTGACCTCCCATCAGAAGCTCCTGTGCACTCATTGGACTGTGCTCTCTCCTTCTCCCAGTGTGTAAATATGTTGCTGTGGAGCTGAAGTCGGCCTTTGAGGAAACTGGCAAGACCAAGGAGGTGATCGACACAGGCTATGGCATCCTGGACCGCAAGGCCTCTGGAGTCAAATACACCAAGTCGTAAGTGAATAGGAACTTAGTGACCTGGCTGGCTCTGTTCCTGGGTCTGAGGGAGGCTAGAGTTTCCTCTACCCTTTCAGCTAGGCAAACCACCCCAAGGAAGTCAGCTCTAACCAAGACCAGGTTTGTCCACATGTTCTGTTTCAACTACCAAGGGGACCTTTATAATGTCCTCAATTTCTCTGGGCTTCATACTCCTCTCTTTAAAAGCAGCACTGATGGGACTATAGCAGTGAATCCCAGACACTAGGATTTCACAGACCAATGTAATTTATATTTAAAATTTCTAATACAGGATTACCAGTTTTTCATTTTGCCACATAGAAATATTAGACAAAACAACCATCTGATCATCCTTTCAATATGGAATTGTACTTACCATCAAAGTTTAATACGGGCTGGCAGAGTGGCTCAAGTGGTAGAGTGCCTGCTTAGAAAGTGTGAGGCCCTGAGTTCAAGCCTCAGTACCTCACACACACAAATTTAATACACTTTAGTCAAGTGTGGTGGTGCATGCCTGTAACTCCAGCATTCAGGAGTCTGACGCAGGAGGATCATGGTTCAGTCAGTCTGGGCTATGTAATGAGACCTGCCATTAAGAAAAACAACAACAAAAAAGTAGATTTTGGATACATTTTATTTTATAAAAACAGCAGAAGTGGTAGAATGCTTTCCTACCAGACACGAGGCCCTGGGTTTTATTCCCAGCCCCGCCCCCCCACACACACACACACAATAGGGCTAGAGACATGGCTCATGGGGTAGAGCATCTGCCTAGAAAGTGCAAAACCCTGAGTTCAAACCCCAATACTGCAAAAATAAATAAACAAACAAACAAGTAAATATTGGCTAGGGCTATTGCTCAGTGGTAGAACACTTGTGCAAGGCCCTCATTTGATCCCTAGCACCACAAAAGAAAAAAAACAAATCCTTCCTTTAGAGCTGTTAAAATGTTGTCTCTCTGGTCTGTATTCCAGCATTTCAGAGCCCCCAGACCAGATGACCTATCTTCTTTCCAACTCTGACTTCCCGTTGGTGAGATGCGCAGGTGTCGGGCAGCAGGGCTGGAGGGACGGACCACTAACAGCTGGGACTGGGAGGAGAACTTAGTTGCTCGTGTGCTGCTGTCTTGGCAGGGACTTACGGTTGATTGAAGTCACTGAGACCATTTGCAAGAGGCTCCTGGACTACAGCCTGCACAAGGAGAGGACCGGCAGCAACCGGTTTGCCAAGGTTGGCCTTGTGCTTGTGCCTTGTCCCCTGGGGGTTGGGGGGGCAGGTCTGTGTGAACCAAAGTGTGACTGCTGGTGTGAGTGTGATTTGCAGATCATGTCCTGGGAGCTTCCCCCCTTGTCTGGTCCCTCTCTTGGATTGCTGTTTGTACTACACCCTTGCAGAATGGTCTGACTCTTAAGTGGCATTAGGTACATTTGTGATGGCCTTGGCCCACCCATCAGTGTCCACCTCAGTCTCAGACTTAAAACAGAAATGTTCCAGGCTGGCAGCTTCCATGGAGATGTAAAATACTTGAGCAAGGAGGACTCAGCAAAGCCCAGAACTGGGTGGGGGGGGAGGGCAGATGTCAGAAGACACTGGGGCAGTGATGCCCAGTCCCTCCAGTGCACCCACACAGAGGCACCTCCCTCTGTGTGCCTGGGTTACATTTGAATGCTTCTCTCGGTGGAGAAGGAGCTGCTTACAACAGGCCCTTATGTCTTTGTCTCTGAGTCTCCAGTGCCCAGCACAAGGTAAGACAGTTGCTGTGCACATTTCCCCTAAGCTCCTCTAGCGGAGGAGATTAGCAGCAACCCCCAGGCCACCTAAGGGATGCTTTCAAGCAGCAGATGTTTTGAGTTTTATCTTTAAAACTTATTTAAGTCTGGCTAATGAATCCATGTTTGCTTTAATAAAGTTTTGGAAAGTATTTTATATTGGCTAGGCATGGTGGTGCTCACTGTAATTCCAGCACTCAGGAAGCTGAGGCAAGAAGATCCTGAGTTGGGGGAGGGGGGAGAAATGACCCAAACATTGTATGTATATATGAATAAAAAAAAAAATTAAAAAAAAAAAAAGATCCTGAGTTTGAGACCAACCTAGGTTACATAGGGAGACACTTGGTCTCCAAAAAAAAATAAATAAATAAAAGTCTGTTGGAAACAATTAGAAACAAATGAGAAACAATCTAACTTCCCACTAGTAGAGGAGGGTTTAAATACACTGAGAAACTATACCCTGGACTGGTATGTAGCTGTAAAACAAAGAATGAGACAGGTAGCTTCTTAAGAACTAAATTAGGCTGGTGGGGTGGCTCAGGTCCTAGACCACCAGCCTAGCAGTTGGGAGGTCAAGAGTTAGAAAATTGTGACCACATAAGGGGGGGGGAAGAACTAAATTAAAGTGGACTCTAAGCATATTATTAAGTAAAAGGCAGGGTGCAAAATCGGGTGTGTGGTACACTACTGCTTGTGTAAAAAGCAGGGATGAGGAAAAGACATTGTTGTATGTTTTTTGGGGGGTTTTTTGTGGTGCTGCCTCACACATGCCAGGCAAATGCTCTTCCACTGAGCTATGCCCCTGTCCACTACATACTTGTATTTGTGTGACTTAACTCTGGAAAGATGGAGGAAGTGAAGAGTTTGTTGTCTCTGGGGATAAGACCTAGGTAGCTGGTAGAGCATTTTTACAGCTGGAAAGACACCCAGGAGAGAACACAAGTCAGGAAGAACCTGGGAAAAGGAGTGCATCTGGGCATCAGAGGAATGGATGTGCCCAGCTACAGTGAAGGGAGGGAGCCAAGCAAACTTATCTCTTGGAAAAGAATTTCAAGTCCAAAGGGCCGTAGGACAGCAGCAGATCTTTTTGAAAGGCGTGGAGGTGGAGAAGCAGGTCAGGGTATGTGTGTGCAGGGTCGTGGAAAGCTGGCCTGAAAGATAGCATGAGAAGCCTTGGAGGATCTTGACTTTAGAGCCAGGTCCTCAGGCACCAGGGAGAGAAGGATAGGAGGTAGACAAGTAACTCCAGTTCCCATGTCTGGTCACCTCTTCCAGGGCATGTCGGAGACTTTTGAGACACTACATAACCTGGTGCACAAAGGGGTCAAGGTGGTGATGGACATCCCGTACGAGCTATGGAACGAGACCTCTGCTGAGGTGGCTGACCTCAAGAAGCAGGTACAGGCCCTTCTGCCTGCTGTGCACAGTGGGGACAGATAGACACTGGGTTTGTACTGAGGAAGGCCATCAAGAGCTGGTGACTCTGGTCAAGGCCTTTTGCCTTTCAGACTTCACTTTCCTCAGGCCAGTCACAGCCACCCACCAATCACAGTGTGAGTGGTGAAGCCTAGGCAACCATATGGGAGGAGGCAGGTGCTTGAGCTTTGCCAATCTCCAGTGTTGTGATCCACAGTGTGACGTGCTGGTGGAAGAGTTTGAGGATGTCATTGAGGACTGGTATAGGAACCACCAAGAGAAGGACCTGACTGAATTCCTCTGCGCCAACCATGTGCTGAAGGGCAAGGACACCAGTGAGTATGAGCGTGAGAGTTTATTGTTTTCTCCCTATGGAGGTGGAGAGGATGGAGAAGAAATAGAGGGCGCGGTGGGATCTTGCCCTGGGAGCTTCTCAGTGAAGTAAGAGGTCACAGTGCAGGTGCAGAGGAACATGCACAAGGAGGCTGTCGTGAGGTGGCTGCAGGGAGGTGGGCATCGGGCTCCAGTGGTGGTTGCTCTTCCTAGCAAGCCAGTTCTGTTCAGTCCTCTTTTTTTCCTCCCTAGGTTGCCTGGCAGAGCGGTGGTCTGGCAAGAAAGGGGACACAGCTGCCCTGGGAGGGAAGAAGTCCAAGAAGAAGAGTGGCAGGGCCAAGGCCTCAGGCAGTAGGAGCAGCAGCAGCAAGCAGAGGAAGGAGCTGGGGAACCTTGAGGGAGACCCCAGCCCCGAGGAGGAGGAAGGCATTCAGAAGCCATCCCCACTCCCACACAGCCCCCCTGATGAGCTCTGAGCCTAACCCAATATCCCTGAACCAAGACCCCTGACTTCCTAGCTGAAGAGCATAGGGCATGGCTCTGGCGAGCAAGGTGGCTCTCCTAGCTTCAGGCCTTCTGCTTTGACTGTGCCCTCTTCCTGCCCAGGACAGACAACCCCAGGAAGAACTCAGCAGTAGCCATGACAGCCCATGCCAGCCTTCTCTCTCTGCCCACCAGTTCTCTTCTGTATGGGCTTTAGGCAGGCCATGCGGTTCAGGACCTCAAGGACTCCAGTGTGAACTCGTGAGGAAGGACTGATACTGACAACCAGGACTGGAGCTGCTCCAGAGCCCCCAAGGAGGGCGCACCTGGCCTGACCCCACAGGAGGCAAGGCTGCAGCCCCGCAGCTCCCCTCTGCCCTCCCCTCCGTGGACACTTGCGCTCTGCCTCGCCCTCCTCCCCAGGGCTTACAGAGTAAAACCTCTAGCCTTTTGTTTTCCATTCCTGAGTCCTCTTCAGCCTCAGAATCGTCCTTCAGCCCCTTGTTGCTTCTTCCTGCCCATCACCTTCCAGCTGGGGTTGAGGAAGGCAAGGCTGCTCCCACCCCCTCATTAGAGGGAGAAACTGCCAGGTGTTGGGAACGGCAGGCGCAGGGAACACCCATGGCTGTTGTGGGTTGAGGTGTGGATGTGGGCATGGGGTAAGGCCTGGCCTGGTATACTGACCCTGTTCTTCAGCTCTGACCTTCACAGAGCCACTGTGGCAGCTGCCCTTGTTTTCCCAGGCCCTCCCCACTCTGCTCCCTGGCTCCAGCTGTCCACCTGTGTCCTGGGCACCTGGCTGCCCTCCTTCACTCCTTCTGTCCACCAAGGCCTTGCCATTTGTTGTGTAAAGTGTTTGCCTCACCGGCTCCAGCCCCTCCCTCCTACCACCATCTGGCCCTGCCTATTCTTGAACCTTGTTCCCTGATGACCACACTTGGTCCCTCTCTGTTGAACCTGGGGCCCAGAGGGGAGGACACTGAGTCTCCCAACAACTCCTGGTTACACCATGTTCTTAGGGCAGGGAGGAAACAGAGGCTGGCCTCAGGCTGGCCTGAGGGCGAGGGTGGAGAAGTTGGTGGCAGGGGTCATGATAGTTGTAACCTTTATGATACACTTGTGAGGTGGGTTCTGCCAGCCCCACTTTTAGAAAGGGGAGAAAACAGGCTCAAGTGACATACCCGAGGTCCTCCTGTTAATAAGTGGTATAGCTGGAAGTTCAACTTCCAAGTCTACTATCTTTTCACCATCCACAGTTGCTAGTGCCCCTTCCTTAAGCGCCTGGCACTGACTGTAATTCATATTGAACTGGTTTGGTTTCTTGGCCTTGACCCACTACCACTGAAACTCTTTTGAAAGGAAAGTAGAACTAGGCATGGTGGTGCACGCCTCCTAGCACTCAGGAGGTGGAGGCAGGAGGATCAAGGGTTTGAGGTCAGCCTGGGCTAAATATTGATTTCCTGTCTCACGTAGCTCACTGGTAGAGCACATGCTTAGTGTGCACTTGGTCCTGGGTTCAAGCTCGAGCACCACCAAAAAGGAAGCTAGGAAGCAGCTGTTGCTCCTTGGAAGAAAAAATGGTGGATGGGAGAGCATGGGGAAGTCCTTCCAGAACTCTCCTCCAGATGACCACCCCCACTGAGAAACCATCTTTTCTGGACTCTGTGGTCGGAGGGGATACACAACTGAAAGTTTAGGGAGTTTTACTCCCAAGACCATGGAAAGTGGAGCAAATTGAATCTTTTCTTCCTATGGCTGTTGAGGCTTAGAACAGGCCTTGGAAGTTGGTACTTTTTGTGATCTAGCCCCCACCTCCCCATCTCCAGGACTGAACGTCCCCTTCTTAAAGGAGCTACTCCAGCTACTCTCAGCTACTCCAGAGGCTGAGATTGATAGGACCACGGTTTGTGGCCAGCCCAAGGAGAAGTTCTAGAGATCCCAACTCAACCAGTCGCTTGGTGTGATAGCATGCACTTGCCATCTCAGCTATGCAGGAAGCATAAATAGGATCACTGTCCAGGATGGCTCAAGTGGTAGACTACCTGCCTAACCAAGCACAAGACCCTAATACCACAAAAAAGAGGGATGGGTGTGGGCTAGTGGACAAAGATTCCAATGCAGAATCAGGTCTCCTCCTGGACTTTGTTCAGTCTTAGATGGCTGGGCTGGGCTAGGGGGCTGTGATCCAGGGTCAGGAATTTGTTTGTAGCTCCCTGCACTGTCTAGATTTTGGTAGCCAGTCTCTGATTCCCCTGTTAGATCATCAACCCACATCACTTTAGTCCATAGTTTATGTCTGTCCTCAGAGCATCATTTTTTCTTAAAGTTGGATGAAGCAAAGCCCTATCAGCTTCCTGGGGTGTTGGCCCAATGACCCAATCCCAGTCCACTCCCAGGACTGACTGCAGCAGTGATGTGACTGTTCTGCTCTTTGACCTGTGGCTGCTGCAGGGAATCCTGCCCTACCTCCCAAGGGCCAAGTGTCACACATTCCCTAGCTCTCACCCAGCCCACCCTGGAAAGGATGGAAGACAGGATCTGGCTTCCTAAGTTTTTCTCTCCCCATCATACATACGAGTCTTTTTTTTTTTTTTTGGTTGTACTGGGATTTGAACTCAGGGCCTACAGTTTGAGCCACTCCACCAGCCCTTTTTTGTGATGGGTTTTTTTTCAAGATAGGGTCTCAAGAACTGTTTGCCTGGGCTGGCTTTGAGCTTTTGAACTGTGTTCCTCTTGATCTCTGCCTCCTCTAAGATTATAGGCGTGAGCCACCGGCACTTGGGCTTTTTTTTTTTTTTTTTTTTTTGGTTACTGGGGTTTGAACTCAGGAGCTTGCACTTGTCTGGCAAGAGCTTTTGAGCCACTCCACCAGCCCTTTTATTGTGCAGAGGGTTTTTTTGAGACAGGGTCTCTCGAACTATTTGCCCGGGCTAGCTTCAAATCATGATCCTGATCTCTGCCTCCTGATTTTTTTGGTTTTGTTTTTCTGCAGTGCTGGGGTTTGAACTCAGGGCCTTGCACTTGCTAGGCAGGTGCTCTGCCACTTAAGACGTCCCCAGTCCTTGAAATGCTTGTTTAGGCTGCTGGGTTGGGCGCTCACAATCTGCATGCTTAACAAACATCTCTCAAGTTTCCAAAGATGAGGCCAGCTGGAACCCACATCACAAGAGGGGGTAGGACTCAAGTGAAGTCACTTTGGATCAGGTCTTGTCCTCAGAAACACTTGTCAGACCCCCAGAATGGATTCATCTCTCAAGAGTGGTTCTATCAACCAGGACCACAAAGGCAGGTGACAAACCACAGCCAGTTTATTCCAATTCAATTATTAAAAAAAATCAAAGGGAGCTGAACAAGGTGGCATTCACCTGTAATCCCAGCACCTGGGAGACTGAGGCAGGAGGATTATGAGTTCCTGGCCAGCCTCAGCTACATAGCAAGACTCTGTCTTGAAAAACAAAACAAGAAAAACACAGGGACTGGGTCTGTACTTCAGTGGTGGTGGGTTAGTGATCTTATGAACCACAGGCCCAGACAGTAAAGTCTCTCTGGTGGTCTCAGACCGCAATCAAGTTCTCTTAGGTTTTATTTTATTTATTTATTTTGCATTACTGGGGCTTGAACTCAGGGCCTTCGCCCTGAGCTACTCCACCAGCCCTTTTTTGTGATGGGTTTTTTTTCAAGATAGGGTCTCACAAACAGTTTGCCTGGGCTGGCTTTGAACTTCAATCCTCCTGATCTCTGTCTCCTGCGTGGCTAGGATTACAGGTGTGAGCTACCAGTGCTCAGCTAAATCCTCTTAATTTTGAAGGGCAGCTCCTTTCCTTTTGTTCAAATTCACAGGTGGCAATTTAGGCAACATCTTTGAACACGTTAGGAAAGTGCTCTCCACACTGTTGGCTGCCTCCTTCACTTTTACTTTAAAGTTGTTTTAAGGTAAGCTTTGTTAGAATAAGTCCTTGGCTGAATATCTGTCAGGAATTTCTGTAACAGTATACTAACCAGCCAGGTGAGATGGCACATGTCTAATCCTAGCACTTGGGAGGCTAAGGCAGGAGGAACACAAACTGGAGGCCAGCCTGGGCTACACAGTGAGACAAAACAACCAAGGACAGAGGATGTAGCTCAGTGATAGGGTTCTTGTGTAGTTTGGGAAAGGCCCAGAGTTCAGGGTTCAATCCCCAGCACCACACACAAAGTTTTATTTATATGTGTACGTCTACATGCATAACTATGAGGTTTGTGATGGAATGGCAACCCCTTAACTGTGGAGTCCTATAGCATCCAGATGTTCAGAGTAACCTGTAACTCTCTGATTCTCAAGTACAAACAAAATTTCCCATATTTTATTTTTGTGGAGCTGGGGATTAGAACTCAGGACCTCGCCATGCTAAGCAAGTGCTCTTACCACTGAGCTGCATTCCTGCAACTATTGGCTAATCTACAGGTGACTTTTCCCCAACAGTTCTTTTTTTTTTTTTTTGGTGGAACTGTGGTTTGCACTCAGGACTTTGTGTTTGCATAGCAGGTGCTCTACTGCTCGAGCCACACCTCCAGTCCATTTTGCTGTGGTTATTTTGGAGATGGGGTCTCCAGAGCTATTTGCCCAAGCTTGCCCTGAACCACAATTCTTCTGATCTTAGCTTCCCAAGTATCTAAGATTATAGGCATGAGCCACTGGTGCCCAGCTCCCCAACAAATTTTTGAAGCCTTAAGAAATTCCTAGGTCCTCAGGGCAAAAAGAGTGACCATCCTACCCTCTTCAGCATTCTTAGGCAAAGCAAAAAAAAAAAAAAAAAAAAAGTCACTAAAAAATTCATATGCAAATATAAAAAAGACCCTGAATAGCAAAAGCAATCCTGAGTAGAAAGAGCAACACTGGAGGCATCACGATATCAGACCTCAAATTATGTTACAGAGCCACAGCACCAAAAACAGCCTAGTGGGCTGGCAGAGTGGCTCAAGCAGTAAGAACACCTGCCTAGCATCATGAGGCCCTGAGTTCAAACCTCAGTACCACACCAAAAAAAAAAAACCAAAAAACCAAACAGGTGCCCAACAATCAATGGAGAATATATATCTGTATTAATAATATATAAATGTATATATATTATAGAATCATATATCATATATAATGGAGTATTAGCCATAAAGACAAAGGAAATTGTATCACTTGCAGGAAAATGGATCTAGAGATCATGCTGAGCCAAGTTTAACAGGCCAGGCATGACGTGTTCAAGCTCATTTGTGGAACCTGTATCTGAAACGATGGGTGATGTGGGGCACTGCTCAGCTGGAGGGCGGAGGGGAAGGAAAGGATCCTGAGTGAAGAGGATGGACGTGGATACACATGGAGACAGCGGAGTGACAAAGGGATGAGGCGCAAGGGGAATAGAGATAGAATGGGGGGTTCAAGGTACACGGTACGCGTGTGTGGAATTGCATAATGAAATCTCATATCATTAATGCTAGAGTGAACATAAGGACAGCCACGATAGGACCATACCCCTTCCCCTTGCAGGCAGCTTACTGCAAACACCCCACCACTTACTGGAAAGATCACACCTGGTCCCAAAGAGTGATAGAAATCCACCTTACCCTAGTCTAAGTGGAAGCAAGAGTTGGTTGGGTAACTAACTGACCTAATCACCTACCCCTAGCAACAAGCTAATCATAAAAATCTTCATGGCCTAACCAGTTTCCTGGCACTTTCTGTTAACCTCCTATATCTACCCCCCCCAGCCCCACACCGCTTGTAAAGGACAGTGGTTCTAGATCTTTTACTGGAGACCCCCTTTGCAAAGGTTTCTTCTCCCCAATAAAACCTGTGCTGACATATTGAGTTGTCTCCTGCCTATCTTTCCTTGTCTTTTTTCCGTCTCACAATTAACATATGCGAATTCAAGAAGAAAAGAAAAGGATTTGAGGTCAGCCTGGGCTGCAAAGTCAGTCCTTGTATCAAAACAAAATTTTTTGGAATGGGGTATGGCTCAGTGGTACAGCACTTGCCTAGTATTTGTGAGGCCCTGGGTTCAATCCCCAGCACTGCAAAAAAAACAACAAAAAAAGTAATCTTATAGACTGAAGTATTTGCATGTTATGCCTTGATGCAAGGACGTAGTCTGAAAAGACAATTCTTTTTTTCTTTCTTGTTTTCCTTTTCCTTTATTGTTGTGTGCTGGGTAGGGGTACATCTTGTTTTATTTTTAAGACAGAGTTTCACTATGTAGCCCAGGCTGATCTTGAACACCTGGGCTCAAATGATCTCCTGCTTCACCTGTTGAGTAGCTGGGACTACAGTCACGTACCAGGCTTCATTTCTTGGGTCTAGACAGACCCATATGAGACCATCTGTGTGCTAAAAATCAGATAGTTAAGAATGATTACACATTCTTTGGGGTTCATCCAGGTTGGAGATTCAACTGACAGTAAAAGGGGGAGGGGGAGGGGAGGCTCTTTTGTTCTCATGACCTAATTCACTTTTTCTGAGGCAAGAAGAACCAAGGCAGGTGAGAAAGGTTTTTCTCCACATCTTGGGCTTTGCTTGGGCATGTCTTCCAGAATCTACTTCAGTTCACTGGGGTCTTGTCCTTGGGAGAGAAAGCTTCTGCTTTGGGAAGGAAGGGTGGATCTGAAACCAGAGTTTTGGATCCAAGTCCCAAAATCCTGAGATTCCATATGCCAGGTCTGTCCACCAGCCCCTAAATGCCAAATAAAGAGGCATGGTGAAGACAGAGAAAGGAGATTTATTACACGGTTTGCAACATGCCGTGTTGAGGCAGGCTGGACTTAGGAAAAGTTCGGGACTCTTAGAACAAATATGACTTGATACTGTATGTCAGGTTGAACATTCTCTTTCTCTGAGACGTCTTTTCAATTACAAATGTGTGTAGGTTATCCACACCCTGGCTCAGGGACAACTCAAGCCACCTCACCTGGCCCAGGGACCACCCATGCCCTCCCCACTCATCGATTGTTGGTGCTTAGGAATCACCAAGTTCTGCTCTTCCCATAGGTTAGTGTAAGATTTAAAAGTACCAGCAAAAGAGAAATTCACCTGGTCCCACCATGCCCCTTTTGTAATCTCCCTCCCTAACTTTTAATAAACTCCATTTACACCCACATATCCTGCCATAGATTCTTCCACATGGGACACAAAGAATTTGGAAATCTAATCAGAGATTGCATTATTGCTGTTAACACTGGGAAGAGGCAGAGTAAGCACTCAGATCATCTTCAGCCATCTTTGGGGTACAGACATGAGCTACAGGTTTAAGTAGGCAAAAGAACTGGGGGCAGGGGACAAAAGGTATGCATAGCTAAACAGTTCAGTCACAGGCGTGGTCTGGTTGGACAGCTCAGTCTTTGTTCTGGAAGAGGTTCCAGAGTTCTTATCTGGAGTCAGGCAGGTGGTCTATCCAAAAGGAGGGTCTACTATTTGGGGTTGTTTTGGTCCCTTGTCATGAAGATGTTATGGATCACTCCTGTCCTTCCTTGATTCCACTGTAGTTGCATGGTGACTGCAGACAGAATGGCTTAGAGCAAAGACAGATACAAAATGGAGGAGAGATACCATGCTTTTCTCCTCTTGCATTCAATTCCTAGGTCTGAATAAGGAGTCAGTGCTTTCTCAGCAAGAGCAGTGTAAGCACCTGCTTGTTACAGACAAAGGAAACTACCAATTTATGAACTGACAATGGGCAATATAATAGCAAGTGCTTGGCACTAAACCCTTCCACTCCTGACTGTGACCTTCCCTTCCTGTGAGCAGCTGCGGAAAAGTAGGTGGCCTTTAGTATAAATGTTTTTGTGGAAGGAGGAACAGTGGCCTCCCTGCATTGCCAGGGCTGATACCCAACTCCTGAGCTCCAGTGACCCTCCTGCCTCAGCCTCCCCAGTTGCTAGGACTGCAGGCATGCACCGCGGAACCCAGCAGAGGGTCTTTGGAAGAACCGAAAGGAAGGAGCAGACATGGTTTTAAGACGCTCAGGGGAAGAAAGTCTGAAGCTGTCACCTAGAGAAAGGTACACCTGTCTCCAAGTGGGCAGAGAAGATTCCTGAATGCACAGACCAGCATTATCCTGGGAGACTTCCCATGTCTGCCCAACGCTGGCTGATTCAGCGCCCGCCCTTCAGCAGGATGTTCCTCCTGCCGCTATGCTAATACCGTCCCTGGCTGGGCACAGCCCAATCTTGCCCGCTTGGCTGCTCAGCTTTGTGTGGATTTTGAAGTTTTCTTCCTTTTCAACTTGGGTAGAGCTGGAATGACGTTCTCGCCATTCCGTCCTCTCTCGGCTTCTTCTGAAGACCCTGGCAGAGAGTTGGGAGGGTCGGAGCGTCCTAGCTCACTGCGAGATTGCACAGAGAACAAGAAGGGCCCAGCACAGGATTGCGGGGCCAAGCCAGCCGTCAGCCGGGCTCCCCGCCTAGAGCCCAGCAGGGGCGTGTCCCCGCGCTCACCTGCCATTGGCCAGGTGGGGCCGCCCGGCCGCAGGCAGCGGCTGCGCTATAAGTGCGGAGCGCGGGGTTGTGCAGCCAGGCGCAGGGCAGGATGGTGGACAGCGTGTACCGGACCCGCTCGCTGGGGGTGGCGGCCGAAGGGCTCCCAGACCAGTATGCGGACGGGGAGGCGGCGCGCGTGTGGCAGCTCTACATCGGGGACACCCGCAGCCGCACCGCCGAGTACAAGGCGTGGCTGCTCGGGCTGCTGCGCCAGCACGGCTGCCAGCGGGTGCTCGACGTGGCTTGTGGCACCGGGTGAGCCCGAGCGGGGTCCGGGGAGGGGACCCCGGGGGGCTGGCTCTGTCTGGACCACTGGACCATGATCGGTCCCCGCGGGACACCAGGGCCACGAGACTGTGCTGCCGGGCCGTCGCGAGTGCACCGGCCAGGAAGGCGGGAGGAGGGGACAGAGGAGACTGGGCGAGGGCAAGTGTGGGCAGAGAAGTGGGGGTTCCTGGGGCAGAGTAAGAGCCGGGCTTTGGGGCCAGGCTGGATCCTTGGCACCAGCATTGTTCCTCCTGTGATGGCCTTGGGGCAGTGTTAACAGTTAACATTTGTTCAACATTTGCACACACCGAGGACCGTGCCAGTTTCTGATACATAAAGTTTTTCCAACTCACAAAACCCCATGACGTCAAGTAGTAATATTCTCCATTGGCTGGGAAATGATGCCCCACGGAAGTAAAAGCCCCCCATCTCCTGGAGAGGAGATCCAGACCTAGGTTGGTTATTTCTGGCCTGTACTCCAAACTCATGTGCTTCATATACCTCTCATGGATGAAATACTTAACTTCCAGGAGCCCCGGTTTGCATACTTCTCAAATGAGGCCATCATCTACCTCACAGGATTGCTAAAATGATTAATGCATTTTGTAAAGTGCCTGGCTATGAAAGTGTTTTTAAAAGTTGTTTTAAAAATCTGGTGATAAAACAGATTTGTAGGCATCTGAGGTCATTGGAGAGGGTTGGGAGAGGAGGCAGAGGAATGGGCTCTGAAAAGTTGGGACAGGAGTGCCACACACAGGGCCTCCTCCTTGGCTTCCCAAGCTCTCTGACTTCCCCTCTTGGCCTCCTGTTCCTGGCCCTGCCCAGGGTGGACTCCATCATGCTGGTAGAAGAGGGCTTCAGTGTGACGAGTGTGGATGCCAGTGACAAGATGCTGAAGTATGCGCTTAAAGAGCGCTGGAACCGGCGGCAGGAGCCTGCCTTTGACAAGTGGGGTATGTAAAGCCCCCTGGCCAAGCACTCCCAGTCCCACCTTCAGGATCACCCTTCTCCCTGCCCTAGGCTCCTTTACTTGGGGTGGGGTGTTTTGTTCCTTAGAATATAGCAAAATTACTGTCACCTTCCTGAAAAGGCATCAGGATGAGGTGCCAGGTGTCAAGAACTATTTTTTATTTTTGGTGCTGGGGAATGAACCCAGGTCATCATGCTAAGCATGAGCTCTACCACTGAGCTATACCACCAGAACCCCCTTCTTTTTTGAAACAGGGTCTCATGTTGCCCAGGCTGGCCTGGAACTCCTGGGCTCAAGTGATTCTCTTGTCTGCCTCCTTAATAGCTGGGGCTAGAGATACGCACCATAGCAGCTTGCTCTAAAGAGCTAGTTTTAACTGTTTACAGCATCCTATCCATTTTCCCAAATAAAAACCCATGAGCAGCTGGGTGCCAATAACTCATGCTTAACCTATAATCCTAGTTACTTGGGAGGCTGAGATTGGGAGGATCAGGTTCACGGCCATCCTGGACAAATAGTTCTCAAGACCCTCCATCTCCAAAATAACCAGAGCAAAATAGACTGGAGGCGTGGCTTAAATGGTAGAGAGCCTGCTTTGCAAGTGTGAAGCCCTGAGTTCAAGCCCCAGTTCCACAAAAACAAAACAAAAAACCCGTAAGCAGAGAGCCCTCTTTTCCTTCCTTCCTGTGGCTCTCCTCCCTTCTCACTCTCCAGTCCACAATGATCCCCTTCCTCTAACTGGATGGGGAGTCCTTGTGTATCTACACAACTGAGTCAAGACTGAACTTTTTAGAGGTGCCCACTACAGATTCCATGCTGCCATTCTGATTCCTCTTTCTTTTCCTGGCCCCCAGTCATCGAAGAAGCCAACTGGATGACTCTTGACAAAGATGTGCCACAGCCAGTAGGTGGTGGCTTTGATGCAGTCATCTGCCTTGGAAACAGTTTTGCCCACTTGCCAGACTGCAAAGGTGGGAGGTGTGACCTTGGGTGTTTACTTTGAGCCCTACCCCTTTTCACAGACTCCTTGCTGCTTGCTCTCCTGACAAGGCAGTCTCTGCTTTTTTTGCCCTTGGCACTGGCACCTGGGGAGGGGAGAAATGGGAGGGAGAGTGGTGCTGGGAGCCCAAGCAGATGAACCTCTCTGACCCTGCCTGGGGCCCAGGTGACCAGAGTGAGCACAGGCTGGCGCTGAAGAACATTGCGAACATGGTGCGGCCAGGGGGCCTGCTGGTCATTGATCATCGCAACTATGATCACATCCTCAGCACCGGCTGTGCACCCCCGGGGAAGAACATCTACTATAAGGTGGGGCCCACCAAGGGAGGGAGGTCTCCAGGTGGGAGGTGAAAATTTGGGGTCCAGTGGCCACATAGCGGGTTATTAAGGCTAAATACAACCTACCTTGTCTACAGAGTGATTTGACCAAGGATATCACAACATCGGTGCTGACAGTGAACAACAAAGCCCACATGGTGACCCTGGACTACACGGTGCAGGTGCCAGATGCTGGCCAGGATGGCTCTCCTGGCTTAAGGTACCACTAAGCTTGGCAGGGGGGAGGTGGCAGTAGGGAAAGCTTAGGCAGCAGCTCTCATGGTTGCCTGGGGGTCTTGTTGCAGTAAATTCCGGCTCTCTTACTATCCACATTGTCTTGTGTCCTTCACGGAGTTACTTCAAGCAGCCTTCGGGGGCAAGTGCCAGCACAGTGTCCTGGGTGACTTCAAGCCTTACAAGCCAGGCCAAGACTACATTCCCTGCTACTTCATCCACGTGCTCAAGAAGACAGGCTGAATGTGGGTGCCTTCTGTTCCCACAAGCCCCTGCTCAGGCGCTGCCAGGCTGGGGAAGGGGGCTCTGTGGTTCTACCCAAGTCCAGTGCCCACTGCAAACACTGCAGATGGGGTGCAGGGACATGGGGTCAGGTAAAAGTTAGGGTCAACAATATATTCTGTGCCTTTTCCAATTCCCTGTGCCTTATGATTCTGCCAGAAGGAATGGACTCCTGTGGCATCCAACCCCACCCTCCTCGAGGCCTCACTCTTCCTATAACCTGGCTCTTTCCTACCCGACCTCTCACTACACCAGTAGGGGCAGCATATGCTTTATTTTCTGCCATACAGCTGGCCGCCTCAGGGCTGATCCCCAGACTGCTGGGCCCATACCCTCCTCCTAAGCATGTGGAGGGCTGGTATGGAAGGAGGGGCAAGTACAATACTGTTCAAGCTCTCCTAGAGTCTCACAAGACCACTCTGTACCCAAGGGATCTCCTGAAGAAGGCAGCCTTCGGGTGGGTTGATGGGTTGACAGCAGCCCGAGGAAGGACCCTGTGCTCCCAGGTCTGAGGGGCCATCAGGCCATCCCATTGTGAGTAGTCCTTGATGGCAGGTGGTGCCTAGCAGGCAGCAAACTTGCGCTGGATACGCTTATACCGGAGCAGCTCCTGCTCACTGACTGAGGGCTGTAACCGAGCAGCAGCCTGCAGAAGGTCTTCCATTGTGAGCATCAGTGCCGAACTCCCTGTCTCCAGCCCTAAGGGGTGACAAGAGGGAATAAGGTCAGGGTCTCCATCCCAGCCAGGGAACAGAGGCTATAGTTTATCCCCAGGGGCAGAACTTGGGGAGGACCTGCTCAGAGTCCTCCCAGATGTCCCTCCTCTGAAATGTAAGACCAGGCTTATTCTCCCACTAGCTTTTTGGTTGACTTCTGGGGCAGGCAAGTGACTCACCTTCCTCCAGGTCACGAACCCTGCGTTTGAGAGCAGTTGTCATGGCATCAGAGCAGAGAGAGTAGAGGTCTGCACCAGTCAACTGGGGCGGGCAGCAATCCAGCACGTTCACCAGGTCCACAGAAGGTTCTAGCTTAAACCTGTTGTGGCCATATGGAAAAAGTCACAGCTGGCTGCGCCTCCTCCCTTGAAAGCAATCACTGATGTGTGCATGTTGCCCACATCTCCTACCCATCCCAAGGCCCAAGCCCTTTGGGAGTCTTCCTCTCACACAGCATACTTGCGTGTGATGGTGCTCAGAACACGAAGCTGAGAGGCCCGGTCCTCACTTGCCCCCACAAACACCAGCTTGTCAAATCTTGAGGGAAATGGGGAGGTAAAGTGTCAGGGAGTCCAGCCACGAGGGCTGGAAGAAGTACAGAATAGAGCATAAGACAAGCCCAAATGTGCCTGATGAAGGTGAAATGTCCAGGGTATCCACCTGCCAGGACGCAGAAGCGCAGAATCTAGGAGGTCTGGTCTGTTTGTAGCTCCGATCACAAATACATCCTGAGTGCTGTGAAGTCCATCCAGCTCGGCCAGGAGCTGAGACACCACCCTGCAGAGGAAGCAAAGCAAGAGTCTTGTTCTGCCATCAGATTCTCCCAGAGCCTCTTCTTGAAGCCTTTGCCCAGCTCTGGCTGTGTATCCTTCCACAAGCCCCATCCTCCTCAATGTTTCACACCCAACTCCATTTTACCTCTATTATTCTGTCTCAGAACAGAAAGGGCAGGAACTTCTATCCTGGGGCTCTGGTCTAAAGACAGATGTGACCTGTCTCACATCCCTTCCACCCTTGGATATCAGACTCCATTTCCACTCAGATCCCCACCTGTCCATTACTCCTCCAGAGTCTCCACTTCGTCCCCGGCTTGGTGCCAAGGAGTCTAGTTCATCAAAGAAGATGATACATGGAGCAGCGGCCCTGGCCCTGGCAAACACTGAAGAGAGAGAGGCTCCCAAGAAGGGGTCAGGGGAGGGATGGGAACCAGAGTCTGGCAATTGAACACTGGCACTCCAGGTACCAGACCCAGCTGGGCAGGAACCCGACTTGAGGAAAGGAGGACCAAGAATGATCATGAGTAGCCTGGGGGTGGGGTGGCACAAGGCTGTCAGAGTTGGGGAGGGGCCAAAAGCCTTGCCTCCCCCTGCTCACTCACCTTCCCGCACATTCTCCTCACTTTGGCCCACATACATGTTGATGAGTTCTGGCCCCTTCACGCTGAGCAAGAGGATGAAAGGGTAAGACCCTCAGGTGAACACTTAGGCAGCCACTCTTGCTCCCCAGCATGCTGCTGGCCCCATCCACCCACCTTCCCTTTCAGAGCCTGCCCACCTGAGGAAAGTGAGGCTGCACTCAGTGGCTACCGCCTTAGCCAGGAGGGTCTTGCCAGTACCAGGAGGCCCATGAAGCAGAAGGCCTGAGCGCCTTAGGCCCAGGCTCAACAGCTCAGGATGCTCCAGAGGGAGCTGGATGGTCTCCAGAATCTCCTTCTTCACCTCCTGCAGCCCACCCACATCATGCCAGGACACGGAGGGGATCTAAGAGATGGAGAGTAGGTAGGTGGGGAGGTGCATGTGGAGAAAGATAGCGCTCTTGCCCCACCTCCAAGGATCTGAAGTCTCCACCTTGGGTGCTCCCACAGCCTGGGAATGAGCTGTCTGCAGTTGCTCTAGTGCCTGTGCAAAATCCTCAGCTAGGAGGGGAAAGCCAGCAGCACACAGCTCCCCCTCATCCTCCTTGCTCAAGCCACCTGCCAAACTGCAAAAAGAAACCCAAGGAGGGCCTCACTTGAGACCTCCTCTTTGCCAGGGTCCCATTCCCTTTTCCTTCCCTCACCAGGTTCCCCATTTCCTTTTACCACTTTTCCTCTTCTGTGCCTGACTGACTTCCTTACCCTGAGTTCTTGATCCTAGTGCAGGCTGCCCGGCTGCTGTGGGTCATAAGGGCACAGAGATCCCCTACCACGAAGCCCTAGGGAATCACAGGAAAGGCCACATGAGCAGAGAACTGTGGGCAGGAACCTATGGGCGGGTGGTCTCCCCGTGAGGCAGAGGCCTTGGGTTTTTCCACCTTCAGAGGGCAGAAGGACTGAGTTTCCATGACCTCTCAAGGAGGCATGATACCCTGTGTTGATACTCACTGCACAGTGCCTTGCCAGCTGTGCCAGGTTCACCTCCTGGCCCAGGAGAAGGTGGGCGGTAAGGGCCTGCAGGACACTGAGCCGCTGCCCCTCTGACAGCACAGGCACCTCCAGCTCATGAGGAAATGCTGTCTGCACATCAGTAGGCAGGTCCTGGGCTCGGCTAGTGGTAGCCACAACCATCAGAGGAGGGCAGCTGAAGACAGGGGAGTGGGCATTGAGGGTGAGAACATGGCTGGCAGCTCCTAAGCACTGCCTTATCCTGAGATTGGTGCAGAAGGGCCTGGGTGGAAGGGGTGAGTGCTGGGATGGAGTAGGGAGGTGAGCACCCTCCAGTGTTCCTGGCTGGGGCCACAGGAATACTTTTGAGTAAGGAAGCTGTGTTTCACAGGGGGAGTGCACTGAGGACAGAAGCTTCAACCTAGTGATCCCCAAGGAATACTACTAGACCACTTCCTACTACCTCTGGATGCCCACTAAGAACTCAGCCCAGGGGTGCAAAGGGCAGCCAGATGGGCAGCAGATTTCTCAGAAGCCACTTGGAGTTGGGGGAAAGAGGACTGAAAGATTGAAGAGAATCAGAAGGGCTGGGCCTTGCCTCTACAACAGGCCCCATTCTATAAATACCTGCTTAAGGGGTCCTCATGGAGGAGGAGGTGACGCAGCATGGCCACCACACGAGCATCCTCACCCAGCCCATCACGGTCTCGGCCCAGAAGATCCACAGCAGTCAGTAATAGGACAGCAGGCCGGCAGCGGCGTGCCCGGGAAAAGGTGGCCTGCAGTTTTGTCTCCACAGCCCCACTACTGTCTGCACACAGGCTGGAACAGGGCACCTGGGAAGGGGTCCCAATGGGGATATGACCAGAGGGAGGCAAAACGGGACGAGGAGGAATCAAAAGATACAAGCCACCTTTTTCTTCATAGGGCAGGAATGAGTAGAGGAGGTACACTGGCCAAGTCCTACCTTTTCTTCACCCTACCTATTCCCTAGACTGTGCACCAAAATTTTGAAACCCCCCTTTTTGCTGGAAGGCCCTCTCAGGAGCTAAGCATCATGGGACAATACTGGGTTACTGGGCTGAGGTGTTAAGGTCACCAGTCGACAAAGGAAGGGGACAGAAAGACAAAAACTAGGCTTGGAGAGGAGGTAGTTGGGGTTCTACTCTTCAGAGACCCTGACCTTCAGTAAGTGGAGTCCAAGGCGAAGGCAGGCAGCAGCCACTGCTGTGGTCTTCCCACTGCCTGGGGGGCCCCGAAGAAGGACACAGCTACTTCCTGTCAGCAGTGCCCCCCTGCAATCAGAGAATAAACACTGTCTCCTTCATTCTTCCCAAATGTTAAAGTTCCCAGTAATAAAGACACCTTGGGATCTCAAAACCAGATATTGGTTTCTCCTTGAGCCTCCCTGCCTCCAGCCCAGGCTGTCTTTACATGGTGAGGTCACATCTCCCACACCATCTCTGGCACTCGGGCAGGGGCACAAAGCATATCTAGCAGCCACAGACTGATTCCCTATGGTCAGCTGTGCCTTTGATAAAGTTTGCTTTGTTAGGTCTGGTCTGAACTGTACAGAAGGTGTCTAGGTTTCCACTTGGGTCACTGGCATGGGGAACTGAACTGTGTCTTTTATTGGTGGTGCTAGGGTTTAGAACTCAGGGCTTTCTGCTTATCTGAGCCACACCTGTAGCCCAGCTGAGTATTTTAAGACCAGGGTAGTAAAGGCCAAGATGACCTGAAGCCTCTCCCAAGGCAGATAGCTGCCCCTGCTGGAGATTCTTCCTCTACAGGGAACCCTGGAGGATGCAGATTATCCCAGGAAAGGAGCCTAGTAATCTGCTCACTAGGAATAGACTGGTATCCTGGATCGTGTGCCCTGGTTTGAGGACTTCCACTCTGGCTAGAGCACTGGGAATTTTTGTCAGGGTGCTACCCCTCCAGGATGTTCTGGGCAGGCTCTTCTCACAAACTTTGACTGTGGCCTCACTCACCCCAGCTGGAGGCGCGGCTTCAGGGCAGTGCAGAGCTCCATCACCAAGGCCTCCAGGCCTGGAGGAGACAAGCTGCTCCAGACAGTAGATCTTTCTGAAGGAAGCGCTGGAACAGGGCTCAGGGTAGAACCTAACTATGAAAGGTTGGAGGAAGCTTGAGGTTTTCAAAGTTGTTTTTAGCCACTTTGCCAGTCTCCTCCCAACCAAGGTCTCACCATGTATAAGGACGTATGGGTGGTATCTGCCAGATAGGCGCTGGTTGGCCCACCTGGGGCTTCCCCAACTGTTTTCTTCACTTTAAAAAACATCTCTCGCCACCTGCAGGAAAAAGGCCCAATGAACCCCAGATCCAGAGGACACATACCCTCCTTCCCAAGGACAAGTGGCTTTCTCAATCATAGAGAACAAATAATTGCCTTAAGACATGGCAGGGGTGGGGTGTGTGGGCAAGGGAAAAGGGAAGCAGACAGTCTTTCCTAAATCTCTGAGTGGAACATACACTTTTTTTTTTTTAAGTTTTAGCAAGGATTTATTTTAGCGTTATCAGGAGAAAGTAGGGGGAAGTGGGCTGAGTAACGGGAGAAACATTTCCTGCTCCCCATGACTTTGCAGGAAATTGGAGTAAAGACTCAAAATGGTGTTTCTTATCTGTGGCCTTTATGTTTTGTGAGCTGGGAGAATACACATGGCCATATAGTTTAGTAACCCCTAATCATGACAATAGTTCTGAGTGACTAAGATGGGTGCTGTTTATTATTTTAAGACATGGAGATCCAATCAAGGCCTACTCAAAATAAAGGGAAAATAGGTAAGTTTGGGGATTTTTCCTTTTTAATCCCTGCAACTTCTTTACATCTCAAGGGGAAAAGCAGATGCAGGTAACCCTTTGATGTCCCCTTATCCTTGTAACTTAAGATCTAAAAGGAGGTGATGGGAGGGGAACTGCTTTAGTTTTCCAGTTTTTACTTCCTGGTTCCAATGTCTGAGTCTGGCCCTTTTAATAATTATTGAAAATAGTGTAACTTCCCTGTCTCCTCATCTATCTATCCTGCCTCATTTCCTCCCTAAATGACTTTTGGGCTATACACATTTTGAGGGCAGAAGCTATGCCCATCCCTGTGTTCCCATGACAACCATCAGAGAGCCTTACACATGCTAGGCAAACACTCTATCATTGACCTACACCCCCAGCCCTAGGCAGTGATTCTTAACCTTTCTTCAGTTATAAACCAGTTTGGGAACCTAAAGAAGGATTTTTTTCCTCTCCACAAAAATGTATCAACAAGGTATTCTTAGGCACAAAGTTATTACCTATGATTCAGGGGGAGAAGACTGTAGAACTGCACCCAGGTTATGAGTCTCAGCTGTAGGACAGGAGGCAGCTGCATACCTGGGCAGTTTCTCTGGACTTCCTTCCAGGATCTCTGCTTGCCCAATTGTTGGTACACATAGAACATCCCCTTCCTGGACTACCCTGCAACACAGAAGCAGTCTTGGTCAGCTCACAATGGGGGTCATGGACATGTGCCTGACACATCTCCCCACGCCCAACTCCAGCATACAGACTATTTCTTAAGGATCTACTGTATAACAGAGATTTTCCAGGGAAAAGGTGAGAACTAGACTGAGAAATGGTGGAGGGACTAGGAAGGGGGATCAGAGACCAATGAGAGGCAGAGAAGGTTCTTGGTTTTTTTGGTGGTCCTGGGGTTTGAACTCAGGGCCTCACACTTGCTGGGCAGGTGCTTTGCCACTTGAGACATTCTGCCGGCCAAGCTCCTGGCTTTTTTGAAGTCCTCTTTAATCAAACAGGTTTCTTTTTTCTTTTCTTACTTTTTGTTGTTGTTTGTTTTGAGACAGGGTCTCATTATATAACTGACATCTAACTTACTACAGAGCCCACACTGGCCTCCAGCTCTCAATCTTCCTGCCTCAGCTTGTCTAGGGTTGGGATTAAAGATGTGAACTACCATATTCAACTTCAAACAAGTTTCTTTTTTCAACAAGAATGTTCAAATTCACCTCATGGTTCAGATTTATCTTCTATTGTCTAACACACTAAGAAGCTCCTTGCCACAATATTGCCTAAAACATGGTTTCTTTTAACCAGAGGCCCTTGGGTGCCTGGATCTAGGTATGGGATAGGATAACGACAGGGTGAGATGTTCTCTTCCTTAAAGGGGATAGGCAGCAGCTAACCTGGCTGTTTGAAAGTGCCGGTAAAGAACATGGTCATAATTTCCACTAGTGCTGTAGTGAGGAGAGGACACAATTTCGATGTGTAACTCTCTAGCAAACGGAGGCCCAGGCAGCAATGAACAGCTTCCTTTGTCTTCAGGGGAGATGGAGCCTTCCAAGTACCTCTGTTAGAGAAACAATCATCATCTTACAATCTTCTCCCAAGGAGTTAGGTTCTGCCCTGAATCTTAGCAGTATTTACCCCATCCTATATCCTTCCCATAACCACAAGGCTTCTAGGAGGTGGGTCCTCAGGAACCTCTCCCTCTAATGGGCACCAGGAAGAAGTGTCACCTCTCTTCCTGACTCTGGGTCCAACAGCTCCCCAGTAAAGATACCTTTGATTTGGCCCATAGCCAGTAAAATGGCAAAGACATTTATTTGAGTGACACTAGGCAGGCACTGGGTATAAGGAAATGTGGGCCCCAAAATGACCACGTGGAGAGGAGTGATTTGGCCAAGAGATTCTTTATTGCCGGGTGGGAGAGGGAGAGAGCAGAGAGCAGAGAGAGAGAGAGAGAGAGAGAGAGAGAGAGAGAGAGAGAGAGAGAGAGAGAGGCAGGGACTTAAATACCCCTCGGTGGGACTCAGCATGATCTGATTGGTTAGGATCTTATGGTTCATGCTGATTGGAGGTTGGGGAAGAAAGAGGGTTCAAGCTAGACTTGAGGCAGGACCATGACCCAGGAAAACAGGAGCTTAAGGGTGCAGTAAGAACTGAAACCTATTGGTGCCATTATTGCCAACACTGGGATTAATATTAAATGGACGGTAAGTGCCGGGTGCTGGCAGTTCATGCCTGTAATCCTAGCTTCTCAGGAGGCAGAGATCAGGATGACCACAGATTGAAGCCAGCCAGGCCAAGTAGTTCTCAAAAATACCCAATACAAAAACAGGGCTGACAGAGTGGCTCAAGTGGTAGAGCACCTGTGTAGCAAGTGTAAGGCCCTGAGTTCAAACCCCAGTTCCACCAAGAATAAAAAAAAAGAACTGGACATCAGTGAGAACATTTGAGTGCAGACTATGGGAAACGGACACCAGGGATTGAACTCAGATCCCTGAGCTTCTTGCTAGGCAGGCCTTTTTTGCTTTAGTTATTTTTCAGGTAGTTTTGTGTTTTCTTTTCTGGGGCCAGCTTTGGACCATGCCTACTTATGCCTCTATGTATCTTGGATTACAGACATACATCACCACACACCCTACCTGTTGGTTGAGATGGAGGTCTCACTAACTTTTTGCCAGGGTCAGCCTGGAACCTCGATCCTCCTGATCTCTGCCTCTTGAATATCTGGGATTATAGACATTCACCACCAGACCCAGTCCCTGACATAATCTTAAAGATGAAAGGCTTAATTCAGCAGAATGAGCTTCACTCTGAGTATGCCAGCAGATTTTCCTCCATTCAGAAGAAAATTGACATCCCTTTCATTCATGTTATTTTTCTTCCTAACTTCTCATTGTTTTGGGGGGCTTTTTTTGGTGCTGGAAATTGAACCCAGGGCCTCTTCCATGCTAGGCAAATGTTCTACCACTGAGCCATAACCACAGCCCCATCTCATAATATTAATTAATGATGCTAGCATTGCACAACAGAATTTTCTACAATGATGGAAGTGTTCTTTATTGGGCACTTGAAATGTGGTTAAAGCAACTTAACAACTGAGTTTTCCACTTTATTTAGTTTCAGTTCACTTAAAGGGCCACAAAATGACTAGTGACTTCCATATTGGGCAGCACCAGTCTAAACCTTACATCTAGATGCTTAAACATTACACTGCATTTGTTTTCCCCCAAACACAACCAAAGCTTCAAAACTTCTCTTGGGTGTATTTAATAAAATACTAAGAATAAACACCAGAAAGTAAAGATAATAAAGAACCCTTTCCTTCAAGGAATTTACAATATATAATTGGAGATTAGACAAGATTATGTAATCATAACAAGGGCGAGTAAGAAAAACATCCTCCAAAAGATACAAAGGGAAGAAAGAAATAAGTGTTAAATTTGTGGCAGTGAGATTATGAACAACTTCATGAAGAAGGTAGCACCTTTACGGAGGCCTTGAAGGAAAGGATGGTACGATTTTAACCGATGAAGCTATAAGAATAGGAAGGAATCTGAATTCAAGGACAAGATGGGCAGAAGCAGGGAGAGGCCATCTTCCACACTATCCAGCAAAATACCGGATACATTACAGCAATGCATAAATAACTGATTAGATTGAGCAGATGAAGACATGCCTGGTAATTTCACAGTGAAGCTCACCTTTCATTCGGTACTACTCCACTATGGAAGCTTATTATATTTTGATTACAGAAAATGGGTGAATAAGTTAGCTAAGAGCTGGGCACCAGTAGCTAACAACAGTAATCCTAGCTACTCAGAAGGCAGAGATCAGGAGGATTGCGGTTGGAAACCAACCTGGCAAATAGTTCGTGAGACCCTATAGAGAAAAAGCCCATCACAAAAAAAGGACTGGTGGAGTGGCTCAAGTGATAGAACGCTTGCCTATCAAGCGTGAGGCCCTGAGTTCGAACCCTAGTACCGCCAAAAACATAATAAGGCAGCTAAGAGACATCAGTAAAAAGCCCAAGATTGCAAGGTGCAGGGGACCTAAATTCTGCACCTCTAGTCTGCCCCGATTCAGTTATGACAGAAAAGAGGACATAAGGAAAAGGAAGCATTCCTGACCTGAATTCTGAGCTCTCCCACTTCCACGGGATCACAGCCGAGATTAAAAGCCAGAGTGGCAGGCACGAGCGCCAGTCCGTCAGCCAGCGGCTCTGCCAGCTGCCCGGAGCCGGGTCCCAGTCTCTCAGAGAGGTCCCAGCGAGGCTCTAGGACTCGCACGGTGGCCAAGTGCGGCATGGAAGTGTTCGTTAACCCTCCGGCGCGGGCCACCCACACCCATTCGCCCTGGAAGAGGCCGAGACCACGGAGACAGCTCCGGCTCACTCCCAGTGAATCTCCAGTCCCTCCCAGAACTCCCTGGAGATGCCGGACTGTCCCAGAAGCCGCGAAGGAGGACACCAGCGGCGGAGGTGGGGGTCGGCGGCTGTCCCCACCCTCTGGGCACTGTCTGGGCTGCCTGCAGAGCTCAGTCACAGCCAGCCGCGTCCCTGGCCCCAGCAACCCTTGCAACGATGGCCGCGTCTCCAGCACTCGCGGTCCGGGCACTGGCAGGGTCTCTCCGCGCCTGACCAGCAACGGTCCGACTCGCGGGCCGAGCCCGGGTCCCGGTGAGGTGCCCAGCAGCGCCCAGCCTAGCGCTGGAGGTCGCCGCACCGGCCGCGCACGCACCCGCGCCCCGGAGCCCAGTGCCAGGAGCCGCAGCAGCGCGCGGCTGACCAGCAGCTGCGGGGGCCCAGGACTTTGCTCCTCAGTCTCGGCACCTGGCCTCTCCAGAGCCGCCACTAGCAGCGCCGGCCCTGCTGGGCTCTCGTCTGCAGGCCGCAAGGCCAGCACCAGGCCCTGCCCCGCCGCAGGCCACGGGCCCCCGGGCGGCAGCAGCACTGCCAACGGGGGTGTCTCGGTCGGGAAGGGCTCCAGCACCCGCAAAACAGCCAGCGCCATGGTGACAGGAGAGCCACCCCCGCCAAGCACTCGGCTTCCGGAACCAGCGAACCGGAAGTCTAGGCGGTGCGAGAGCCATTTCCGCTTCCGTCAGCGGCAGCTTGAGGAAAATGGGCGGGGCGTCGGAAACTGGAGCCGGCTCTGAGGAGGTGCTGCCCCCTGGGATGATCAGGACCGTACCTCGACAGCAGAGCCTTAATCTCTGCGGTTGCGAAGCCTGAATGCATGCGCCCTTTGAACCCTCGTTTACACGGATTTGCCTTTGCCTTCTAGGGGAAGTAACGTCTTCTCCACCATCACGCCCGAGCACGCACTTCACAGTTTATTGACTGATCAATGAAAGCTCGGTGTGTTCTCGGCCTGGCTGGAAGCTGTAGGTTTAGGAAGGAATCCACTCCTTTGTGGAGATCGTCACAGTTTTCCCCGCGCAGCTGTAGGCGCTGAGGCTTGAGGGTTGCAGGTAACGTAGGAGGGAGTGGTTGGATTGTAAAACTCTTAGACGTGCTTATGGGTATGTAGTGACTGCTGGCTGGATTACTGTGAGTGAGTGATTCCTGTGGTCCTGGAGCGCCTGGGGCTGCCACACCTGTTCCAACGCATCCCGCACACGCTCCAGCACTTCTCGTCCTGTTCGCTGTCCTGTTCTTCTACTCGCACCAAATATGAAAACAAAGCACTTCTCCCTTTCCTCGACCCTACTTGTTCTTCCCCACCAATCCTTGAAACTGTTTGCATCCTAAAGGAGGGCAGGCAGAAGGGAGAGGTTAGAGGCTTCTGTCATGAGTACTGAGCTTCCTACCGTGCTGTTACATGGTCTATCCTTGTGTTCACTCCACTGCTCCACTACACTTAGTAGGAGTCCACATTCCAATTATTAACAGTTACTGTATTTTCATTGGTGGCGGCAATCTCTCCTTTCTGGACCTTCCATTCTATTCTCTTCCAGCTAATATCCCTCTTTCTTCTCTCCACAGCTGAGCACATGAGGCAGTCTTCCATGTCAAATATTGGAAAGTTGAGCATTAGATTTACATGTTATATTTCTAGCCCTAGAGGGTCAAGAAAATATTTAGATTTTTGATTATAGGTCCTGGCAGTACTTCAGGTCATAAACCTGAAATTGTCTATCCCACATTTTTTTGGGGGGGGTGGGACTGGAATTTGTAATTTGAACTTGTTAGGCAAGTGCCCTATCACTTGAGCCATACCTCCAGCCCTGTTCCCACATTTTAAAAACTGCATGCAAGAAGGTACTAAGAACCTGGATACACCTACATGAAAGTCTCAGTTTACTAGTCTTACTATATGTGGCTCTGTCCCCTTTCTCCCAGGGGAACCAAGGACTGGGTAAATGGGGGTGAACCTAAAGAAAATATGCTTGCTTTACACAGTAGCAGGCAAGTTCCAGGCTTCCAGACTAGGGTGCTTCTTGAGTCCTTGGAGATGGGTTATCTGGTATCCTGCCTAGATAACACTCGTACACCAATAACCATTCATAAATACACATCTTTTCCCTAGCAAATAATGGTTGGCATGTACTTTGTGTCGCCTTGAAATCATCATTAGTCATGAAAGCCAAATACTATTTCTGTGAGCCAGCCAGGATCCTACATTTGCTGTCTTCCTTACCTCTTTCTCATTCTTCAGCCCACTCTAAAATTTCTTCTACTCCTCTGAAATTTCCCTGGCAAAGATCACCAGTAACCTCCTAATTGCAGAATCACCAATCACGGTGTTGCTACTTTATCTTGCTCAATCTTACTCTGCCCAGTCCTTTTACTTCCTTTGCCATTATGATACCAGTCTTCTTCCTACATCTTTGACCACTTGTGGAAGTCATTCTCAACTCCTTCTTTCCCATACCATCCAATGAATCACCAAATCCTGTTGATTCTAAATATTTCCCAATCATCTCTTTCCCACCCTCATGGCCACTGTCTTTAAACACTGCTTTCCTTGAGCAAGGATTACTTTTGTGCTCAGGGAACCCAAGGCTTCCCCCATGCTGAGCAAGCAGTTACCATTGTCATGTTCCCAGCCTCCACAGGCTTTTTTTTTCAGTACTGGGGTTAGAACTCAGGGCCATGTGCTTGCTAGGCAGGTACCCTACTACTTGAGCCATGCACCTAGCCCTTACAGACTTATTTATTTTTGGTGTTACTGGAGTTTGAACTCAGAACCTCACACTTGCTAGGCTGGGGCTCTACCGCTTGAGCCACTCCTCCAGCCTTCAGGCTTATTTATTTATTTATTGCATTGCTGGGGTTTGAACTCAGGGCCTACACCTTGAGCCACTCTGCCAGCCCTTTCTTGTGATGGGTTTTTTTCCAGATAGGATCTCAAGAACTATTTGCCCAGGCTGGCTTCTGAGATCCTTCTGATCTCTGCCTCCTGAGTAGCTAGGATTTACAGATGTGAGCCACCACCACCGTGCTTCTCAGGCTTATTCTTGGGCCTTTTCCAGTTTCTTCAGGCAGTGGATGGGCTATTGGAGTAATGTCTTTGAAACACATTCCACCATTCGCCTCAAGGTTTGTGTAATTTATTACATTGTATTTTAATCATATGTTTATACAATTCTGTGAAGTTCACCAGATTGGGAACTCCCTGAGGGCAGGAACTGAGTCTTATCCATTAGAACACTGGCTTAGGCGAGGAACAGATTTTCTTGGGCGCTCAACAATGAGGGAGCTTTTCCACTTCAGTCTCAACTGCTCAAATCTAGCTGGTTCCCCAATCCCAGCACACTTGCAGTGTACAGGGATCCACTTCCTAAAGTTGCAACGAACCAGAGATTCTCATCTATTTCACCCGGATTCCACCCCGGCTAAGCTTTCTTTTTGCTCTTGGGCAACTCTGATCTAGGACAATCTAGAAGAATGCCCTGGAGGGCCCTTGGGAGATTTCTCCACTAATTTTGCGTCTGCAATTAGTACTACTTTACCTAATGAAGAGAGGAGCCCTTCCTTTTATACAATTTCTTTCCTCCAGTTAGGACCAGGCCGGGTAGCGGAGTGGGGAAAGTGTGAAATCCACTTCAGAAGGGAAGGGGCAAAGCTCCAAGGGCTAGGAAGAATGGCCTAGGCCGACGCACACCAGAGGCTGGAGTGCAGCACTCCTGGCCAAGCTTGGGTTTCCCCTTACCCCCGCCTCCTTCGCAAGCCCAACCCATTTTAGGGCGGGATCTCCTACTTCAACCAATTCTGTGAGCCGAACCCTGGCGGTTTGTACTCTTTCTTTCCAATGAGGAAAAAAAAGGAAGCAGCTTGGCTCCAATGACCAATCCAAGGAGGCGGCGCCTGGTTGTCAGGCAGGTTTGTAAGAGTTCGAGCCAATTGGAGGCTCAGCTACCGCTCGACCCGGGCGCAGCGCGCAGGCGGTGGCGAAGAGACGCCGAGCGGGCCGAGTGCGGCCGAGCAAAGCCGGAGCCGGAGCGGGGCCGCAGGAGCCGGGCTGGGTCCGGACGGGCCGAGATGCCCTATAAACTGAAGAAGGAGAAGGTGAGCATGGCCTTTTTCCCCGCGCCTCCGCCTTGGGGCCTGTTTGGAGCTCTGGGAGGGGCCCGAACCAGGCCCGGGACAGCCCCAGACGGACCCTCCCGTCCCGGCCCCTCGCAGGACTCCCGGGGCCAGCCCTCCGCCCCCACGCCTGGCAGCACCCCTTAGTCTGTGCCGCAGCTGGGACAGCTCCTCCTTCTTGCCCCAGTGGATTCCCCCCACGTACACCTCCTCCTTTCCTCCCTCCCTCTACCCCCGGGTAACCTCCTCTCTCCAGATCTGCCCCACTTTCAGGTCACTCTTCTGCTCTTTCTCCCCGCCTCCCTCTGACCCTGATCCCCCATCGGTTTGGGACAGCCCTCATCAGCTATTGCACCTCCCTCCAGAACTGCCCTCTTATCCTCCCCCCAACCCCCCGTTCTGCGCAGCCCCTTCTCTTCTTACCGGCCTAGGACAGCCTCTCCATGGTTCCCTACAGTCCCTTCTCCACGCCAAGCCCCCTGACCTAGAACAGCGCTGCTTTCTCTCCTCCACCCAAATCTGGCCTAGGCCCCTCCCTCTAGTTCTTCCTTCACACACAAACTTGTAAACCAGGACTGAGCCCTTCCTTCTGTGGATGGAACCTTAAAACGTCAGTGCTGGACGGGAGCTCTGAACACATGCAGTGCAATCACTAGTGGTATAGATGAGGAGACTGAGGCCCTGACAGGGGAAGGGACTTGTCCAAGGTCATGCAGCCTGCTTGAGGCCCAGCTGCAATATCAAGTCTCCTGACTTAAAGGGCTCACCTGTGCCAGTGCCCTCCTAACTGGTATCAGCTGGTTGGCTCCCAAATTCATCCTAGACCAGACACCTTTCCTCGATGGAGCAGGCTCCTCCCTCTTGTTCCTACTCCTAGGATAACCTTTGCATTTTTTTCCTTTTTGCACCAGTGCTGCATTTCTCCATTTCGTAGGGCAACTATCTTCAAATGGAGAATCTGCACTGTCTGATTAGTTTTCTTACCCTGAAGGCTAGCCAACCCCTGGACATCCATGCTTTGTCATGATGTCCTGACACAGACCATTTCTTTATTATTATTATTATTATATTATTATTAGCAGCGCTGGGGATCGAACCCAGGGCCTTGCATATACTAAGCATGTGCTTTACCACTGAACTATGCTTCCAGCTCCACAGGCCATTTCTTGATGTTGTCCTCTTTACTTTCTTTGTCTTCCTCCATACCGCCTTCACCAGTTCCTTATCCCTGCCTTCTTCCACCCTTTGTTTCCTGCTGTTGCTGAGGTCTGACTCAGAGGTGTGGTTCCTTTGAGGTACAGACTTATAGAGGATGCTAAGATACCAGTTCCAGCCACCCCCATCTTCTCTCACTTGGGGCTTGCCCCTTGTGTGGGAGCTGGCTCTGGCCTGGTGTTGTGGCCACCCTCCTGATGACCCCAGAGGTGTGTCGCTTTCATTTGCTCTCTGATCGGCTTAGTTACTGGGCTGCCATCTCTAACCTTATCAGTCAAACCATCCTGGGGCTGTTGGGTGTTTGCCAGGCAGCTCTGATTCTGTGTTGTCCCCAGTGTCAGGGCCTGCGATTCTGAGCATAGGGCTGGCGATGTTGTCTAGGCATCTAGGCACTGAACCCCTGAGGTAGTGAGCTAGACACCATGTGTGCCCCACCTAGGCCCAGTACTTGGGGAGTGGGCATGCCACCATGGTCTTGTCAGTTTAGCTAAAGATAGTGAACACACGAGACAGCTGTACTGGGAGTTAAGGGGGGTGGAATTAAGGAGGTTTGTGAGGTTGCCACCCATCCATAGTTTTTACTCTAATGTACCAGAACTTGTCCCATCTGCAGAAAGCCTTTGCCTAGTAGATTATTGAGAAGAGAAGCAATTCTTAAACTTGCTAGGATCACATGTGTATTTGGTAGAGAAAGAGTTCTGGAAGGATTGGAGTGCCTAGAGCCAGGCATAACTCTGACCCTGCCCCCCCCAACCCCCCATGAGATTCAACTTCCTGCATTTGATTTTTGGCTGCATTTGGCCTCCTTCAATGGTTGGCAAGTTCTGAGGGGGAGAGAGATGACAATGTGACTGAGGTTTGCCTGAATGGGATGGAGGCACAGAGCAGGGTGGGTGGGTGGAGGCTCTTTGTTGCTCATCCATCACCTGTCCCCTTTCTCCTTCATCTCTGCTGAGCCCAAACCTTGCTATCCTTCACTACCTTCTCCCTGAAGCCTTTCCTGAGCCCTCAACCACATCTGAACTCTCTTCCCTTGGATTTGCAGAATACTTGTTAGGATACTTATGACTTCTTTGTTTGTGTTCAGTCTTGGATGAGAATGAATTTTGGACAAGTCTTGCCTTCCCCTTGAGATAACTAAGCTTGGTTTTGGTTTGGCATCTCCCTTGCACACATAGGGGCTTACTGGATAGGTGGATAGATGGATGGGAGTGGGAAGATTTGCATCCCTCCCTTTTCTCAGGTTATTCTGATCTGGGACTTAGGTCTTTTACATTCCTGGGTGAGGTGACCCTGCTCCCTGCCACTTTCTTCTTGTTCATAATAATAGTAATAACACTGACCAGCATTAGGATTTTCTTTGGCCAGACAGTGCGCTAAGGGAAGTGGTACTATGATTGTCATTGTTTAATAGATGAGGAAACAGCTGGGCATGGTGGCTAATGCCTGTTATCCTAGCTACTCTGGATGCAGAGATCGGGAGGCTTGTAGTATGAGGCCAGCTTCAGCAAAAAGTTCATGAGATCCCATCTCAATCAGTGGCTGGGTGTGGTGGTGAGTCCCTGTCATTGCAGCTATGAAGGGAAGCATACATAGAAGGATCTGGGTCCAGGCCTGCCTGGGGAAAAAATGTGAGACACTATTAAAAAAATACCTAAAAAAAACCAAAAAGGGCTGGGGTGTGTGGCTCAGGTGGTAGGGCACCAGCCTAGCCTGAGTTCAAACCTCAGTACTGTCCATAAAAAAAAGCCAGGAAACTGAGGCTCCAAAAGCCTAGTTAACCACTACTATATATGTAGTTAAAAGTTGAGTCCAAAACACAGGGCTGGCTCCAAACCCTTTCTTTTAACCTCAGTACCATGCAGCAGTTGACAGCTGGGTTGGGCTGCAGTATGTGCATGTCACCTGTTCTGCAGAAGCCAGGGAGCAAGGCTGGTGGGCGCTGTTCCCACACCCACTTACACCTACGCACTAAGACAGCTGTGTCTCTCTTAGGCACATTCCCTGAGAGAGAGGTCTGTCTCAAGCGTCGTGCTGAGTGCCATAGGGTGGGTGGAGGGGTACCAAAAGAATAAGCAGTTTATGATCAAGTAGAGACATCAGACTGTGTGAAGATGGGTCAGCTCTGTCTGACGGGCTATTTCTGGTGTGTGCAGTCAGTCAACTTAGTGCTGTGTCCTGTCTGCATCCCCACCATCCTTTCCCTTTCCACCCCACACTGTGAGCCACTGGCAGGGGACAGGGTGGCCAGCCTGGTCAGTAGGCAGCGGAAGAGTGCTCAGCCTAAAGAAAGAACTCCTTACCCCTTGTGTGGCTGCATCAAGCTGCCCCACATCCAGAGTGGCTTGTTTCCTCCCCACCTCCAGAAGCCTTCCCCTACTGCAGCCCACACAGCTCTCTTCCCTGAAATCCTTTTGCCCCCACAGTCACAATCACTTGATTTAACATTTTTCGCTGAAGGGGCTTGGCTGCTGTTGAATTGCAGACTCTCAGAGCTGGAAGTGATTTCCAAGATTTGCCAATCCAGTTCTCATTTAAGGCTTGAATCCTTTTGCAACACCCTTCGAGGAGGTCACCCAGCCTCTGCTTGAATGCTCAGGGCTGGAAGCTTTTAGCTTCACTAGGCAGCCAGTTTCCATGCAACTAGTCTGTGAGAAAATTCATCCTTGTTTGGGGCCTCAGCCTGTCCTCTTGCTACTTCAGCCCATTGCTCTTGTGCTCCTGAGTCCATATGGACAAGTTGCATCTTTACTCCACATGGCAGCCCTTCATTTGCTGGTTAGGATCCATCTTGTTTCCCCACCCCAAGGACTCCTCCCTTCTATTGTTAACTATGCCAGCTCCTGCAGCTGTTTCGCTTGGGCTGTGCTTTTGAATCCACTGCCAGTATGGGTCTCATTTCACCTAAGAAAAAGTAGATTTCTCAGCCCGGCTCGGTGATACACGCCTGTAATCCTGGCACTTGTTAGGTGGAGGCAGAATGATTGTGAATTCAAGGCCAGTCTAGGCTACATAGTAACACCCTGTTTCAAAAAACCAAAAGGAAAAAAAAAGGAGGGGGGACTAGGATTGCTCATTGCCCCTCCCACCAGCTGATGCTCACAACTGAATCACTCCAGACTGGTCCTGTCAGTGCCAAGCACTCCACACAGGTCTGTTAACTGGGTGGAAGGTCATGTGAGCTGCAGTGGCAGCCATGGCACTTGGGTGATTTGTGTTGGGCTTGCATCCCCAAAGTCTTTTTTCACATTTTCCCCATCCTCTCCCTGTGCAGTTGCTTTTGTTTTGGCCCAAAGCATAGGAAGAGATGCTGGGCAGGCCAGGGCTCAGAGCCAGCTCCCAGGTTCCCAAGGGAAACTAGTGCTCACACTTTGTAACAATTCAGGGCTCTACCTCCATCCCTGTCCCTGTGCTAGTCTACAGAGGCACTCTTGGCATTTTGGATGGACACTTCCTGTACCTGTTAGCATCCTTGGGACCTATTGGTTAAATGCCAGTAGCATCCTCTTGTCTGGATGCTATTTGCAACATCTAAAAAAAATGCCTGCTTGTATTTCTGGGTGATCCTGAGAGGAGAGTGGTGACTTCTCTAGCATGGAAACCTCTGACACCCCTCTGACCACTTTATCCAGAAGCTAGTCTCTTGTGCCCTGATGCTTTTCCCTTAAGCTTCTTCACCTTGGTTCTTACCTGACTTAGGTGTAGTAGCAGCCCTACTACACCTAACACATGCACAAGTCTAGTTAGCTTACATATGAAAGAGCATTATCATGCTTAATTGTTGTGCTTGGCATGACTTCCTAAATACATTCTAAACTCCTTGAAGGGACCGATTCTTGCTTTCAGTGCCCACTTCTCCTCCCTCTCCCCAACACAAGGGGCAGACACAAGATATGTTCTAACTGATTGGTTCGTTGTTTGATTCAGTCTAAAGCATAGTTGCAACAAAGACTAAGGAGTCCAGACAGGGTCTCTGACTTCCCTAACCCTAACTCCCTTTTTCCCAGCAGGAGCCCCCCAAGCTTGCCAAAGGCACCGCCAAGCCCAGCAGCTCAGGCAAGGATGGTGGAGGCGAGAACGCTGAGGAGGTAACAAATGTAGACACAGCCCTGGTTGTGGTACATGTGCTAGCTTCAGTTCCTTCATGGTTATTGGGGTAAGGGGGAGGGGAAGTGGAGGACAGAGTTACTCAGGCAGAAGGGAAGGAAGCTTCCACAGCCTGGGAAGTACCTCAAGGGCCCATCTGGACTGCCCTCAGGCAAGACTTTGGCTTGTAGAAAGCAAATAAGCACTCTGATTTTTTCAAAGTCCTCAGATTCCTGTGAAAGTCATTTTTCTGTCTGCCAACTTTGAGTGTTGAAAATTCCTTTTTCAATGGTTGGGGGTGTGGTTCAGTGGTAGAGCTTGTATGCTTAGCAGACCCAAAGTCTTGGGTTCGATTCCCAGCCTCCCCACCCCCCAAAAAAAGAGCCTTTTACTTAGGACAAAAGCTGGGAGGTAACTGGAGGTGTGGCTCAAGTGGTAGAGCACCTGCTTTGCAAATAGGAAGCCCTGCGTTCAAATCCCAGTACCACCAAAAAAACAAAACCAAAGAAACACCAAAAAAGCTGGAAAGTGCCTGGTGCGTGGTGGTATGTAACTATGTTCCCACTACTCAGTAGACTGAGGCAGAAGGAGCTCAAATTTTAGGCCAGCCTGAGCTATGTAGACAGACTGTGACTGAAAAAAACAAACATAAAACCTGGGGTCCCAAGAAGAAGGAGAAAAGTCCACAAGTGCTTGATGGGATGGTAAGTGACTTTGGCGTGGTTCTGGGTGGGTAGGGATTGGGAGTGACTGGTGTCCCTGAGTGGGCAGGGCTAGGCCCACTGCCCTTGGTCTCAACTAAATGAGAGCATGACTGAAGAACAGTTATGAGCAGAGGTCAACACAGCTCAGCAGTCTAGGGCTGTAAAACAATAAATGTAAATGAGAGCTACAGAGGGGGTAGGGGGTTAAGGAAGCCCAGGGTATGTCTGGGACTATCTTAGGGTGTGCTCAGTTGGATGCTTTTGATGGTTGATGATACTGTGCAGATATGGAGCAAATAGCCATACTGTGTAGAAGCTGCTACTGGCACTTTCTCTGCTTCTTCCCTTCTGCTCTAAACTGTTCAGAGAGAAAGAGAACAGGAAATAGAGGTCTTAGCTATGGGCAGGTCTTGTGGGGTTTTTTTTTTTTTGAAAGAAATTGATTAACATGTGTTTGGGGTTAACTATGGATTTATATTTTCTTGGCCACTTCCGGTCCCTATCACTTCTAAAGAAATCCAAGCACTTTTCACACTGGTGACCATTGTTTTAGGCCTCACATAAATAATCAGAAGAAGCAGGATAGATTTTGCCCATTTTTCAGACAAGGGAGTAGAGGACCACAGAAATTACTCCTTCCTTTGCACTTACACCATTATCTGAACATGTCTCTAGACTAGCCCTTATCACTGTACAATGTAACCATTTGTTCCCATCTGTGTCTCTCCCACCAGGCTGGGAACTGAGGTGAAGAACCAGTGTTATTGTGCATTGCTTCTTCCCCACACCTGTGAGCTCACTTGGTCCACAATAAATGCTTTTGGGAACACATCCTCTGGGTTCAGTCTCTCCTTCAGGAATAATGTCAATGGTGGGTCCCACAGGCAAGGTAGTTGGGATCTAGTGACAGACATCCAAAGCAGCAAGAGAGACTTAGAACTAGGATTTAAATGGAGAGAAAAGAATACTTAGGAATATTGCCTAACTCCTCCTCTTCTAGTTATTAGGATTCCTTAGAGCAGCCTTCCTTGTCCACACAATTCCATCCCCAGGACGTGGTGAGGGGATATTAGTTGCTCTTCTGTCACCCAGTCGTACCATAGCATCCAACCACAACGGTAGTTAAATAAGGAGTTCACAAGGAATTATTTATTAGCTGTCTTCTGTGTTTGCATGGGAGCTCCATGAGGCTCTGGCTCACCTCTTAAAGGGCCTGGGCCAGCAGAAGCACCCAGTAACTAAATACATTAGTAAACTAGAGAATGAACGAACCAACCAATCAACTTCAGATTAGAACTGGATGGGATCTTAGAGTCTAACTATCTCATTTCATTTGATGGGAAAATGCAGACTTGAACAGATGAAGTATGGTGAGACCAACTTCTGTGATTTCTTCCCTGCCTTTTGGAGAGGTCTGCCCAGGGCAGTGGTCATGTTTCAAGTCCTCTGGGAAAGGAGGGTGTCACATTCACCTTGGGCTGTGTTTTGTGAAAAGCTGCCCAGGCTTGCCTATATGAGGCAGCTGCAGGAATTCTGCATGATTTTCCAGAAAGGGTACCTGTGCATGGATGGATGCTGGAAAAGTTGGGGACCAGGCTGTGAGGCCGTAGTGTTCAAATGCTGTTTGACACAGTCCTTTCCTAGTCCTTTTTCTAGCCCAGAATTTTGAGCTCTTCTGGCAAAATTCACTGTCAAGCATTTGCTAGAGCCTTTTCCATTTAGTTAGCAGCTAACCTTTATTTTTATTGAGCAATTATTTTATATTAGTTTCCTGGGGCAGCCATAATAAATTACCACAAACTGGTTGGCTTAAAACAATAGAAATTTATTCTCTCACATTTCCAGAGATCAGAAGTGTGAAATCAGAGTGTTGTAAGGGCCATGTCCTTCAGGAGTTCTAGAGAATTCATTCCACACTTCTATCCTACCTTCTGGTGATTTCTGATAATCCTTGGCATTCCTTTGCTGTAGATCACTTCAGTCTCTACTGCCATCTTCACACAGCATTCTCTCCTGTGTATCTCTTTCTCTGTCCAAACTTTCCTCTTAGTAGGACACCCGAATCCAGTCTGTCCTCATTTTCACTTGATTACATCTGCAAAGACCCTGTTTTCAAGTGAGGTCACATTCACAGATTCTGGGTGGACATGAATTCTGGGGGACACTGTTTAACCCAATGGACTATGTACCAGGTACTGTACTAAGTACTTTGCAGGCAGTGTTTCATTAAACTGTTTCAGCACTCCCTAGGGTCCTTCTATTATTATCATCCCCATTTTACAGATGAACATGAGGCTTAGAGACGTTGGATAGCTTTTACTCTCAGCGAGTAAATGGCAGAGCTGGGATTCAACCCATTCTGTGCCTTGGGAGCCAATTCTCTTGTGAGCTTAATGGAGTGATAGGCTGGCTTTAGGATTCTGGAAGGGAATCCTCGATTGGAAAGAAGTCTTGGGAGATTGGGTGAGACCCAGTGTGACTGTCTGCAGATAAAGGTCTTTCCCAGTCTGTTTTTGGAGAAAAAAATTCAATGCCATGGATTCTTTTTGCATGTTGTGCTATCCTCCAGATAGGGAGGAAGAAACAATCCTAGCCTCCCCTACTTCAGCCTATCTTCTCTGAGGCCACACTTTTTACCCTAAAAACCTGTTGATATTAGTCTTCTACTCCCTCCTGCCCCTTTCCCCCTAATGCTGCGGATAGATTGAACCTAGGGGTTTCACTCATGTAAAATATGTGCTCTACTACTGAGCTGCACCCCCAGCCAAATCCTCTGCTTAAAGACCAATTTTGAGCGGGGTGCCAGTGGCTCATGCCTGTAATCTTAGCTACTCAGGGGCAGAGACCAGGAGAATTGCAATTTGAAGCTAGCCCAGGCAAATTGTCAAGAGACCGTATCTTGAAAAAAACCCATCACAAAAAAAGGCTGGTGGAGTGATTCAAGAAAAAAAAACAAAACCAAAAAAACTTGGCATTTTGTTGCTTACAAGTTAAAATCCAAATTCCATGCTTTTCTGAGCTGGCTCCACCTCATTCTTCTGGCACCTTCCCTGTTTTCTAGTCCCACTGAATGTCCCATCTTCTGGTAGAACAAGCCTGTTTATGACTCAGACCCTTGTAGATGTGGTTCCATTGTCTGGACTGCTTTATTTCCCTCCTCTCTTTTCTTTTTTTTTTTTTTGGTCTACTAAACTCAGGTTTATCCTTAAGAGCTAAATCAAAACTCACCTCTTCAGGGATGTCTTCCCTAATTCTTCCAGGCAAAGTTTGTAGCTTAGCTCTGTGTGCCCATAGCTTTTGTGATTCTCTCTGTTCTTTTATTTCTCTTGAACCATTAGCTGCCTTTGTGGCTAGCCCACCTACTGGACTGTGAGCTCTTTGAAGGCAAGGGCCATGTTCTAGTCACCTTTTCATTTTTGATGCTTAGCATGATGTTTAGTGAATAAACGAAGGAAGAAAAGAATTAGCTGGGGGTATAGCTGAGTGGCAGAGTGCTTGCCTAGCATATGCAAGGCCCTGTGTTCAATCCCCAGCATTGAAAGAAAAAAAAAAAGAATCAAGAAAAGAATTAGGGTTAGAGTGCTAGATATAACCACGGGAGAGAATGCCTCTGTGGTTTTCAGGGTATTAAACCAAAATCGTCTTCATTTGTTAGGCCAGTTAGTTCAGTATACAAAACATTTAATCTTTACATTTTTTTTCCTGTTTTATTCATTTTGCAATGGAGTCTCGCCCTGTAGCCCAGGCTAGCCTCATGAGCCTCTTGCCTTAGCCTACCAAGTAGCTGGGATTACAGACATGTACCATTGTGTGTAGCTTCCTTTTCTGTTGTTTTTATGTTTTATACTTAATACTTACTACAGTGCTTAAATTATATTTCTGTTTCTTTATGTTTAAATGTCTGGGTTTAATTATTAATGGTGGCTATGTTAGGATTAAAGTGGACCAGGACTTGTTCAGAGTGGACAAGAGAGGTGCATAAATTCAGGGCACTGCTCAGTTGCTGGAGGCCTGAATCTAGGAAGGCTTCTTGGGATACAGATACTTTTGAGAGTTTGGAAATGGAAGGAGAAGGTACTTCAAACCTCTGTAGAGTCTCAGAAGGACTATGTGGAAGGCAGATTGGCCAAGTGGGCTTTGGTGGGCTACCCATGCTGTGATGGCTGCAGAAGTTTCTCCAGGAGACTCATTTGCCTCCCACCCCCGGCCCAGAGAAGTAGAAAAGTTAGAGATTGGAGCTTTTAGGAGCAATGCTTATACATGGAGTGGCTGACAGATTCCCACCCTTGCCTTCAGATAAGCGTGCTTCCTAGTGAAAGGCTTCACTGGCTGGGCCAGTTATTTCTCAGATGCTTCTTGTGTCTGGAGCCCAGGAGCCAGTGGTCCTTACAATACCAGAGTGGCCCAGTGTGGTGGGGTGGTATAGACTAAACCTGTTCAGCTGCTTTGCAGCCACATCAGCCCTTAATAACACAGTCCTAGGACTGTGGTTGTGGCTCAGGGGGTAGAGTGCCTCCCTAGCAACTGCAAGGCCATGAGTTCAAACATCCAGTACCACCAAAAAAAAAAATAATAAAATAAAAAATAACAATCCTAGTGCTGAAGGGACTTAAGCCTCAACATGTAGGTTTTTTGAACATTGCCATGCAACCCTCTGGCCTTTTGAAACCTTACTTGGAGAGTGCTTGGGTAACTGCTTTATCTAGTCAAATACCCTCCTTATAGGCTGGGTGAGTGTTTGCCTAGCATGTGCAAGGCCCTGGGTTCAATTCCCCAGTACCAAAAGAAAAAAAAAAATCCCCTCCTTGTCAGCAGAGAAAATTGAAGCTCTGTGTTTCCCTTTCTGGAAAGAGTGCCTCCTTTCTTTGCATGTCCCCCCCAGTATGAATTTCATGGAGGTGTGGGGTATCTCAGTCTTATTCCTCAGGCTGACACTGAGCCTTTTACCAAGTATCTCTCTCTGCTGCTGATGCAATGCATTGAATGTTCTGGTCTAAGGGCTCCTCTGTTAGGACAGGACAGGAAGGGCCTCTGGAGAGGAGCCTGGGCAGGAACTGAGATCCTTGGGTCCTGGTCAGTCAAACCATATTTAATCGAATGCCTGATGGGTGCCAGGAGTGGGGGTACCCAGAAGGGTGCACACCAGGATTCTGGCTTTCAAGGAACTTGGCGTTTGGGGGTATGATACATAAACAGACTGAGCAAGAGGTGTCACTAGTGGGTGAGTTATCACAAAGCCAATAAAACAAACAAATAGTTACAGACGGTTGGGGTGGGGGTGGAGCCAGGAGTTACCCAGGGTCCAGAATAAGCTGAGAAAGGTGAGACTTAACCTGGGTCCTGAGAGATGCAATGCTTCCCTGGATCTCTCCATTTTCAAACAAAGGGGCTCATGAATTCAAAGGAACATTTGAGGTGTGCTACTGTAGGAAGGAATTTCAGGTTGCATTCCTAAAATCCAGGTATAAAGATAAAAGTGATAACCATAGTAGTAAGGGAATGGTAGCGGCAGAAAACTTACACTTTCCTGTGTGCCAGGTACTCTTTGTTCAGTCTGTATTACAGCCCTACAAGGTAGGTACTGTTTTCATCTCAATTTTACAAATGAGGAAACTGAAGCACAGAGAGGCTAATAAGTTGCAGAACCAGGAGTTGAACCAGGTAGTTTAGCCTGCATGTGTTCTTGAGCACTAAGCTCCACAGAAAGAGTTTGGTTATTCCTGAGGCAGGAAAACAGAGACCTGGGGCAGGGGAGATTCCAGATGTATACCAAGCACTGGTCCCCAACTTCCACCTTTGTCCCCAAGGTGTGATTCATCTGCTGTATGTTGAAGGGGAGACCTCAGACTCTGGGGGCTGGGGGTGGTGGGAAACTTTGCTAACTCCAATCACACTGACTGGCTGCTGCAGGTCATAACAGGAGAGATTTATGATGCCTGCTCCTGCCTGCCCCCACCCCGAGCTCCCCAGTCAATCCGGTATCTGGAGCTGTTGTTTCAGGTGGAGGAGAGAGCGAGTTGGCCAAAGTGATAATGAGCTACACTGGGCCCGACTCAGTGTTCCTCTTTTATTCTCTCATTCCCACATACGGCACAAGCTCCACAGAATTGTTTTTATAAAAGTACAGAGCATGCAAAGGGCAACGTTTTACTCCCTTCCCCCAACCCAGAAGATTTCCAGTTCTCCCATTCTTACTATGGTAAGTTTGGGACGAGGGTTGGAGAGGAGGAAAACGGCCACTATGAGGAAAGAAGGGTCATCCTTTCCTTCCTGTGGTGTGGCACTCAGGACATGGCTTGAATCCCTTTGTCTTCCTGCAGTCTCCGGTTGGGGGCTAAGGCTGTCCTATGGCTCAGACAATCTCATCTCCTAATAGGAGTTAGCTGGAGAGTCAGAAGTACTTGTGAGCGGCCGATGTTGCTTCAGTACCTGTTGCAGGCTTATGCAAACAGGGTCTGTGCCTGGAAGTCATCTCTCTTAAAATGGATAGCTTTTTAAAAACTAGCTGTATTTCTCTCATTATAAAAGCAATGTCAGCTTGTAGAATATCTAGAAATGAAAAGTCATCTATAGTTCTGCTACTACAGGGGACAGTCACTAATACAGTGGTGGACTTGCTCTTATTCTTTCCTTTTTTTGAACCCTGCTTTTGGTCTTGTGTATGTATTGTCTTTATTTGACTTAGCATTGGAAGCAGTTTTCTGTTTTTGGCTTTTTTAATTTTAATTTTTTTTTTTGAGACCAGGTCTTGCTGTGTAGCCCAGGCTGGCCTCAAACTCATGATCCTCCTGCCTCAGCCTCCCAAGTGCTGGCATTACAGGTGTGTACCACAGCACCCAGATTTTTTTTTTTTTAATTTTTGAGATTTAGATTATCTCTGACTTTCTACTGTGGAAATTAGGACCTGAGCATTCTTATGCCTCTGTGCAGACAGTCCTCCTCTCTAAATACTTACCACAATTTTAGAAAAATTATTGTGACAATGTAAATATTTATTATAAATGAAGTTATTAAAAATATTTGCAGGCTTGGCAAACATGAAGCCCTGAGTTCAAACCCCAGTCCCACAAAAAAAAAAAAAAAAAAAAAAATTTGCACTTGCAAATCAGGCACTCTACTGCTTGAGCCACTCCTCCAGTCCACTTTGGAGATGGGGTCTTGAGAACTATTTGCTCAGGTTGGCCTTGAACTGCGATCTTCTTAGTCTCAGACTCCCAAGTAGCTAGGATTACAGGCATGAGCCACCAGTGCCCAGCTCAGACAAAGTTTTTAAATTTTTATTTATTTGGTGCTGGGGATTGCAACTGGGACCTTGCATATTATAAGCATGCACTCTATGACTGAGCCCAATGCAAAGCTTTTTTTAAATTTAGGATTTTTATTAAGCTAAATTTCTGGTACTTAAACTACTAAGAAATTGGAATAAATTTCTCTTTTACTTTTTAATTGAAGGATGTCACATATTCAGTAATTTTTTTTGGTGGTACTGGAATTTGAACTCAGGGCCTACACCTTGAGCCACTCCACCAGACTTTTTTTGTGAAGAGGTTTTTCAAGATAGGGTTTCTCAAACTATTTGCCTGGGTTGGCTTCAGACTGAAATCCTCCTGATCTCTGCCTCGTGAATAGCTAGGATTATAGGTGTGAACCAGTGGTGCTTGACACATATTCAGTAATCTTAGGTGTACTGCTCAAAGAATTCTTAGGTATGTGTGCATGCTATGTACCACCTCCCAGATACCCTCAAGATGTAGTATGTTTTCATCACTCAGAAGTTTCCTCATGTCTCTTAGTCAATGCCTGCATGCATGCGTGCACACGCACACATCCACCCATGGAAAAACAGCCTTTTGGTTTTTTTGCAGTACTTGAATCAAACCCAGGACTTCGGCATGCTCTCTGCCACTGAACTACATTCCCAGCTCTGATAACCACTTTCTGATTTCTGTCACAGTTAATTTTACCTGCTTATGAACTGGGATGAACATTTTATTTTGGAGGCCATTGACAGACTTGCAGTGGGTACTTTAGGACATAGGACTTCTTGAGCATTGCCTTCCAAGGCCATAACCTGTAGTTATCTCTGAGTCCATCGTTGCTCACTTGCTGCCTATGTGCAGGCATAAACAGACTGGGGGTGAGAGATGGCCCAGCTCTTGAGGAGCTGACTTCAATAGATTACTTGTTTGACCAGGTCCAGGCTCAGCCCCAGGCTCAGCCCCAGTCTCAGCCATCGTCATCCAACAAGCGTCCCAGCAACAGCACACCACCCCCTACACAGCTCAGCAAAATCAAGTATTCAGGGGGGCCCCAGATTGTCAAGAAGGAGCGACGGCAAAGTTCCTCCCGCTTCAACCTCAGCAAGAACCGGGAGCTGCAGAAGCTTCCTGCCCTAAAAGGTACCTGCAGATGGCCTCGGGGCCAGTGAGCATTGGTTGAGTGATGGTTTGGGAGTATTTTCTGGAGAACAGTTCCACTGAGGCAGAGGTAGCAGGACGATGGAAGGGTGGGAAAGGGAAAGCCCTGTAAGGCCAGGAGGTCAGGATGATGGACATGGGTGAAGAGAACCTGACTGTTTGGGCTCCTACAGATTCACCAACTCAGGAGCGGGAGGAGCTGTTTATCCAGAAGCTACGCCAGTGCTGTGTCCTCTTTGACTTCGTGTCAGACCCACTCAGTGACCTCAAATTCAAAGAGGTGAAGCGTGCAGGACTAAATGAGATGGTGGAGTATATCACTCACAGCCGTGATGTTGTCACCGAGGCCATCTACCCTGAGGCTGTCACCATGGTAGGCACAGGAAAAGGATGCAGGGAGTAGGGGTAGGAGTCCTGGAGAAACCCAGACCAGGCTCTAAGCTTGGCTCACCCTTCAGTTTTCAGTGAACCTCTTCCGAACGCTGCCACCGTCATCGAATCCCACAGGGGCTGAGTTTGACCCAGAGGAAGATGAGCCCACTTTGGAAGCTGCCTGGCCACATCTCCAGGTACCAGGACAGGGAGGCAGGTTGGCCCTGGCTGAGGGAACAGGGGCATTTTGAGGCCTGCAGCAAGGGGATATCTCCCAGTTCTTGGGTCATACCTCAATGGATACTCCTTTTCTTCCATAGCTCGTGTATGAGTTTTTCTTACGTTTCCTGGAGTCTCCTGATTTCCAACCAAACATAGCCAAGAAGTACATTGACCAGAAGTTTGTCCTTGCTGTGAGTCTCTGAGGTTCCTGACCTTCCCCTCTTTCCATTTCATGATCTCTGGCCCCACACCCCCATCCCGTGTCCTGCCTGCATTTTCCCCTTATGCTGAGTACACTGGGGTTTCAGCTGTATCTGGTACAAGGACAGCATGGGGGAAGAGAGGTTAGGAAAAATAAAAAATCCTACTCTGCCCTTAAGAAGCTTCTAGTATAATGGGAAAAATCCAACACAGTACCTCTCCCTGTTCTATGGGGTATATAGTTATGCATACCCTCTGGGTACAGCAGTGTTAATAGAACCACTCTGCTTTTTTTTTTTTTTTTTTTTTGGCAGTGCTGGGGTTTGAAATCAGGGCCTACACCTTGAGCCACTCCACCAGCCCTTTTTTTGTGAAGGGTTTTTTCAAGATACGGTCTCGTGAACTATTTGCCCAGGCTGGCTTTGAACCATGATCCTTCTGATCTCTGCCTCTTGAGTAGCTAGGATTATAGGCGTGAGCCACTGGCGCCTGGCTCCATTGTGCTTTCTAAACATTTGCCTCCACTCCCTGTCTCCAGAGAACCTCAGGTCTTCCCCTGGCTAGGACCTTATCACCCCTGCCCCAGCCTTCCCTGACTGAAGCCTCACTCTCTACCTTTCCTCCCTCCTGCCCCCAGCTCCTGGACCTATTTGATAGTGAGGATCCTCGTGAGCGGGACTTTCTCAAGACCATTTTGCATCGCATCTATGGCAAGTTTTTGGGGCTCCGGGCTTATATACGTAGGCAGATCAACCACATCTTCTACAGGTGAGGCCAGGAGCCCAGGCTTAGGAGCACAACAAGCCCCTGCTGAGGTGGGGTGGGAACAGGGAGGTAGGGAAACTTCAGATTGCTGGAGGGACATTAAGAACAGAGTTGAGAGAGCCCTTTTTCTTCCCTCAGGTTCATCTATGAAACAGAACATCACAATGGAATTGCTGAGCTCCTGGAGATCCTGGGCAGGTGAGAGGTGGGGTGGGGGCACAGGCGCTTGGAAAGGTTTGCAGGATTGGTACATTGGGGTTGTCCGTGTCCCTTCGGTCCTAAAACCCTCCTTTAACTCACAGTATCATCAATGGCTTTGCCTTGCCTCTTAAGGAAGAGCACAAGATGTTTCTCATCCGCGTCCTGCTTCCCCTTCACAAGGTCAAGTCCCTGAGTGTGTATCACCCTCAGGTGAGTCGCTCTCCTCCTCATGGTCCCCAACTTGGGCACCAGGGATGGGGGGCAGAATAGCTCTGCTGGGCTAGGGATGGCATAGAGTGGGATGGGTAAATCTTCTCTACCTCCCCTTCCATTCTGGGATCTTGTTTTTTGTCACTGACTTCTGTGAGACCTGGGACCTGCATTCTATCTCCTTTCTGTTTCAACCTTTTGCAGTTGGCGTACTGTGTGGTACAATTCCTGGAGAAGGAGAGCAGTCTGACTGAGCCGGTAATTTCCCTTTCTGGGCCCCGGGTCTACCTCTTAACCATCAGCATTGCTTGCCAGGTTCTACCAAAGGAATAATGCCTAAGTGGGTTTTTAGGAGGGTTGTGGCCTGACAGGTGACAGTTTCCTCTCTGAAGAAATCTATGTAAACTTAGGAAATAGATCTAATCCAAAAAAACATGAGCATTAGCTGAGGTCACTCAAACAGTATCCAACAGGGTAGAAGTTAGGGAGGGCAGCAGAAGGACTTCCCAGAGAATCAGCCAGTGCTGAGAATTTTATCCTCATGTCCTCTTCTTACAGGTGATTGTGGGACTTCTTAAGTTTTGGCCCAAAACCCACAGCCCCAAGGAAGTGATGTTCCTGAATGAACTAGAGGAGATTCTGGATGTCATTGAACCCTCAGAATTCAGCAAAGTAATGGAACCACTCTTCCGCCAGCTTGCCAAGTGTGTCTCCAGCCCCCATTTCCAGGTAAGACCCAGAGCCAGGATATCCCAGACTGAGAGGAACAGATCTTGAGTGAAGTAAGCAGTGCCCCACTGAGTTCCACCTCTCCCCACCAGGTGGCAGAACGTGCCCTCTATTATTGGAACAACGAGTACATCATGAGCCTGATAAGTGACAATGCTGCCCGAGTCCTCCCCATCATGTTCCCCGCACTCTACAGGAACTCCAAGAGCCACTGGAACAAGTAGAGTACTAGGGTGGGCTGGGTGATTTTTGAGGCGTGGAAGATCTTAAGAACCAGGGATCTCACCTGGTCACTTAGCAAGTAGAGCTGGTGCTATTGCATATTGATAAGAATATGCCCAGAACAGCAGCCTGTATCACACCATTTCTGAGTCGGCTATTCTGCAGATCACATCACAGCTTTGGAGACTTTTATGCTGGGAGAAACTGTTGTGATCTGCTAAGACAGAATGTATAAAGCATTCAAGTTGTAAAAAGGCTTTCCTGCTAAAAGCATCTCCAGAGTGGTACAGACACAGTCCGACATGTTGCTGGGAGGCCATTAGTGTGGGTCAGTTTTGGAACATGGGCTGGGGAAAGGCTAGAAAGGTGAGCCAGTATTTGTAAAGATCATAAAATGCCACACTCAAGTCACATGATTTGGTCAGAGCTGTCTGCTTATCCTGTATAGAGGTTTGTGAAATATGAGCAATAAATGAGGAGCTCTTAGCAGAGGCATCTCTTAGAAACAAGCAAATTGGGATCCTAGTGCTATGGGTAGGCTCTGGCCTCATGTACATTTCTCTTTTTGGTGACAGGACAATCCATGGACTGATCTACAATGCCCTGAAGCTGTTTATGGAAATGAATCAGAAGCTGTTTGATGACTGCACACAACAATACAAGGCAGAGAAGCAGAAGTGAGTGTCTCTCTCTCTTTCTCTCTCTGGGAGACTGATCTTCTATCTCTAGCTCACTTTTCTTCTCAAGCCCAGCCCCAATCATACTTTTGCTCCCTCAGGGGCCGGTTCCGAATGAAGGAAAGAGAAGAGATGTGGCAAAAGATCGAGGAGCTGGCCCGGCTTAATCCCCAGGTGAGATTTTTCTGCCACTGCCCTGGTTCAGGGGCCTATCTGGAGTTGGGGGAGGAGTTTTTGGAGGAAGAATATGAGGCATCCAGGCTCACAAACCTCTGAAGTGGCTTTCATTGCCTCCTCTCTCTCAGTATCCCATGTTCCGAGCTCCTCCACCACTGCCCCCTGTGTACTCCATGGAGACAGAGACCCCCACAGCAGAGGACATCCAGCTTCTGAAAAGGACGGTGGAGACAGAGGCTGTGCAGGTGGGAGGGCACTGAGTTAGGGGTCAGGGAGGTGGAGCAAAAATAATAGGTCTGGAAGGGAGGGGAAACAAGAGAAACAGAGCCAAAGAATAAGAGAAGGAAACACTAGAATTTCTTAGGAATTGGTCACCATTCCTTTCCTTTTCCCTATGCACACATACAGATGCTAAAAGACATCAAGAAGGAAAAAGTGCTGCTTCGTAGGAAATCGGAGCTGCCCCAGGATGTCTACACTATCAAGGCACTGGAGGCACACAAGCGGGCAGAAGAGTTCCTAACTGCCAGCCAGGAAGCTCTCTGACCCCCTCACCTTCCCAGAGGGCCACAGCCCATTCAGCCCTGGGATGCCACCCCAGCCCTCCACCCTCTTCTCCCTACTGGCTGACTTGGGGCAAGGCAGCACCTCTCTGGCTACTATAGAGGATGCAGGCACTTGAAGCAGGGACACCTGCTTCTCCCCAAGATGTGTTCTTGCCTCCTTGTGGCTAGTACAAACAGGCTGAGTACTGAGACAACCTGGGGATGTCTGTCCCCTGCCTGTTCCTAACCCTACAGCTACCTGAGGCTGCTCTGAGAAATATACAGGAATCATATACTCCTCCTCTCCCCTTCATCCTCATCTGAATTCTAGGTGTCTTTCCTCTCTCCCCACTGCAGAGGCATGTAGGGAGCAGCAGGAGAGTATTCTCACCAAAGTTATGTAAAGCTCCACTGGCCCCTGGAGTGAGTAGCTGGAGGAGAGCCAACTCTCAGCAGCACAAATGAGACCCCAGCCCCAACAGTGTGCAGGCTGATGGAGTTATATTATTTTCTCTTACCCTCTCCCTGACCAAGACAACTTATTACAGAGGTCAAAAGAAGTATAGGCCATGGACACCAGATGATGAATGTAAGGCCCGGTGGACCAAGAGGCAGGGATAAATGACTCCCCTGTGTCCCCTCTTTGGTGAGCAGCAGCCCTGGGACTGCAAACATGGAAGGGACCACCCTGTGGCTGGCTGCTTTCCTGTGCTGTTGGTTCCCAAAGCTACAAAGAAGGAAGCAGGGAGCAGTGCCCCAAGCATGGCTGCCCCCAACACCTATTTATTTCGTTTGTGCTGATGCTGGACAGGCCCTCACTTGTCCTTTTTAGAGGAAAGGGGAGGGCTGGGCCCAGGTTCCAGGGGCACAGGCAGTGCGGCGTTTGGCTGTGTACATAGGGTGCTTTATTCTCCACAAGAGTGATACATGCTAAGGTGGGTTGGGCTTGGGCCAATGTCCCCAAATGTACAGAACTGAATAAAGTGGGTCTCTGAGAAGTCTGATTTGCCTTGATGTGGAATGAGAGATGGGGAGATGGAGATGTGTTCAGTCCTGGGCTGGTTCTGGCCTGGAATGCTGGGAGATAAGGCAGCTCTCCCTGTGGTCACTTCCAGGCAGGAGACGCCTGCCGGGCTTGGAGGGCTTTCTGTACCACATCTTCCCACTGGGCATCCGATATCTCCCGAGCCCAGGCAGGGACACCTGGCGCAGGCAGGCTTACTCCAGCCATCGTCCTTTTCACCAGCTCTACATGTTCTGAAATCACAGCCAGAGGCTGGTTAGGAAATAGCAATAATGGAAACAGCTCCTCTCTCCATTCCTTGACTCAAGCCAGAGTCCTTGAGTGATGGGGTCACCAAATCCATCTTGCTATTGCATGCCTACCCATCCCCAAGTCTAGTAGAATAAGTATTTCACCTGAATTCTGAAGTCTGCATAATCTCAGTTTACAAACTACCGTATTAGGAATAAGATATTCCTCTGTAATTTCCCTCTAACAGCTCCAATTCCTCCATAATTATTCCCAAATGAAAGCTCTTTTCTTTTTACCTGGGTCCATGGGAATAGAGCTGTGGCTGCTCAATGAGGTGGCACCCTCCTCATCTTCATCCTCACTTTCTAATGGAGGATCTGGTAAATGGAGCCCCAGGGCCTGCATAGTCAGAGAGATCACTCTTAGTCTAGCCTTCCAGGAAATTCAGCTTCACCTACTCAGGAACAATCCCCTCCCCTCCACCGTACCTGGATCCGATCCTGGATGTCAGCTACTACATCTTCTCCCTCACCCACTGGCGCCAGCTCCACCTCTTCTTGTTCAGGATCTTGGTTCAGGGGCTGGTAGGAGTAGCCAGCTGGGCCTGCCCCTGTTTCCTCCTGCTCTTCCTCAGGTTCCTCACCGCTCCAATCCCCGGTTCCTTCTGTAGGGCCCTGATGTGGCCCCAGTTCCTCTGTCTGATTGGGGAAGATACGTTCAGGGCCCATGGTGTCTCCCCCTAGAACTACTGCTGCCATCCGGGCAGGGGCTGCAACAACAGGGAGGCAGGAGGATACGGATTGGATGAAACCAGGCCCACTTTCATCCAGGTCATAGGTGTCTCCTTTTGGGTACACAAAACCAGCTCCCCTCTCCCAAGATTGTGCATCCTTCTCCCCTTCCCCCTCAGTCCCTCATTCCTCCCTCTCTTAAGACCGGGCTCTCATTTCCAAGGAGGCCCTATCCGCATTACTCCCCCAATTCCTAAATAAACTGCCCAACCCGAGGCCCTGCCACCTTCTAAAAGACTCCTTTTCCTGAAACCCGACCCCTCACCACACCCCTCCCGGACTTGAGCACCCGGGGTTGCCAGACTCCCCTAGAGTCGGTGTACCCGCCCTCTCCTCCGCTCTCCGAAGAGTTCCCCTCTGTACCGCCTGACAAAAGGCCTTCAGGCCCAGGGACGCCCCTCAAATGGTCCCAGCTACGGTGTCCCCCACCCGCTCCCACCGATTCTCGGCGCTGGTGCTTCCGCGCGCCTCACCCTCTCAGAGCCCACGGCCGGACTCGCACCTCCACTTCCGGCAGGACAGGACGTGCTGGGGAGCACAGACCTCCTGCCCCGCCCCGTACTCAAGACTGACGCGGCCGAGGTCGCGGAATCCGCCCCTTGCCCCGCCTCCGCCATCCCCTGCCCGGACAACAAAGGACTACATTACCCAGTGGCCCTCACGGTCTTGCCACGATGTGCACATGCGCAGAACCTCTCCGTCGGCTCCTGCCGTCTCCTCAGCTTTTGAGGCCCTCATCAAACCTGTGGACTACAAATCCCGGAAGGCTTTGGGCACTTCGGCTCGGATTGCACGTGCGCACCCCCGCTGCCCGCCGGAAGGACGGATCCTGGCTGTGTTTATCTCGTAGGGGAACCGAGGAGTCGGTTGGCGCGCAACGGGTTCTAGGCTGCAGGCAGCGCGCGGACCCGCGGCCCCGCCCCGGCCCGGCCTGGAAGGTAGACTGGGATGGGTTGAAGGGCAAGGAAGAATTGGGGGGGCCGGCGACGCCCATGCCTGGAGCTGGAGTCGTGGGGGAGGGGCATGAGTGATGAGGTGGGGGTGGGGAGGGAACTAGGGGAATGATGGGAAAGGAGAGTGTTAATGGGGAAAGAAGAACTGGGGGAGGATGGTGAGGCGACGGTGGGAGAGAGCTGGTGGCTGGAGCAGGCGCTGAGGGAAATTGGAAGTCTGGGTTGTGAGGAGAAGGAGGAAGCTGAGCATAATGGTGGAAGGGGATAGCTGACATTGTGGGGGAGGGGAGGCTGAGAAGGGGGGAGTCACCCTATTTTGGGAGGAATATCCGTGGCTGAAAGGAAACAATGACTATTAGTTTTTTTCTTTCCTTCGTGGAGGTAGAAAAATGGAGGACTCCCGGGTGGACTTTGGAGTGGTGAGAGAAGGAAAAAAATGAGAAAACTGAAAAGCTCCCTGGAGATCAACAAGGGTCACAAATGTTAGAAGTAAAAATTGCAAGAGACCACGGTTGGGGAAGCTTGAAAATGACATAGTGATGGAGAATGGGGAAACCCAGAGATCCTGCGGCTTGTTTGTCTTAGGTTTCAGTTGCCCTTATGAAGGAAAAGCTTAAAATTTCTTCTCCACCGTTCGTGCAATGGCTTGTCCCTTCTCCTGTGTGCATTTTTTTTTTTTAAAGCCTGGGCACATGAGAAGGGAGAGTAGAGGCTATGAGGGAAGAGAGACTTCCTTTCTTAAGCTCTTCAACCTTCTAACCATCCCCACAAGTCCAGATCCAAGATATTTTGGATAGAGAGCTGGAGTAATGAAGTGAGGGTAGCTCTGACTGGGGCTATTTCAGGTTGGGCAGGATGGCTATTTAAAGTATGGGTGCAGGGTTGGGGGAGGTGGGACTGGCAAGCCAGCAGAAAGATGCAAGAGGGCCTCCCTTATTGAGGCTTTTTGTCTGTTTGAGGCTCTGCTTGGTTCTCTCTGCCAAAGCTTTTTGAACAGGGGGCAGATGATCCACCCAAACCCAGCAGGTGTCTGCCAGCAGAGGCATTGCCAGTTGCAAGAGGATTTGCCTAAAAGATCCCTCAAATGTACCAATATCACTAGGGTGGCAGGTTGTCTTAAAGAGACCATGAGGGAATTGGAGGAGTGGCTCAAGTGTAGAGCACCTGCCTAGCATGAGGCCTGAGTTCAAGTCCCAGTACAACAGAAAAAAAAAAAAAAGAGAGAGACCTTAAGGGCTGGGATGTAGCTCAGTGGTAGAGCACTTGCCTAGTGAGACCTAGGTTCAATCCCCAGCACCAAAAAGTAAAACAAAAGTTAAAAAAGAAAAAAAAAAAAAAAGACCATGACATCTCATACCTGGGTCTTTCTCTTATCCTGCTCTGAGAAATTTTTTTCTCCTTTCCAGTGCACACCTGACCCTTGCCTCCCTTTCAGGGCCCAATTAGGGGAAGGAAAAGTCTTTACCACAATAGCAGAGTTGGAAATGGCTGGAGGAGAAAAGCCCTCTTCCCTACCCCCAGTCACCAGCAGACACATACCTTTCTGGTTTAAGTTTCTAGTCCTGGCAGCATATGAGGCACAGCTGTCAAAGGAACTCCTGGTGCCTTTTGGGGCCCTGGGTGACCCCATTGACAACAGTTCAACTTGACAAGAACTCCCTGTGAGGGGCTAATCAGCCATGGTAACATGCAGTACCCTATCCTAGGTAGGGGCACTGTTGTACTCTAAAAGCATTTTTTGCTTTAAAGCACCCATGCCAGTTTTCAATGGACTGTCTGGGGCTGGCTGGTCTATTAATAGCTGTTAGTATTTTGAGATCCATTTCCCCACCTTTAAGAGCACAGAGATTCTTAGAGAGGTGGCAGTAAGCAGAGCAGATCCAGAGACAAAAGAACACACCAGCTTTGGAAGGGGGTTTGGAAGCTTGCGCCAAGCCAAGGACAGGGTAGAGCAGGTATGAGTAAGGGGTGACCATGATCACCAGATTCTAAGCTGGCAATCAGGTTGAGGAGGCCCCACCCTTTACTGTGGGAGAACACAGGGCCAAGGCTAGCTCCTTGACCTCGGCATTTCCCTTGGGGCAGGGCCAGCCACCTGAGCTGTGACTACTTACCCTGCAAGGGGTGGTGTGGGAGGGCCACCAGGGTGACACTTGGAGGCAAAGCCTGGTCCTGGGCAGTCACAGCCCAGCAGAAGCCTTGCCTAAGGAGCTTGTGACCCTGACCTGTTGTGCAGGTAGCAGAGGCAGCAGGCCGTGCCGGGGGGGCATGTTGATGTAACCTGTGGCCCAGGGGATGTTACGGTGGACAGTGCATCTGGAGGGTGGGCCACGCAGGGTGAACCATGCTGCAGTGGCTGTTGGGCACCGGGTATACTCCTTCGGGGGTTACTGCTCTGGTGAAGACTACGAGACGCTGCGTCAGATAGATGTACACATTTTCAATGCAGGTAAGCCAGTGCTGACACCATCCCTGGGTGCCTACATCAGGGAGGGAAATGGGTGCCTGAATGAAGTTCAGTGGTGGTCCCTGTGGCCAAGGGGTTTGGGGATGACTGTCTGGTTTGGGAAAAGGTGGGCAGCCGGAGGGAGGTTCCCAGGGCTGAGTAGAGCTGTGTCCACAGTGTCCTTGCGTTGGACAAAGCTGCCCCCAGTGAGGCCCACCATCCGTGGGCAGGCTCCAGTGGTACCCTACATGCGGTATGGACACTCCACTGTCCTCATCGATGATACAGTCTTCCTTTGGGGCGGGCGGAATGACACCGAAGGGGCCTGCAATGTACTCTATGCCTTTGATGTCAGTGAGTATGAGTCTCCAAGAGAGGCTGTGTTCTGCCAAATGGTGCCTTAGGGGGCTGGGAAAGGTGTGACTGGGGGTGTTGGGGAATAGGGCACCCCAGAGTTGAGGGAGTGGTCAGAGGTTGCTGACCTGAGTCATTCTCTCACTTCCCTCAGATACTCACAAATGGTCTACACCCCGAGTGTCAGGAACAGTTCCTGGGGCCCGGGATGGACATTCAGCTTGTGTCCTGGGCAAGATCATGTACATTTTTGGGGGTTATGAGCAGCTGGTAAGTCTGAGAAGAAACTAGAGGTTTAGTGTGGGAGTAAGAAAGAGGAAGGGGAATTTAGCATGGTGGAGGAGGTAGCAGGTTTTGAGGAGAAGGGTGAAGGGTCAAAGAGTGACCATCAGCCTTCTCTTTTCTTTCTGTTGCCACTCAGGCGGATTGCTTTTCCAATGACATTCACAAGCTGGATACCAGCACCATGACATGGACCCTTGTTTGTACAAAGGTCTGTCCTTTCTTCTCCCAGATCCCCACCCTTCACTGAAGGAATCATAGGAAGCTCAGCAAGAGCAAATCCCCTCCCAACATTCATGCTGACCTCCTTTTCCATCTTCTGCTCCTGCCCAGGGTAACCCTGCGCGCTGGAGAGACTTTCACTCAGCCACAATGTTGGATAATCAAATGTACGTCTTCGGGGGCCGGGCTGACCGCTTTGGGCCATTCCATTCCAACAATGAGATTTATTGCAACCGCATTCGCGTCTTTGACACCAGAACTGAGGCCTGGCTGGACTGTCCACCAACTCCAGTGCTGCCTGAAGGGCGCCGGAGCCACTCAGCCTGTGAGTGTCTGTTATGCTTCTGTGGAGTCCTCTGTCATGTTCTCCTCATCCTCTTGACTCTCCTTTGTCCTTCCAGTTGGCTACAATGGGGAACTATACATCTTTGGTGGCTATAACGCAAGGCTAAACCGGCATTTCCATGACCTCTGGAAGTTTAACCCTGGTAAAGAGCACTACCTTTAGGGGAGGAACAAGTAGCAATTGAGGTGGGAAGAAAAGAATAATTTTGAGTGAGTGAGGGGCTTGGGAGTGAAGATACCTGAATTGGGCAGGTGATGAACTTCTTATAAATTTTCCTTTAGCGTCCTTTACATGGAAAAAGATTGAACCGAAGGGGAAGGGGCCATGTCCCCGCCGGCGCCAGTGCTGCTGTATTGTTGGTGACAAGATTGTTCTCTTTGGGGGCACCAGGTTAGGAGGAAAGTTGGGGGAGGGCTCATGGAAGGGCCTATGTCTGTGACTAATAGGAGATTGGAAGGTATTTGAGTAGGAGGGTCTCATGGTAGTTTTTCCTCTAACATTTGTCTTTTGATCTCTACAGTCCCTCTCCCGAGGAAGGCCTGGGAGATGAATTTGACCTCATAGATCATTCTGACTTACACATTTTGGACTTCAGTAAGTACGGTTATCTCTGAAGTGCTTCTTCTACCATTAGGCTCTGTCAGTCATTGTTTAGTGATATCCAGGAGTCACCTTTCCTTGGGTTTGACTGTCTCCTTCCCTTAACTCTTCCCTTAAAGGCCCTAGTCTGAAGACTTTGTGCAAACTGGCGGTGATTCAGTATAATCTGGACCAGTCCTGTTTGCCCCATGACATCAGGTAAAGCAAGTACTTGCAGAGGAGGGATTGGTTGAGGATGAGTGAGCAGCACAGGTGTGACCTGATTAGCTCATGCTCAGTATGGAGGAGACAGGTTTGTGTCCTGATGGAGGTATAGTTCTTGTGAGGAATGAGATGGAAGAAGGTGAAGGTACAGCCATCATATCATAAAACTGTCCGCTGGGTAAATTATATGAAAAAAATCAGTTTTTGAACCAAGCTCTGAAGCAGCACTTCCTGAGACTTGAGTCTATACAATTGTTTTTGTTAATATTTTGAGAACAAATTTTTAAATTTTAGTACATAGCTGCAAAGTAATGACAAGTTTAGGGACCCCCTAGATTACCTTAGTTTTGGAATTAAGGGAGGTCCTGGCTTTGAATTCAATTCCTTGATTCACATCAAACACCAAAAATTATTTTGTGTATCATTTTGTCCTTGTTATACTGAGCCAGTTCACTTTACCTCTCACTTGCTGAGAGTCTTTGTATTCACTGTTTGTTGACATAGAGTATACAGGCTGAACTGATGAATCCCATGCTGGCCCAAGATTGATACAAGTACCTAATAGAAAGTAGATTGCTTACAATCTTAGCATAAAGAGGAACTTGGTAAATCTTTGTAGGGTGAAGGAATTATGGAAAAGAGTAATTTAAATATTGTGGGGAAGGACTCGGAGGATGGGTAACCCAAGTCAAAGACCTAAAAGGATGGAAATTGGCAGCAAAAAATGGGTGGAGTGGCCGTCTAGTTTGATCTGAGCAGAGCAGGAAAGGTAATTAGAATGTTTACTGAGATGAGTACACAGATCCCAGGTGCTTGGATGCAGGAGGCATGTATACATATAGATAGATAAACAGGAAACACACATGAGTTTGAGGTGGAGGAGTGGGTGGTACTGGATTTGGTGGTGAGTGGGGTCTGATTGTTAAACCCAAAAGGACTAAGGAAGAGGTTGGTGTGGGTGCCGAGCTTCAGAAGTTGCAGGGACTGATGTGTTCCTAGCTTTGTTCAATGAATTCTGGGCTTGGGGTGTGGGCTCCTCCCGTTCTGTCCTTTCTCCTGCCATTGTTGGCCTTCCAGGTGGGAGCTGAATGCCATGACCACCAACAGCAATATCAGTCGCCCCATCGTCTCCTCCCACGGATAGGAGCAAGTTTCTGCGGTCTCCCTTCCTGAGCCTGCTGTTGTCTTCACTGCCCCTGCCCATCTCTCACCTGCCTGTCCCTTTGGACCCTGGACTCAGTATACCTCCACGTGGAGTCGTTGAACTTGAGGTGTTCTCTGTGCTGTGAATTCAGTGGGGAGCCGTAGGGGGGGAGGGCTAGATCCCTCCTCCCTCGGGCCGAGGGCCCCTTCCCCGTGGTGCTCTGTTCCCATCCACCTCCCTCCAACTGCTCCCGGGCCTCTGCTCTGGCCGGGCCAGCCAGGTAGCCGGGCTGTGCCGCGAAGGGAAGGAGTGGGGAGAAGGGAGAAGCAAGCAGTGTCTTGAGCCTCGGGAGCTTCCCCTCCCCCGTGCCTGTCCCTCCCCTGCTTGAGCCTTGAGCATTGATCGGGAGCCGAAAGGAGTTGCAGCTGTTGGCATGAAGCCTCCCTCTCCCCGATCTGGGGAGGCGGGGACCAGCAGATAATCCCACCCTTCTGTGAGCTGTTGCTGTACCCCAAAGCTCAGCCAGCTCAAATTTTATAAAAATAAAACCTCCGGACGTGTGGCGTGTTTTTATGAATGTCGCGGAGATGGCAGGCCTCTGCAGTGGGGCAGGGTCTTGAGAGGGGCGCCGAGGTGCTGGCTTTTCGGTACGACTCAGGTGGGAGGTGGACCTCTGAGCGCTGTCTCGTGGGCGGGCAGGGTTCCTCGCGGGACACCGGAAGGGGCGGGGCTGGGGCCGCCGCGAGCGGAAGTGGTGCCATTAGTCTTCGGAACGCCTCGGGAGCTGGATGTGGAGAGCTGGTCCTAGCGACGGGGCTCCCGCCCGACGTCCCCGCGTGGCCGAGGAGGGCGGGGACGATGTTGGGGAGCTGGAGTTAGGGGCCGCGGGTCGCGACCTACCGACGGGTGAGGGCAGGGGCCCAGGAACCTGGTCGGGGCTCGGGGTCCAGAGCCCGCCGGCGGCCTGTTCCGGTAAACCGCGAAGTTCTCCGAGAGGGACCGACCCTAAAAGAGGCGTGGGGGTGGGTGAGAAAATTTGTTTCCAGGATTAGGATTTACTGAGCAGTTTCTTAAAGGTAGGATGAAAGTCTTCCGTAAGGAGAAAACACTCGGAGTCAGTCAAGGCATGGTTTGCTGGGGAAGATCTAAGTAGATCAGGATGCTGGCACAGTTCTAGCTGGTGGAAATAAGGAGTAGTGAGTAAGTTTTCGGAAAGGGAAGTTTTAAAAGAGTAAATTGTTAAAAATGGAAAAAAAATTGTTATATTGGGAAGGCAATAAAAAGCCAGGCGCCGGTGGTTCTCGCTTATAATCCTAGCTACTCAGGAGGGCAGAGATCAGGAGGATGGCGGTTCGAAGCCAACCCTGGCAAATAGTTCCGCGAGACCTTGTCACAAAAATATGGCTGATGGACTGGCTCAAGGTGAAGGCCCTGAGTTCAAGCCCCAATACTGGAAGAAAAAAAAAAAAAGGCAATAAAATTTTGAAATTGTACCGTTGAAGGGTGAATTTTATGCTATGTAGATTTTATCTTAGTTTTTAAAAAAGTGATAAAAGCTGTGGAAAGAAAGCAAAGGAGGGTTGTAGTTTTAAATAAGTTAGAGAAGGCCTTGTGGCAAAGGTGACTTTTCATTCTGCAAAGGTTAGAAGAAGTGAGGGAGCAAGCAATATATATCTAGGGGAAGTATACCAAGTAGAAGTGAAAAGTGCAAAGAACTTTTGCTCAAGAACTGCTAGGAGGGAAGGGGGAGAAATGACCCAAACATTGTGTGCAAATATGAATAAAAAAAGAGTACAAATGGTCACTAAGTACATGAAGAAATGTTCAACATCCTTACCCATAAAGGAAATAAAAATGAAAACTACAAAAAAAAAAAAAAAACTGCTAGGAGGGACTGGAGTGTGGCTCAAGCAGTAGAGAACCTGCTTTGCAAGCCTTATTTCCTGATTTCCAGCCCCAATCCTCCCCCCAAAAAAAAAAAAAAACTGCCAGGAGACTAGTTGTCTGGAGGGGAGTCAGAAATTAGTAAATGAGTGAGACTAGAGGCATCACTGGGGACCAGGTTGTTTGGAGGCTTTTAGGCCATTACAAGATGTATGACATTTAGGCAGAGCAAGATGGAAGCCCTGGGGAGCTTGCTGTTCAGGGATGATATAATTGTTTATGTGTAGGAGTGGTAACACCAGATTTCTTTTTGGTGCATTCCTCAGGCTGAAGTGGGGAGGATAGCTCTGAGAGGAGTGAGACTTGGAGGTTGGGAGAACAGTTAGCAGGTTCGGGCACTGACAGGTGAGAGAGATGGTAAAACTGTGAACCAGGACATTGCAGTGGTAACAGTGAGGAAGGTAGAGACACTTGTGGGGAGACCTGTGAAGGAGTAGCTGTTGAATTAAGGAAGGTGAAAAAGATGGGACTATGACTTGATTGATCTCTGACCAGCAGCTTTCTTAGCAGGATGATGCCCCAGGTAGCGGAACAGTTGCAGAGTTAGGTGTCAGTATAGCACTATTACAGCTCATGCCGCCTAGCACTTGTAATAATGATTGAGCTGATGGAGATGTTGGGAAGGGTCAGCTACCTAAGGAATGATGATGAGATGATATCTTTTCTGCAGTGATGGATGCTGAGTTGTGTGACTGTTCCCCATCCACTTCTGCAGGCACATCTGACATGTCATTTGAGGAGCTGTTGGAATTGCAGAACCAAGTGGGAACCAAGGCATACAAACAGTTAGTAGCTGGAAACAGCACTAAGAAGCAAAGTTCTAGACAACCTTCATGTGTTGCAGATAAGCACAGGTGAGAAGCAAGTTCTGCCCCAGGAGTTAGAGGATACCTAGGACCTTGAATAGATGTTTGTTTTCTTGGGTGACAGGTAGAAAGCCTTTGTCCAAAACTGGAAGTTCAGTGATCGTCCTTTAATTTCTCATAGGCCTCTGGAAATGTCAGCCAAAGTCCGAGTGCCATTCTTACGTCATGTTGTCCCAGCCGGTAAGAAGGTGAGGAAGAGGCAGAAAGAACTTTCTTGGTAAAAGGAGCCTGAACAGTCTGTTTTATATTCTCTCTGCTTTCTCTAAAGGTAGCCCGGGATCCCCGCTTTGATGATCTGTCGGGGGAATATAATCCTGAGGTGTTTGACAAAACTTACCGATTCCTGGATGATATCAGAGCCAAAGAGAAACAGGTGTGCAGCATGAGACTGGCTCATGGAGGTTTTCGGGGTGGGAAACCAGGGCGTACATTAGAAAGCTGGGCAGGGGAAGCATCCTGGCCGGCAGAGCTCACTCTCTCATCTATTCAAATCCTGGCCCATTAGTTTTGTGATACTGGGGCTTGAACTCAGGGCCTACACCTTGCGCCACTCTACCAGCCCTTTTTTGTGAAGGGTTTTTTTGAGGGGGGGGGGTCTCGTGGAACTATTTGCCCGGTTGGTTTTGAACCACAATCCTCCTAATCTCTGCCTCCTGAGTAGCTAAGATTACAGGCGTGAGTCACTGACGCCCGGCTGCTTCAGTTTTAAAAAGTGAGTTTATCTGGTTGGGCACCAGTGGCTCACACCTGTAATCCTAGCAACTCAGGAGAAAGAGACCAGGAGGATTGAAGTTTGAGACCAGCCTGGGCAAATAGTTCTTGAGATCCTATTGAAAATACCCAACACAAGAAAGGGCTGGTGTATTGACTCAAACAGTAGAGCACTTATCTAGCAGGCATGGGGCCTTGAGTTCAAACCCCAGTTCTGGAGGGAAAAAAAAAAAAAAGTAAAAATATTTGTCTTTCAATTCTATTATTCTTGGTTGTGCTGGAGTTTGAACTCAGGGCCTCATACTTGGTAGGCAGGCATTCTACCACTGGAGCCACTCCATCAGCCCCAAAAAATTACTTTATCTTTTTAAATTAACACATAGTAATTATATAATCTCATGGGATACAGTGACATTTCTATGTGTTGGGAACATTCAAAGTCCTCTCTTTTAGCTATCATGAAATATTGAATTTGTCCAGGCATGGTGGCATATGTTTATAATCCCATCTACTCTGTAGGTTGAGGGAAGATTGTGAGTTTGAGGCCAGTCTAGACAACAGTGAGACCCCCTGCCAAAAAAACAGTGAATTAAAATATTCAGTTACTTGAATATCCTACTGTGCTATAGATAGAACCTTGGAAGTCATCCTTCCTGTCTAACTATCCCTGAACCCCTTAGCCATCCTCCTTCCCCCATACCCTTTTCAAACTCTGATAACCACTATTCTTTACTTCTTTGAGATCAGCAAGCTTTTTCTGTGCCTGACTGACTTCACTTAACATAATGTGCTTTAGTTTTCTAATCATAAAAAGGATGATAAAGGCTGAGGGTATTAGAGCTTGTGTTTAACATGCATAATGTGAACCAAGTCCTGAGTTCAGTGCCCAGCACCACACACAACGGGATAATAGAATTCCTGTTGCATGGACTTAACTGTATTTATGTGAACCTCTTAGAAAACTGCTTGACATAGAATCTCAGCTAATACTTACAGAACACTGATCATTCTGTTCATTTTCCAACGTGGAGCTTGTGGAAAAGCAGTTGAAGAAGCACCGTTCAGGGGAGGAGCATGAGAAACTGCAGCAGCTGCTTCAGCGAATGGTGAGTGGGTGACAGTGGCAGGTGGATGGGGAGAGCAGTTAAAGGCAGGTGGTGATTCAGAGATCCTCCTACTCTCCCATCTCATCTCATCTTTGCTCCTCAGGAGCAGCAAGAAATGGCACAGCGGGAACGAAAGCGACAGCAGGAGATGCGCCTGGCCTTGAAACAGGAGCGGCGAGCTCTGGCCCAGCAGGGCCATCGGCCTTACTTCATGAAGAAGTGTGAGTGGGGCATAACTCTTGCGGGCCAGTTGTAGGAACGGGTGTGGAGGCCATTGTGGCGGGGTACTCGGGGTCCATGAGCTTGTTTGTGGTACTTCAGAGGAAAGTAGAAATAGTAGGAAGCGTTACTTGTAACTAGTAACAGGGTTCTCACTTTCATGCCTTGTCTCACGTGCCTGAGGCCTTGGGATTGATCGTAATTTTTTGTTATTTTATTTTATTTTATTTGGCGCACTGGGGTTTGAACTCAGGGCCTACACCTTAAGCCACTCCATTAGTCCTTTTTTGTGTTAGGTTTTTTCAAGATACGGTCTCTCAACTATTTGCCTGGACTGGCTTTGAATCGCAGTTCACCTGATCTCTGCCTCCTGTGTAGCTAGGATTACAGGTGTGATCCACCAGTGCCTGGCTTTTTTTTTTTTTTATTCATATTTCTCTCTTACCCTTACCTTCACCCCGAGCCCCGCAAGTATGCTGGGCTGGGCACATAGAAGGAACTCACAGTTCAGTTAATTGAGACTGGAGTCATAGAAAATGTTAGTTTAGGGCTGGAGGTGTGGCTCAAGCAGTAGAGTGCCTCAAACCCCTGGTACCAACCCCCTCAAAAAAAAAATAGGCTGGGATGTAGCTCAGTGGTGGAGTGCTTGCTTTGCATACATGAGACTTTAGTTCAGTCCACAGCACCACACACACACATACACACAAAGCTGGCTTGCTCACATACATCAGTGAGTTCCAGACAATTCACATATCCCAGCATAAGAGTTGGGAGCTACCAATGTGAGAACACCTTTGCTCACCAGCTTTTCTCTCTGCCATCTAGCTGAGCAGCGCCAGTTGGTCCTAGCTGAGAAGTACAAGGAGCTGAAACGCAGCAAGAAGCTGGAGAGTTTCTTGAGTCGAAAGAGACGTCGAAATGCAGGCAAGGACAGAAGACATCTCCCTTTGAGCAAAGAGTAATAAGGAGCTGTCTTCTGTCTGCCACTGTCCCAGGGAGGCTTGAATCTATGGGGACAGACTTGGAGTTGGCCAGTTCTCCTGGTTCTTGTTCAAAAGCAAGGATCACAGCTGCCCTTGAATTAGGTTGGCTCAAGACTAGAGGGCTCTTGGACTTCCCCTCTACAGCTGAACAACAACTGTAGGTCAGCCTGCCATGCCACACTGCCTCTGCTTGGATCTGGTTCATCACGTTCTCATATCCTTCCATCTTTGCCTTAAACCAGTAGAGAAGAAAAGGGGACATGGAATCTGTTCATGGTTCCAGGGCTGGGACTTCATATAGGAGCCACTTCATAAACTTCTTGTTACTCATCTTTTTATCATTCTGCTTATTTATTGGAGACCTAGAAGTGCTGTTTTAGTGGGCTATATACAAGGGTGAGCAACCAAGCCTAAACCTTTTGCAAAGGGGGAGGTCTGATCAGAGATCCCTCCTACTTAAATCTGGACCATGAAAAGATGACTTGATCATTTAAAGAGTGAACCAGTCCCATAACTCACTTGGCTTTGGATACAGAAGTAAGAGGTGTTGTGTTTTTTTGTTGTTGCTGTGACAAAATACCTGCCAAAACAATTTAGAGGGAGGATTTGTTTTGGTTTATGGTTTCAGAGATCTCAGTCTGTGGTCACTAGCGTCTGTTGCTTCTGGGCCCATGCATGGTGAGACAGAGCATCGTGGTGGGGAGCATGTGGTAGAGCAAAGTGACTCACCTCATGGTGGACAGGAGGCAGAGAGAATTGGGGACAAGGTGTATCCTCCAAGGGCCCCCAGTTACCTACCTTCCAGCGAGGTCCTGCCCTCTTTCCAGTACTTCCCAGTAATGCCATCAAATTATAAAACCCATTAATGGATTAATTGATTAGGTCAGAGGCTTCATGATCCAGTCATCTCTCAATAGTTCCACCAGCTGGGGACTAAGCTGGGGACAAACCACAAGTGGGGACATAAGGCTTTCCCGACAGTATGTAAGCACAATTGGTCTTCAGTACTGTTTGGGACTAGAATTTATATTAAAGTAGTCCAATTCGATAGTGTCTCCAGACTCCTGCCAGAAGCAAATGCAATCTTTTCTTGAGGATTGTTCTTTAAATCCAGGCTTCAGCTGGGTGTCAGGTGACTCACACCTGGAGTCCAAGATACTCAGGAAGTTCAGGCAGGAGCACTGCCTGAGCCTGGGAGTTTGAGACCAGCTTCAACAATGTAGTGAGATTCTTTCTTGTCTCAAAAAAAAAAAAAAAAAATCAGCTATGAAGAAAAGAAGTAGAAGCTGTATGTCTCTGGGGTGGGGAAAGATGTCACTTCAGTGTTCAAGTGGAAGCTGCAGTATAATTGGAGGTGAAGTGTAAAATGGTCCTCTCCCATGACTATAAGTCTAGGGCTGTAACTACCAGTTTGCCTTGCCAGGAGAGCAAAGGATCCAGTGCTACCAGGTCTCCAGCCTCATATGTCAGTCCTACTTTAAAGTCAGAGAATGGATTCTGGCTGATTAAAAACAAAAACTTGTAGGGTGCAGGTGGCTCATGCCTGTGATCCTAAGTGCTTCAGAGGCAGAGATAAGAAGAATCTCAGTTTGAGGCCAGCCTGGGCAAAAAAAGTGAGATACTATCTCAAAAATACCCAACACAAAAAAGGGCTGGCAGAGTGGCTCAAGTGGTAGAGTGCCTGCCTAGCAAGCATGAGGCCCTGAGTTCAAACCCTAGTACTGCAAAAAAACAAAAACAAAAAAAGCCCTGAAAAGCAAAAAATTTTATGCAACTATCAGAACCACTGAGAAGGCTGGAGAGAAGCCCCAGATGAGGGGAAGGGGGCTGGGAATGTAACTTAGTAGCAAGTAGAGTGCTTACCTAATATGTACAAGGCCTTGGGGTCAATCCCCAGCACTGCAAAAAGAAAAAAGGGTGTTGGGGGGGTGTTGGCAGGGATAAAGTCTAAGCAGATAAAAGGACTAAACCTCACTTCAAGCAGAGTATTGAGAAGTGCCTCACTGTTACCAAAATATACTTTCTGTTTTCTTGGGCTTTGCTCTCTAGCCAGGTCATGGTCACATGGTTGCAAGAAGGTGGGCCAAGGTGCCAGGATTTGGTCTTTTTTTTTTTTTTTTTTTTTTTTTTTGTGGTACTGGGTGGTTGACCTCACTCTCACATTTGCTAGGCAAGTACTCTCACTTGATGCACTCTGCCAGCCCAGGTCTAGTCTTTTACATGGTGGGAGGTGGACCTGGGTTCTACCTAGATTTGTGGTAGAAGTTTTCCAGATGATGCATGGTCAGAACACAATGTCTACTACAAAGCAGTCATAGCCACCCAAGCCCCTCGAACTACCCCTGTTGCCTTTCAACAAGGACCCAGAGAGGAGACATTGAGAAGGCTCAGGCTTTAAGCTGAGGGTTTTTGGTTCTTTTTTTGGTAATAGCCTTACTGAGATGTAATTGACATTCACATGTTATACAATTTACACATTTGAGGTGATTAGTGTTTTTTAATTTATTTACATAATTGTGCAAGTATTATCACGATTTTGGAGTATTTTTGACATTCCAAAAAGAAACCCTGGCCAGAGCAGTGGTGGCTCACGCCTGTAATCCTAGCTACTCAGGAGGATTGAGGTTCAAAGCCAATCTAGGAAAACAGTTCTCAAGACCCTATCTTGAAAAAACCCGTCACAAAAAAGGACTGGTGGAGTGGCTCAAGGTGTAGGCCCTGAGCTCAAACCCCAGTTTGGAAAAAAAAAAGAAACTTTATACCCTTTGGCAGTCACTCTCCATTTCCTCCCTTTCTCCCTTGCCCTAGGTAACCACTATCTTCTGTCCCTACAGTTTTTTTGTTTTTTTTTTTAAGAGACAGGATTTCACGATGTAGCCCAGGGTGACCTCAAACTCTTGATCCTCCTGCCTCAGCCTCCCAAATGTTGGAATTATCGATGTGCCACCACATCCAACCTTCTGTCTCTATAGGTTTGCCTGCTGGGGGAACTACTACATAAATGGACTTAACATGTCTTGTGTGTGGGTTTTCCTCCTTTAAGCCTCAAAATAGGTTAATTTCTTAAGGCTAAGTAACCATCATAGGATTTGTGGGTTATTTATTTATTGGGGGGTGGTGGATAGACTTGTCATGCCAACCTAAAGTTTCAAACCAGCTATTGGAATGTAAGGATTTGTTGCTGTGAGGAGGGCCTCACAAGGGGGTCAGAGTAACAAACTGCTGTCTCCTGAGTTATCTTAGAAATTTAGCCAAGCAGACGGTCTGCCCGCTAGAAATAGGTAGTCCTGAGGGCAGAGAAGTAGTACTTAGGTCCTCCTGGTACTGGTGAAGATGGTGGACTGTGCCTGAAGTCAGAGTGACTCTCCTGGATTCCGGCAAATCATCCAGGCCAGTATCTGTGTACTGTGTGCTGAAGGCCAGCAACACGGAGCTGTACTAAAGTCAGGAGTATGCAAGATTTCAGGGCCAGAGCTGGTGGGGTTTTTTGTTTGTGCTAGGGACCAAACCCAAGGCCTGCCTAATGCTGGTATGTTCTTCCTCTTTAGTCAGGTGTGGTGGGTCATTCCTGTAATCCCAGCACCCAAGAGGCTGAGACAGGAAGATAGGGAGTTTTGAGTACAGAGACGCTGTCTCAGAAAACAAGGCAGAGATTGGGAATATCGAGGTTCAAGGCCAGATTGGGCAAAAAGTGATTTCATCTCAGCAACAAGCTGGGCGTATTTCTGCACTTCGATACCAGCTCTACCGGAAGCATAGGTAGGAGGGTCCATGTGATCCAAGAGAGGCCTAAAATGTGAAACAATATTTGAAGATACCTGAAAAGCTAAAAGGGTTGGAGGCATGGCTTGAGTGGCCCTAAATTCAAACCCCAGTACTACCAAAAACATTGCTGGAGAGCTGTGGATGTAGCTCAGAGATCACTTGCCTAGGATGTGCAAAGCCTAGGTTTGATCCCCAGCACCACAGGAAAAAAGGAAGGAAAGGAGGGAGAGTGGGAGGAGAGAAAAGAATAGATAAGTAATAACTTCCTGTATGGGAATGGCAAAGTAGCTTAAGTGGTAGACTGCGTACCAAGTAAAAGGCCCTATGTTCAACCTCTGTATGGCCCCCCCAAAATTTTAAAACATTGCAATGTTAAAAAGAAAAAAATGCTGGAGACCTCTTCCATTGCTGATGAGCAGCAAGGGGTAGGGTGATCAGAGGTAGATCACTTGCCTAGGATGTGCAAAGCCTACCTCTGATGCTTAATAGGTTGAAAGAATGCAGTGAGTTCAAGTGTGATCTTAGAGCACAGCCCGTGCAGGAAGCCTGCAGGGCACTAGCAACACAGGGAGGAGTGCAATGCAAAAAAAAAAAAATCCCATTCTTTGTCTTCCCTACATGCTGGCCTGGCTCCTAGATCCCATAGCAGCTGGGCAGAGCCCAGAGAAGGGCAGAAAGCTCTGGCACCTAAGTACTAGCTCAAGTATAAAAGCAAGAGTAAGGCTCTGAACTCAAACTCCAGCGAAAAAAAAAAAAAGATGGCCTAGACAAATAAAAGACTGATTCTGTTACAAAGGAGAGGTACCCAAGTGACAAACTGTAGCAGTAACCTCAGTGTGCCCTGAGCCCACTGTTGCCCCAGCCTCCTGATGTTAGTCTGAACTCTGCCCCTCAGGGCAGTCATGGACAAATAGACTGCCATCTACTGTGAGAGCCAACAGCATCAGGGGACCAGTACTGCAAAGCAAGTGAGTCCTTTTGAGTGCTGTGGGGTCCCCCTGCCTTCTGTTCCATTGCCTTATCTTGCCTGGCCTTTTTCCCTTAGACTATTTCAAATCTCAGTTCTGGGTGGCACACAGTTCCCTGTTCAGCTTCTGTGTCCTTCCTTATCACGTGACAACTATCATCCCTGCCCCACAAGCTGGTCTTCTGGAGCTTTCTCTTTGTCACCGATGGGCTTGGAGATGAACTTTAAGACTCTCCCTCCTCCCCAGTGGCCCTGTCAAGATACAGAGCTCTGCCCCTGGCACTAGATTCCCTAGCCTGCCCTGCTCTGCCCTGCCTCAGTGTGGGAGGAGCCAGGGCATCAGATCCTAGCAGCACAGCAAGTCTTGCCTGGGGGCAAGGATGGTAGGAATTCAAGGACAGTGTGTGCAGCCCCACTCAGCAGTGGAAGGGTGGAGGCAGCAGAGGGGAGAGGAGCTTGTGGGAGAAGGTTAAGAACTGAGCTGCAGCTCCTTTCAGGACTGCTTCCAACCCAGACCTAAAAACACTGATGGAAGACAATCAGGTTCCTGGGTGCTTGCAGTGGCTGCAGAGGTCTTTTGTCTCTGTCATTCTTCTGTAGGGAAGGTGCCAGTCAATTATGTTCACTGCTGGGAGTGGGCAGTGAAAACAGACCCACTAGCAAAGTCTTCAACCATGTCAGATGCTTCCACACCTGTTACTCATCAGTACCTTGGGTCAATTCCACAAACAAGGCAAATGAAGCCCTGCTTGATAACCTACTCAAGTTACAAAGCACCTGGCCAGCGGCCAAGGTGGGCTTGGAACTCCAGCCTGCTAGGTGAAAATGTTTCTGACCACAACCTCTGGGAAGAGGCTGAGATCCAACTGGGGCATCTTAATCCCCTCCCTGAAGAGGGAGTACTGAGATATACTTGACCCCCCTCCCTTGCTCCCCAGTCCATCTTCCTCCCCCTGACAAGAGTCCTGGCATGTCAGGATACAGCCTCAGTGCCAGAAGGTTCCTTCCCCCACAGCCAGAAAAGCCACCTCCTCCTCTGCTTCCCCACCCCCATCTCTAGCAGCCATTAAACACAGGTCATTAACCAAACCCCTGCATTTTATTTCTGTAGAAAGCCCTAACCTCAGCTACCCCGGATCCCATTTCCAGAACTATCGGAAGGTGGAGAAACTCTGGGTGCCAGTGCAGGAGGCATAGGGCACACCCCGGGAGCGAATCTGCAGGGTGTGGAAGGTGAGGGGTGGGTTGGGCCCTGAGGAGCCTGGGTTCAAGGACTCAGTGTGGGGCTCCATCACGGTCACAGGGACTGCATAGGACAGCATTTGGGGCCGGTCATTATGGCGTCTCAGTGTGCCTTTGCCCAGGAGGTGCAGGATGCAGGAGAGGACGTCAGTGCTGCAGCATGCAGCCCCCATGCCAAGGCTGCTGACTAAACCCCTGGGAGGACACGGGCCCTTCTGCCAAGCCTCCAGCACCTGGTACCAGAAACCAAAGGGTAAAAAGGTCAGGGACACTGAGCCTACCCCTGTCCAGCTTCCACTCCAACTACATACTCCAAGTACATTAAATGCATCCAGATTTCACTGTTCACATACTGACTGGCTGCAGGGCAAACCCACTGCCTCCCATGGGCTGCCCCCTCCCCTCCCCCCACCAGTGCCCACCACTGCTTACCAGACAGACAAGCTGGTCAATGTGCAGGCCCTCATCCCCATGGGCCTTGAGGATTCGGACAACGAGGCAGTTCAGAAGGTTCCGTCTCTTCTCCAAGTTCCGGCCCTCTTCACCCTCAGCTTTCAGGTATGTCTGAGGTGGGACGAGCCACACGTTGCCCCTCCTTGGCCTGGGTTCCTCGCTGCAATCTCGAATCTTCAGCACCCCTGAAATAAACACTGGTCACTTGGACACTGGGGAGCCCACAAGGAGCCTAATGCTAGTGTAGAGCAGATGGCCCACTGCTCATGAACACACACACACCTCCTGGTACATCCTTCTGCTCCTGGAGATCCAAAGGGCCTCTTGAAGAGGTGAGAGGCCCAATTGCTTGATTCAGCATGTCCAGAGGAAGCCCTGAGAGCTCCCGAAGGCTCTCAACAGACAACACCTTAAGAAAAGAGAACACGCAGCATTCAGGGCCTTCCCTGGGATTGAAGGGAGGGAACAGAGAAGCAAAGAGGAGGGAAAAAGTGGGTGAGAGTGGAAAGGCAGAGGGGCTGGGCCACCTTCAGGTCATTGAGATATAGCAGCAGCCACATCTGCACTGTGGACACATGCAGGGTCTGGTCCCCAAACTGCAGCTCAGCCCGGCCCAGCCATGTCCACTGCAGTCCCTTCTGCAGGTCTTGCGTTACGGCAGGGTGGCTCTGACCTGGAGAAGTGCCGGGAAAGGGATGGGAGACAAAGGGTAGGAGAAAGGATGGAGCATGTGCCATTGGCCAAGCTTTGCCCTGCTGATGTCTGCAGAGCGGATGCATGGCTTCTGCATTTACACACACTGGTGACTCCTCATCTGAGATGCAGATCATCTTGGCCTTCTCTGGGCCTGTCTGGGCCTGGGGGAGCCATTCTGCCTACTCCTGTGCAGGCAGGCTCCAATCAGTGCCCATTTGTTTTAGGCAGACAAAACCATGAAGTGAGGAAGGACTGAGGCTCTCATCAAACTGGCTTACTGCAAGGAAACTTGTCTCCCCACAAGTCTGGGAGCACTTGAGGGCAGGGGCTGAGTGTGCTCTGTTGCTGTCCAGCCTAGGGATTAGTCCCCAGTCGACTGTTTAGGACTGACTGGGAAGGAACCACACACCCACTCCAAGGGGAAGCCCTTTCTGGTGGCCTCAGGTGCCTCCTGCCTCCATCTCCCTCACCACCCACAGAGATCCCTGAGGTCTGGAATCTGATAGAACCCCCACCCCCCAGCCAAAGCCCAAATTCCTCCCTTTCTCCTCATATCTGCCTCCTTTTCCCATTGCCTACGGGAGTCTTATCCCTCAAGACCATCATTTTACCCATCTAGGCTCCCAACCCAGCCTATCCCAATTCCAGGTCCTTTTCCAATAGCCCATCCTTTCCCCAGTCCTGCCTGGCTGCTCACTCTTGTTGTAGAACTTGGAATATCGATTCAAAGTGCCCCTCAGGTAGGAAGGCAGGCAGGTTCTGGGGTTCAGTGTGTGGCAGATGGAGGCCACAGGCCAGTAGCGTGGGGACAGGACGAGCACAGATACTTCTGGCATTGCCCCTTCATAGTAGAGGTCCTCATTCTCCTCTTCTTCCTCTCCCTCTGCCATGGCCATGGCTGCTGTTGCTCCAGCATCCTCTTCCTTCTCACTCTTATGCTCCTTGCCACTGGCCTCATGGTCCACCTGAAGGGGCACAGGGTTCTCAAATGCCCAGCCTGCTCCATGCTCTCTTCCTTCCTGCCTTCCCACTTGCTCATCCCTTCCCTGGTGCCCACCTGAATTTTCTTCTCTGTGTCCTCCAGCTTCAGCAGTTCCTGGTCGAGCTGCTGGAGCTGATAGACATGGAACTGGCGCTGCAGCTCCTCTGAGGTGCTGAGGCTCTGCAACATGAGCTGGGGGAGGCGGTTGGGGAAACAGAGGCCGATCTGCTCCAGCACGGCCCCCTCCAGCCAGCTGGAGCCCAAGCTCAGGAGACGGTCTGCCATGTAGTGCCTGCAACACACAGCCCAGGAAGATAAGTTTGAGTGCTAGCAAGGCCCAGCCTCCTACCCCAAGGCTCCTGCCTGACTGTATCCCAGACTCCCAGGCTTTGTGAACTGTCCCTGCCCCTCTGCCAGCTTACTGCCCCCCCATCTAACTCCCTATGTCCACACTCACTGGTAGTAATGCTCAAAGGTGGTAGCTATCTCCAGACCAGAGAAATTTAGGACAGTTTCCAGGCAGCGTTGCAATTGTGCCAGCATCTCCATTCCTCGAGCTCCCCCGATCCGGCTGCCCTGGATCCGCTGGTCAATGTGCCGAGCAAACTGCTCACTCACCTGAGTGTTTGGAAAGCACAGGAAAACCAGGACTAGGTGTAGAAGTGTACACCTGTAATCCCAATACTCAAGAGCCTGAGACAGGAGGATTGTGAGTTCAGCCCGGGCTACAGGGTAGGACCCTGTCTCAAAAAAAAACAAAAAAAGAAAACCATGAGCGAGTGAGCCAGTGGAGTAGGTGAGTGGTGAGTGGGAGCCACCAGGGGATGGCTTCCATCCTCCTATTTACGCTTTCTGGCATAGCTAGGATGACATGTGTGTGCCACTACGCCCAGCTCTGGAACTTTTCGTCTGGGTTAGCTTCCTGATCTCTTCCTCCCAAATAGCAGGATTACAGACGTGAGTCACTTGCACCTGGCCTTAAACCATTTTTTTAAAAAAGAAAACAGAGCCAGGCACGGGTGTTTCACGCCTGCAAGCTTAGCTACTCAGGAGGCAGAGATCAGGAGGATCTCAGTTTGAAGCAAGCCCGGGCAAACAGTTCACAAGATTGATCTTGAAAATACCCAACACAAAAAAGGGCTTGGAGTGGCTCTAGTGATAGAGCACCTGCCTAGCAAGTGTGAGGCTCTGAGTTCAAATCCCACTACTATAAAATAAAACAAAACAAAACCAGGAGAGAGCAATAAAGTTGACATATTATGTATCAATAGACGAATATGTATTATATGCAGATATATTAGGACGGCATGCTACAGTCACGATTTTTTCCCCTACTTTTCTAATTTTCAATAATAACATGGTTATATAGAAATACATGTGTCACTGACACATGAATAGACGTGAGCCATTTTGGGGAGGCAGGGAAGGGATACTCTGTGGGGAGAAGCCCAGGTGAGGTATGGACAGGAGCTTACATGAGCAGCTCTGAGAAAAGGGAGCTTCAGCAAGGCACCAGCACAGCCATTCTGCAGCGCCTGTAAGAAGGCTGCCCTTGGCCCAAACAGCTCAGAACTTGACTTCTGCAGGTTATAAAATTGCTCGCAGTAGCGGGGCACAAAGTCGTCATCCCGCCAGGAGGAGGTCAGAAAGTTATTCACCTGGAAGGAAGAGGCAGGAGCACGAAGTGCCACCCAATATGCCACCATCACGGTGACCCCTCAACCCCACACCTGCTCCTGCCCACCTGCTCCTCCACCACGGCCTGCCAACAGCGGGTCAGGTTTCTCATGATACTGCTTGGAAGTCCCCGGATGGACAAGGACCTCCAGTCATGGCTTCTGGTTCTGCCGTCTGTGGAGAGAAAGAAAGTAGCAGAGGAAGAGGGGCAGCCTCTCAGCAAATGGGAGGGGGGGCGGGACAAGGCCTTTGTCATCCCCCTCCCTTACCTCTCCCACCTTTGTGGGGCGACACAAACTAGAAGATGGACACGGTGGGTACGTGGGGAGGGAAGGGTGAGGAGGGACGGAAGCTTATGTGTGAGCAGGGGCCCAGGGAAACACTCCTAACCAGATTTCTTCTGGGACCCCCAATACTCACTGGGCTGAGGGGTGGCCACCACCGGAGGGGCTGCCTCACAGGGCTCCACGTGCACCAGCAGGTGGGTGAGGCGGCGCACCCGTGAGGAGAAAGCTGCCGCACGACTCTGGGGGTTCTGAGCAGCCTCCCGACACTCCAGGTACTGGTCCAGCAGCCAGCCCAGAGGGCTGGTGCCGTCCTCATCTGGAGGTTGAAAAAAGTAAATTAAGGCATGACTCTTCTCTAGGGAAGGGGTAGAGACTAGGCTGGATGGAGGTGTAGATGAAGAACAACTGGACAGAATGACATGGGGAGAGGGGGCAGCCCTGGGCTGGTCCCTGGCTGGGAGAACTGGAGACTAGGGCGACAAACACAGGGTCTAAGAGAACCGAAAACATTGACTCAGGTAGTTAATGTCAATTAACTGGGAATAATGACGAGGAGCAGGTTAGCATGGCCAGGGTGGATGGTTACCGGGACAGGTGATGTTCTGCACGAGGGGGCTGACCAGGGCCTCCCAGCAGGTCTTGCCCAGTGCTTGGGCAGCCTCGTCGTCAGGGAGGAAACGATCAGCAAAATTCTGCTCCTGACGCAGAGCCCCATTGAGCCTGGGGAGGAGGATGGAGGAGAATGCAGGACAGTGTCAGGGCTCATGGACTGAGGTGCTCAGTGCCCACCCAGCCGGCTCATCCCCAGCACCTAGCCCAGAGCCCCACTCAGTATTTCAGAAGTGCCCTGAGTCACCATTCCCAGGACAGCACATGGGGAATCTCTTTTATTTTTTTCTTTCCCTCCCTAGGCAGATTAAAACCCCACCTCACATACTCCCGAGAACCCCGTCCACTAGCCATCTGTGATAACCTGGTGTCACATAGACGGGCTCACAGGGGTTCTCACATACCTAGAGCTCAGGTGCAGGAGACTCCTACGGTCCTCTGCTATGTCCTGGCTCCAGGCCTGCGCCCGAACCATGTAGAAGAGGCGTGTGTGACGACACAGTTGCTCCCGGAACACTGGCCAGAAAGTGGGCTTGGGACCCAAGACTTCCAGCCCCCGAATTCGAGTGTCAATGCCACCCTGCAATGACCATAGGCGCACCCTCTTCAGGACAGATTGAGGTTGGTTATGCTCTCAAGCCTGGAGCTGCCAGAGACCCAAATTCAAGGTCTGCAAAAGTGTCGGGACTTAGGGCTGGAGTGTGGCTCAGTGCCACAGCACTTGCGTAGCAGGCACAAGGCCCCGGGTTTGATCCCCAGCACCAAAAAAAAAAAAAAAAAGGTGCCAGGGCTTAGACACCCATACCCAGGAGCCACACCACAACCGTAGCCCCACCTGCTGGCAGCGTTTTATGCGGATCTGGATGATGGGCCAGAAGCGAGTCAGGTTCTCCAGGAGTGTCACCCGGCTGGCACAAGGCATCACATTTACCTGGTGAGGCGCAGAGGGGACAGTCACCTCCACATGTGTGCATGGAAGTTTTGAGAGCACCCACTTCAGCTCTAAACCCCTTACCATGTCCTTCCCTTCTCTACCCCGGGACATAGGGTTCCTGACAAAGGGGACTTAATGCCACCCCTACTGCTATGGGGCTGATTCCATCACACAGCACAGGGATAAAGGACTCTACTCTCTCTGAGGGCTCCAGACAGGTAGGAGGGTAGGAGTTTAGGGTCAAGCAGAAGGGCAGATCCTGCACAGGGGCCCCTACCGAGTTGAGTTCTGTGTTAAGAGAGCTGGTGCTGTCGCCCCCGCACACCACCACCCGAGCCGGCATGTAGCTTGAGTCCTCCCCGGCCACCAGCAGAGTCAGCTGCCTGGAGTGGGGAGGAGGAGCTAGTGGGAACTGGAACCTGCCATGTCCATGCACACAGAGCCGAGGGGACTCTTTGGCCAAATTTGGAGCGTGGTGCTTCCCCAAGACGAACACAGAGAGGTCGTGAGCAAGCACAGGTGTGTGGCTAGGCACATGCAAGGGAGAAGGTTACCTGATGTGGACACCCTGGCGCATGTGCAGGGTGATGGAGTGACAGCCTGCACTACCCTTGGACTCCCAGTAGGTCTTGGGATTGCGGTCCGTCAGTCTGCAGGCCCGGTGCGGGTTGGAAGACACCTCCACCTTCTGCCAGCACTTGTCCTCCTTCACTTCCACGCTGGAGCCTGGGGGCACGTGGAGAGGGTAAGGCCGATGCCTGCTAGGTGTAGAAGAAGATGCAGGCACCGGCACATTGAGCAGGTGGAGGTGGGAACGAACCCTGGCACAGGTATCTGAGGAGGACATCAAAGAAGGGGATATTGATGGGCCGGTGGGTTCGTCTGTGGTCTTCGATCTGGCCCAGCACCATCTGCAGCCGAACATCAGAGAGAGGAAATTTGGGGAGGGACACAAAACGTACATAGAAGACAGTCAAACAGTCGGGGGAAGAGGGAGAGGGTGGGGAACAAATGCCCCAGGCTCACTAGTCACCTGCTGTACCCAGCTGCAGAAATACATCCCCTTCCCTGCCACTGTTCGGGTTCCATATTCTTTTGCAGCTCTGAACCCACAAGCTGTGCCCTGCCCTTCCTCCTGACCTGGATGCAGCCGCCCAGGATGTTGGTGGTGAGCTTCCTGTAGAGGTGGGCATGCTTCTCACACTTGAACACCATGTCCCTCAGCTCCTGAGCCAGCTCCAGCTTTCCCAGGTGCTTTTCCAGGGCCTTGGAGATGGCATCTCGGGCTCCCAGCTGATTGAGCACCACAGCATAGTCCCTGCTCACTGAGGTCAGGCGGTGCAGGAAGAAGATCAGTTCTTGGAGCACCTGGGAGGGGGTGTCAAGGAGGTGGTGAAAACGGGACAGGCACGGACCACAAGGCCACCCACAGTGGTAATATACCCACCATATGCTGGGTGCTGGGGTGCTGCAGTAAGCGACACAGAGTGAGGAAGTAAAAGGAAAGGGATAGGGGACACACAAGAGGTGAAGTTAGAGAACCAAACAGAAGCCAAAAAGGAAGAGCCAAAGGACCTTCTGCCGCCCTAGGGTTCTTGGCTACAGAGCATGTTGGCAAAAGGTGCAGAGAGTGACTCGGATTGCTCATTCAGGCCCCCAATGTGGGTACCTGGAGGGTTGGGAGGGGAGCAAGAGGGACTGGATTTGTGAGTGGACCCTTGGTGAGCCCACCTCAAAAACTAAAAGCTGTGTAACAGCCAGAGGTGTGGACTATTGGTCCCCACTGCCACCATGACCCTAGTTCTCTGTCCTTTTCTAGAACCTTCTGTGCCCAGGACCTCCTGTAACTCTTGCAGGGAATTCTGGTATGTGCAGCCTTCATTCCTAAAGGCCCAGTCAGAAAAAGGAGCCTCTGGAGCTCTTGTTTATATTTGCATAAGGAAACACAGGAGGAACACAAAAATTAATATAAGTGGTTAACAATAGCGGGGGTGGGGGGGCACTGACAGAGCACTAAATCAGACAAGAGCATGAATTCTCAATGTATACCTTGTTAATATTGTTTTGATTTGTGAGCTGTGTGAATGTGTTACCTATTTAAAAAAATAAAATTCAATTTTAAAAGCAAAACTTAAATCAAGAGTATAAAGGCTATGTCGTGCACTTCAAGCCTTGCCCAGGATATTTGCCTCACTAGTGACTGCCTTGTGTCCTATCCCTCCCAGTGTCTCTCGGAGAAGGGTAGGGATACCTCTCGGTCAGTGTTGGGGGACCGCAGGCAGGCCATGCAGGCATCCATGGCCTCGTGCCAGGGGAGCAGCAGCGCCTCGGGGAAGTCTACCAGCTTCATCAGAATTCTGTGGGGCAAGGGCAGGAAGGGAGAAAGATGTGCAGCTGGCCTGAGGTTCCCTTTGCCCCAACCCTCACCAGCTCCTCACCTCAGCACAGTCAGGTGCAGGGTCTTATTGGTGGCTGGAGTGTCAAGGCTCTGCATCAATTCGAGGAAAGGCTGGGGCTGCCGCTGGAGCTGCAGCAGGCAGGACTTGACCTGGCTCTCCAGGGGCCCCTCTGAGCCAGAGCCAAGGGCTTGCTCCAAATCTACAAGGAGTTTCCCAGCAGGACCCAAACCCTCCACCAGAGACTTCAGGGCAGCACTGGGGCTCTGAGAGGGGGGTTCTTTTGCTACAGGAAGAGAGGCATGGCAAGAATTGGCCATGTTAGTGGTGCAAAGCCTCAGAAAAAAGACAGATTCATCTTTTTTCTAGTTTCTCCTAAAAATGATTTTGATGTTTTCTTTTATACTTGTTTATTTTTGCAGTACCAAGGTTTTAAACTCGTGCTTGCTAGTCAGGTGCTCTATCGCTTGAGCCATGTCTCCAGCTTTTGCCTCCAGCTGTTTTTTTTTTTTTTTTTTTTTTGGTGTTAGGACTAAATCCCTGGCCTCTGATTTTTCCTGTCTTCCTCAAAGTTAGTTTTGAAAAGCTCAGAACATCTCTTACTATACTTAGAAGATAGCTCCATGATGTTATTTGTTTCTTTGGTGGGACTGGGGTTTGAACTCAGGGCTTCACACTTGCAAAGTAGATGTTCCATGGCTTGAGCCACACCTCCAGTCAATTTTGCTCTGGCTATCTTGGAGATGGGGGTCTCAAGAACTATTTGCCTGGGCTGGCCTCAACCAGCAATCCTCCTGCTCAGCCTCCCAAGTATCGAGGTACCTAGGATTTACAGGGGTGAGATCTGTGCCAGACCATGACTTTATAATCTTAAAATGACAAAGTAGCTTTCTGTCTGCAAACAGCAGCGCATACAATAGGGCCAAGCATATGGTTCATGTTTGTAATCCCAGCTATCCAGGAGGCAGAGATGAGGATGACTGTGGATGGAGGCCAACCTGGTCAATGAGTCCCCCATCTCAACAAAAAAGCTGGGTGTGGTGAAGCATGCCTGTCATTCCAGCTACCCAAGAGAGTTTTGAATAGTGTGAACATGATCCAGGTCAGCCTAGGGAAAATACTTGAGACTCTACCTGAAAAATAACTAAAGGGAAAAGGGATGGGGGCATGGCTCAAGTGGCAGAGTGCCTGCCTAGCAAGCAGGAGGCCTGAGTTCAAAGCCCAGTACTGAAGGAAAAAGAAAAAAGCATACAGGTATGGTAGCACATGCCTAAAATCCTCAAATTCAAATTCCACCATTTAAGAGGTGGAGGCAGGAGGACCTGGGCTACATATTGAAACACTGTCTCAAGAAAAAAAAAAACAACCATATATATATATATATATATATATATATATATATATATGTGTATGAGTGTATATATATAAAATAACTTGCTTTTCTCTACCTGTTCAAATTTTTTAAAGGCTTCATAAATCTGTTACTGTTTTCTAACCTTACATCACTATTCTTTCTTTTTTTTGTGTGTTTTTTTTTTCCTTTGGTGGCACTGGGGTTTGAACTCAGGGCCTCACACTTGGTAGGCAGGTGCTTTATGGTTTGAGTTACTCTCTGCCAGCTTGTTTTGTTTTTTTGAGCTGGAGTTTCCGATGTTGCCCAAATGGAACTTCTGGGCTCAAGAGACCTCTTGCCTCAGTTTCCTGAGTAGCTGGACTACAGGGATCAGCACTGAGCCCAACTTTCCTACTTTACCCTCTTAAGTTTCAGATTCTTGCTAAGGTGCCATCTCTTCCAGATGAGATGGCACAATAGTCAGTAGCGTGAATGCCCTCCCACAGGCAGGTCTGCTCAGCTGCCATCTGCCTGGCACCCACCTTCCACTCTGGCTGCATCTTCTGATTCCTGGGGCTGGCCCTGGGCTCTCGGCAGGAGCACATCTTGCTGGGCTTCTAGAAGGGTTGGATGAGCTGGCTGCCCTGCCAGGGCCTCGGGCCCATACTTTCTGTAGACATGGCAGTTGAGCAGGTCCCTGAGGGCACTGTCATCAAGTTGCTGTGGCAGAGTCAATAGCAGATCCTGGACCAGCTCAATGGGCACAGTCAGCTCAGCCAGGATCTCCTCGTCCAAAATGTGCTGTCAAGGAGAAACTTACTGCAGGCAGCCCTACGGGGCAGACTATGAGGGTGGGGATCTCCCTACACACACATCCTCCACTTTCAACTTCTCATGGGTGACTCCTCCCAAACAGCCCACCATCATGGGCACTGCCGAACATTCTAGAACCCTCCGGTGACCCCTTATGCTATCTGACCTTCACTTCCCATCTGGAGCCTTCCAAATACTTATTACAATTCAGCCCCAACAGCAGTGTCCTCTAGCCCCTGAGTGCCTACCTCCCCATCCAGGTTCTCCTGTAGGAGCTGGAGAACCCCCTGACGGTCAGGTCCATCCAACTTCTTGATGAAAAAGAGGAGCTCCCACCACTCGGCTTGGGTCAGGTGTTCACTCTCCTCAGTGTCCTCATCCTCAGGCAGCACATAAGGCACAGCATAGAGCTCAGTCATGGGCTTCCAGCGCCAGGAGGGCAAGGCTGTGGAAATGGGCCATCACACAGCCATGTCACTGTCCAGCCAAGCCACTGCTCCGCTGCTCAGGGCTGAGCCCTGCTTCCTCTTGGAGCTCACCTCTGCCCAGAGCTCCACTGACCACTGCCCCCTGGTACTCATCAGCCTCAACCGCATCCTCAATGTCTTCCTCAAAGCCCAGGATCTCCAGCATGTGCCAGTGTACCCAGTAGGTGCGGCCTGTCGACTCCCACAACACCTGAAGGATAGGGAAAATCAAGGACAGGGAAGAGAGGGATGGCTGATTACTGACTGTGGGCCTAATAACTTGGAAACATAGCCTATGGGGTGACCACCTGGCCAGGCTGGGAAAGACCTCCAAAGAGCCAAACAGTGGCATATGGAGAACACACACACAAAGGGCACTGCTTCTCCTCTCACCCTACACGATGGCATATGCCTCTCCACTTCCACCTGGCCTCAGGCACCCTAGAGCCCTGATTCTGTCTCACTCCCCCAAATGGTCCCCTTTTACCATCTTCATCTTATTGACCCTTTTCTCCTTGGGTGGCCCACCAGAGCCCCTCAAACGGAAAGTCTGGTGAAGCCCCACCCAGAATAAAGATTCTCAGTAGTGCCTCACCTGCACGGGGGGCACTCCACTATTGCTCTGCCGGAACTCGCCCTCATCCCCTCTACTGATCTCCTCATAGTCATCCAGCATTCGTACTCGCATCCCTGGCTGCAGCATGTCCCGCACGTATAAGGCATAGGTGTTGCCGCTTGCGAACTCAGTGCGAGGGCGAAACCGTCTTGACCTCTTGAAGGAACGCTGGGGCTGGGAGGGTGGGAGCCGTGGGCTGCTATCTGCAGGCTGAGGCTGGAAGATGGAACAGGGGGACCGAGCCGAGCTCCCTGGTCTGGTCGAAGCCCAGTCCCAGCGCATGGCCTGCACCAGCTCGGAGATCAGGGTGCCCATGGTCATACTGAATTCCAGCTCCAACCGGCCCCTCTCCACACTCAACTCCTCAGGAGCAGAGTTGTTCTGGGCTCCTGGCTCCCCAGCACTGTCATTCAGTTGATCCAGCAGGGAGGTGACATGCAAATAGCGTTTCACAAGGGAGAAGAGCAGCCTTCCTGGGACCTGTGGGATACAACTGATGGCTTTTACCCATCTTGCCTCAATCTTAGCCCATCTTTCCACAGCCTACAGTGACAGATGCAAAGGCCTGGTCCTTAGATCTTGCTTACAGCTTCCCCCACCCATGTCCCCACGAGATACCTGAGGCAGTTGAATACCCTCGAAAGACATGGGATGTTCAGAGAGAGTGGCCTGTGCAAATAGTGCTAGCAGCGCACAGCGGCTGTCAAAATCCAGGTGTTTCTCAATGGCCTCTTGTTGGCTCAATGACAGAAGGATCTGGGTCCGGGTGCCTGTAACCCACACCCCAATCAGTAACTGCTCTCTAACCTCGCCCTTCCCAGGCATCCGCCCCAGACTTTCTACTTACTCAGTGACAACCCTTTGCTACCACTCAGTGGGAATGACATATTTTTTGATTTACTTCAAAAGCCAAAATTTACTGTTGCACGCACGCACACACACACACACACACACACACACACACAATCTGCAAAAGTCTAAACTCTAAAAGGTTCTTGCAGATTCAGTTTTTCCTCTTTGTGCAGTGATACCCCCACCCCACACCCACCTCCTTTTCTTCCAACTATAAGAAGGGTAACAGAATCGTTTACGTACTGATGAGGTCAGAGGCTCCTGCCACAGTGTCCTGTGAGTCCCTGAGCCGACCCAGCCCCTCTCCTGCTCTCCCTTCCTCCCCAAGCTGCCCCTCACCAGCATCATGGGAGGACAGGGCTTGTATCATCCGGCCTGCACTCCAGCGAATCTGGTAGTCAGGACTACTCAGCATGTGCATGAGCAGGTCCAGGACTCTTGGGTCTTTGAAGACCCCAGTGAGGGGCTCGATGCTGGCATAGGCACTGAGCACATGGACAGTGTGAAGCAGAGGAGCAGGAGGGACAGTTCCCATACACTCCTCCAGCTGCCGAAGGGCCCTCTGAATCAGGGACTTCACTTCAGTTTCCATCTCCCCCAGCACGGCTTTGTCCAGAGCGCCGGCCTCTGCTGCAGATTCCTGGGAGGGCCCGATGACTTGGCCGTCCTCGCCTAGCATCTTGTGGCAGTTGGCATAGATCTCGTCGTCAGACATCCACAGCAGGATGTGCTCAGCCTTGCAGTCCACTTGACCAGATCCCCCTTCCCCATCATCTCCGCGCTTGAGGATGAGCCAGCGGATCTGGTACTCAGGATGCCCGTCATGGCCCACCCGCTGGCGGATCAGCTCCTCAGGATAGGCATGCAAGCCAGGCCCCAGGGGCACCCTGAATTCCCTGTAGCGGAGTTCTCCCACCATCCTGGCACCTGAGACACACAAGAAAAAGGGAATAGGCAAGCTAGAGTAAGATGGAAGGTCAGAAAATCAAGGGCATCCAGGAGTTGGGGAAGCAAATGCAGCAACAGCTGTTGGGCTGGGTTGGGGTAAAGCTGGGCCAAGATTAGGCAGAGGAACACGGGGCGGGGGGTGGGGGTGGGGTTGTTCTGAGAAAACAAAATCTGGGGGTTAAAAGAAAGGTCTTCAAGGCTTGCAGCCTGGAGTGCATTGGTTTGCAGAAAGATGATGGGGCAGCCCAGTCTTGGGGTTACAAGTCAATCCCACGGCCCTGCCACAGGCAGCAGCAGCTCTGGACAGATGTGTGGACGCAGAGGGGTATGTTCAGGGGGTTGGGAGGGAGATCTCGAGTTTGTGGAAAGGGGTGCTATCTTTAGAGTTGAAGCACCCGATTGTGGGCAAGGAGACCCAGAGAACTGACGGTGGAGTGGGAGAGCAAGGCGTGATGGGCTGGAAAGAGGGGGTGGGGAGTTGAAGGCGCCCATGACTGGAGTAACTGGAGCAGCGGAGCTGGTGGGAACGCCTCGAGGCCAGGGACAGGGCGCACAGGAGACCCAGTGGGTGAGGGGCGCAAGGCTTGGCGGACCTGAGAAGCCCGGGGAGCGCGCGGTAGGATGGGAGAGGGGGTCTAGGCCCAATGAAGAATTCCCCAGCACGGTGGGAAAGGGGTCGCGAGATGGAGAGAGCGCGGGTCTCGGTGGGCGAGCAAAAGCCCAGGGTAGGGGGAAGGGGACCGCGGCGGGGCTCTGGCCACCTCAGAAGTCCGCCGGGGTCCTGGCGCGAGGCCTGTCCTTCGCAGAGCTAGGGACGCGGCACAGGCTCAGCCGATGGCGGCGACGCTGGCGCAGATTTGGGCCCCGCCTGGGCCCCCCGAGGGGGTCGAGGCGTATAGGCGGGAGGGGGCGTGTCTCTGCTGGACAGACAGGCGGGCAAGGGGTGTGGCGCGCGGGGACCTAGGGGCCGGGCCGCTGTCCTCAGCGCCCTTGCGCGTCAGCTCCGCTGGGGCAGGGCGGGATCTGGTCCCAGCGGGCGGCACCGTGCGCCCAGCTTTTGGGTGTGTGTGTGAGGTGTCTGCCGCCCACCCAGAGCCACGGCTCATTTCCGCCGGACCCAGCGGAAAGCTGGGGGCCCGGGGAGCGCGCCTGGGCGGAGCCGCGGGTGCCACCTCGGTTCCGTGCGGCACCTCCTCTTTTGCACCGCCTTTCCTGTTCCTTTTTGTCCTTCCTCCTGCCGCCGGAAGTGCTCATTTCCCAAAGGCAGAACTGGAGTAGACCTTGGAGGTCATTTATCTCCCCCTTTTCATACTGTCCTTGCTCTTCCGTATACCTGTTTGCTTCTTTTGCCGACGTCTGTACCCCCTCCCCTTTCCCCAAAAAAAGAGCAATAGAAAAAGACAGGGGGGGACATTTTATTAGAATTCAGAGATATCAGCTTTGGGCAGCAGCGGAGGGCAGCTTCACATAATTCTTCATGGGAGGCAGTGGCCGAATCTTTCGGCCAGCCCAGCCTCCTTTGCGGTGCCATAGTCCACTGTTAGGCCTCTTGCCCAGCCAGCGGTTCCGACCCGCTTTGCCAATGACCCGTTTGTTATGGTCCACGTTGGACACTCGACCTACTGTTGCTATGCAGGTATCCAGCACCTAAGCAAAAAAGCAGAGAAGGCATTGTGGGCGAAAGAGCCTGACAATGTTGAGAGAATGATCCGGGGTGGGGGTGCTTTGTACACTCAATAACCCAAGGGGGAGACGAAAAGCACAGCGGAGTTGAATCTAAGAGCAGGTCCTACAGTAGGAAGTGGGTGATTGAAAAAGACATTCTACTTGTCCCACCATAGTGCCAACCTGACAAGGCATGCTTAGTCAAGTGGCACGGGACAGATCCAGCTGGAGGCAACTCCTAGCATATAAAACACCAGGAGCTGTCCCTGGCAGGAAAGGTACATTCCAAAAATTCCTCCTTTGCCAATCCCTCCCACCTGTAACCACATACACACCTGCATCTGCCTTTTAGAGGGCAGCTGGATAATGGCGGTCCCATTGACCTTCCTCAGCAGCACACCGCATGTCCCTGGGGAAGGGAGAAGTAGCTTTGCCCCCTCCACAAGGTGGGGGGCTTCCGGGGGGACCATATCCTACATTTTGCCCTTTGCATGCTATGTTTTAGGTTAAAATACAAACAAATATTCTATGTTCCTTTTTTTTCCTTTTTTCCCTTGGAGTTTGAACTCAGGGCCTACACTTTGAACCACTCCACCAGCCCTTTTTTGATGAGTATTTTTGAGATAGGGTCTCACAAACTATTTGCCCAGGTTAGCTTCAAACTTCGATCATCCTGATCTCTGCCTCCTGAGTAGCTAGGAATACAGGTGTGAGCCACCAGCACCCAGATATGTTCCTTGTGTTCTTCTTTTCCTCCCACCAGTGGACCAGATGTGTACCCATGGATTTACAGAATTTTGATGTCAGGTACCCCTTGGCCTTACAAATTATTGGACCTGGGTAGCTTCTTTTCCCCATACCTGCAGCCCTGATATACTGGGCCCCTCGGCCTGGCTCACTTTCCACGTTGTTGATGAGGGTCCCCACAGGCAGAGCCCCTAGAGGATGTGCATCCCCTTCCTGAGCAGCAACTAAAAGACAGAATTTCATCAGCACTGGGATCTTTGAAGCCTCACACACACACATCTGGCAACCATTTCTCACCTGCCATTCGGCCTATATGGTTAGAGTTCAGGATTGTATCTCCTGCCTGCATGTTTTCTGTGGCAATGATCCAGCGTTTCCGGCTTCCCCCAGCAACCAGAGCTATGTCTGCTGACCTGTTCAGGATGATGGACAAGTAAACAGACCATCAAGGAAGCCCCTCATTTTCTAAGAATCTACATATCAGTCATTCAGACCACACCCTCACGGTCCCTTGTTCCAAACTTGCCTACAGGGATCATAGCGGACTATAACAACCTTCTCCTTGAACGGTCCTGGCTTGGTCTCCTGCTCTGGCCGGAAACGCAGAAAGTCAATCATGCGATAACGTTGCTTGTGGCCCCCACCAATACCATGCACTCGGATGCGGCCTATGGTCAATAAAGTTTGGGGACATGATCCATATCAGACTAGTTCAGCTCCCAGCACTGGGAAAGGCCTGTCTTGAGCCACAGAGCAATGCGTCCCAACATTATGGCACAAACAGAAAATGATAAAGGGCTGGGGATAGAGTTCAGTGGTAGAGGGCTTGCCTAGCATGTGCAAGGCCTGGGTTTCATCCACAGCACACACACATACACACACACAAAAATTGTATAAACTTACAAATGACTTTTCAAATTACTGAATTCAGTAAAGTTTTTTGTTTTGTTTTGTTTTTTTGGTGGAGGCAGTGCTGGGGTTTGAACTCAGGGCCTCACACTAGGCCTGCACTCTACCACTTGAGTCACTCTATCAGCCTTGTGTGTGTGTGTGTGTGTGTGTGTGTGTGTGTGTTGGGCATTTTTGAGGAAGGATCTCTCTATTTGCCTAGGCTGGTTTCAACCCACGATCCTCCTGATCTCTGCCTCCTGAGTAGCTAGGATTATGGGCATGAGACACCAGCGCCCAGAAGAAATCAGCTGAGTTTGAGTCATGTAAATCAGACTTAGATTTAGAAATTATGGAAGGGTATGAAGAGAAATGTTATAGCACTTCCCATTAATGGCAATTGTCTGTTGCTTTGTGGTCCCTCTTCTGGCTTCAATGATGTTCTACATATAAAAAGAGCTCCTCAATAAATGCTTTTTAATTACATGCCTCTGCCACTTTTCAAGGTATACGTGTATTATTATGAACAAATAGATTCTTTACTATGAAGTCCCCTTGCTCTTTCTCCCACCTGTGTGGTCTCGACCCCCAGACTTCCTCATCTTAATTGGTTTAATGGTGTACTTAGTATGACTCTTCCAGGACACAGACTTGGCACTAAGGCCAACGGAAGTAAGTACTGGCCGGCAATGGAGCAACGTCAAGGCAGAGGGCAGCTGAAGGAGTGCATTGCTCATCACCTAGGGATAAAAAGAAATCTCTCACTTAAAGGCTAATTGAAAGAGAAAACATCAGAGAACCAAGGGAGAAGGTACAGACCAACTTTAGCTTGTAGTCCACTTCCTCCTGGAAGTGTCCCAGACCAGCAGGTGAAAACCTCCACCCTTCTCAACTTGTATAAATACCAGTGCAAAGTGTTTATCCAGGTGTGTATGTGTGGATTACCTCTCCTCTTTGATCCTCTCACCTCTAAAGTATTTCAAAGGGATGTTCTCCCCTTTGTCATTCCTTCCAAATTTGGTTCAAGCTCTCTCCTCTAGGAAGGAAACCTTCCCTAAACAGTTCCTTTCTCCAGACCTGGTAAATTCCATGCATTATACCACCATCAGCACCAATGCCTGTTGTCCTCTGTACTACATTTCCAGTTTTTCACATACGAATGAAGGGTATTATTTGTCTTGTTGCTTACTGTATTCCCAAGTATTTTACAGAGAAGCTTGGTTTGGTTTTGAACTTTAAATATGAGGCAGGATTGACTTCTCTTTCCTGTGACTCACGAGTTGTCCACGAGGGACCTAAAGATACCTTCTACTGAGACTCCTATTTTTGCTATTCTGTATTCTGTAACTCATCGGGTTGGTTCAGCAGTAGGTACCATAATGGTTAAGTGTACAGGCTCTGGAGAAGAGGGGTTAGCTCAGTAGCAGAGCGAATGCTTACTGGGTTCAGTCCCAAGCACAGAACCAACGAGAATAACAACAAAAAGGCTCTGAAGCCAGACGGCCTGGAACCAATGGTTGGTGTGTGACATCAGAATACTCGTCAGTTTTCTCATCTGTAAAATGAGAATAACTACTACTTTACAGAGTGGTTTTAAGGAGTTCATTTGAAACGTCTATTATGTCTCGTTATGGTAGACAATAAACGTTAGTTACACCTGTACAACTGGTGATCTTCAAAAGCACTTGCACTCCAGTATCTCGGCGAAAGCTCTCGCCCTATGAGAGAGCAACACTTATACAGGAAAGCTAAGGCTAAGGGTGATTTTATCCAAGATCACGAGATTCCTAACCGAAGTCGCTCGCAACACCCACCTCCCATCCCCGGCTGCCCTCTCTCCGCGGGCCACACGGAAATAGTCTACTTCCCGGGTAAGGCGGATTACCTGGGCGGCAGGGAGCAGAGTCGGGACAGGGGTGGTAACGGCGGGGGGCGCCAGGCTCAGAGAGCCCAGAGCACGGGTCAGAGCCCACAAGGCCATAGGGGTGGTCCGGGTCCTCTGGACGCAGCACGCCTGCTTTTACTCAGGCTGTCTGGCGCACTCAGAGGACGTCAGCGTCCAGGCGCCGTCGCTCTACAAAAACCGTAAAAGTAGGCGGGGCGAGAACTAGAACCCAAGCGGGATACACGCTCTCTTTAGTCCTCTGAGCGTGTCCAAAACCAATCCCCGGGCGGCTCTAACGTCGCGTGACTGAGGAGCCGGCCCCGCCCCTCAGAGCCGTCAAAACAATTGCCTTGAGCGGCAGCCATGATGGACTTAAAGGGGCAGTACCGGCAAAGGCGGCAACCACACCAGCAGACTGCAGGTGAGTCATCGAGGGTACGCGTGGGGCTAAGGATTAAGATCTCCGTCAGTTTTTATTCCCGCAATTTCTGACAGATGAACAAACCCCTCTAAACAACCTCACAAAACTAGAGACTCAAAAACTCCGCCCCCCGCGATTCTTCCCCGCCCCTCTGCGTTCAGACGGACAGACAGCCTGCCCCGCCCCCTGCGCTACCGACTGACTGTGACCTCGGGTTGTGTGCTGTGGAGTGCTCTCCCGCGACGCGAATCGCGGCCGTTCGAATCACGCCTCCCTTCCCTCGGCCCCGGCCTATCTCATTCTGCTCCGCCCTGAGCCTCAGGGCAGGTTAGCAACCCGAGCATTCCTGAACTGCAGCCTCAGGTCGGGAAAACCAACTCCCAGTGCCGCCTTTCCCTGTGACCCCACAGCTACTCAGCAGAACCCCTACTCTGCCTGCACCATCAGGCACTTGGGAGGCACCCTAAGGTGATTCCTCTCCCAGCCTGCTAGTAGGTGATGGTGACAAAGCCATGAAAGTAATTGGGCCAGGAGTGACCAGGTCTTCCTCCTCACCCTTTCCCAGACACGCCCCCTGCCTCAGGTCTGATGAAATCGGTCTCTCACTCTTTTCTGGGGGAGAAAGTAACTCATCAGGCCTTGGTTGGGAAGATAGGGTGAGGAAGAAGGAGGCACATTGGTCGTCTCTGATGACCTACAGGCAGAAGGAGGGAGGGTGTTTGTCCTGGGTGGGGCTCTGTGCCAGGTCTTCTGGGTGGCTGTGAAGTGGTGAGAGAAGGGGTGGGACCGCCGGACTTCTGGACTTTGGGCAGGGCAGATCCTTCTGAATTCCTAGCTGCTACCGAGAGTTTCTTCCGGCCTTGGGCCTGAGTGTGCAGCCAAGGGCTCTGCTGTGTACACAGGTAAGGGGACTTCAAAGATGAGAAACAAGGCCCGTTTGAGGAAGTAGGAGGACAGCTTGAGTCCTGGAGGGTGGAAAGTTTGGGCTGAAGGTTAGTGGAAAGGGACAGGGCTGACCACGTTTGGAGATGCTGGGCTTAGTTCCATGAGTGACACAGCCTGGAGACCTTGAACCTTCTGGAGTCCTCTTACTGAAGTCCTTTAATGAAGGCTCTTGTTTTCGTCTCTTCCTTGTCTTCCAAGATTTAACCTTGAGACCTAGTCCTTCCTTTTTTGCGTGAAAATCCTGCACTATTTTCTGTGTAATTCCTATCTACTTTAACCCTGCTCTCTTTGAAACGCTCCCAATACCCTATAGTACTGTCACTTGTCCCCTGCTTCCTTTTTCTAACCCAAGCTCTGTCTCCAACTCCTGTTCTGTTCTGTTCTTAAGTCCTAAATTCTTTTGCTAGCTCTAAACACCTTTGTTCTTTCTATAAGTCAATTCTTTCCCCTCACCTTAGCTTTTGTCTTGTGTTGCAGGCTCTTTCCCTACTGGTCACGGTCTCTCTCCAACTGAGCCACAGGGACCCCATACTCTTGTCCCTTTATTTGGATCACCACCACCTTCTAACCAAAGTGCCCAGCTTCTTTCTCATCTTTACTCCTGCTGAATTCTGTTGTTTCTCCCTAGCCCAGGTGAGGTCCCCCTGGCCAGGATGTCAGGCCTGGTGTTGGGGCAGCGGGATGAGCCTGCAGGGCATCGGCTCAGCCAAGAGGAGATCCTGGGGAGCACCAGGCTGGTGAGCCAAGGGCTGGAGGCCCTGCACAGTGAGCACCAGGCTGTGCTACAAAGCCTGTCCCAAACCATTGAGTGTCTGCAGCAAGGAGGCCATGAGGAAGGACTGGTACATGAGAAGGCTCGGCAGCTGCGCCGTTCTATGGAAAACATCGAACTGGGGCTGAGTGAGGCCCAGGTGAGAGAGCAAGAGTAGTGTCAAGTGGTCCAGAGTGCATGGAGAACAACTGTCTGATTGGATGTTTTGGGTCACTTGGAATCACCTTGTCCTGAACACTTGCATTCATTCATTTATTCTGTAAATATGTATTAAGCCCTTACTATGTGTCAGGAATTCCTCTGGGCACTGGAGATAAATGACAGCAATAAAAATCTGCCATTTTGGAGCAGTACACAAATAAATACATAAGTAAATAAGTAAATGATTCAATATACCAGAGTGGTATAGATAAAAATAAATCAGGGAAGGGAATTAGGAGGTATGGAGAACAGGTACAATTTTAGATAAGGTGGTCAAAAAAGGCCTCACTGAAAATGTTTGAAAATCTTTGGGCAAAGATTTGAAGGCAGGGGAATGAGTCATGCAATAAATAGAGGAAGGCAGTCCTAAGCAGAGAGAATAGCAGATGCAAAGGCGCTGAACTGCATGGTGAGTTCAGTGAACAGCAGGGGCCAGTGTGACTCAGTAGAATAAATGAGAGGAAACGAAGCAGAAACTGAGTCTGAGGAGTAATGGGGAGAGGAGGACAGATCATATGAAACTCCTTGGCCCCCATAAGGACTTTGCTTTTGCTCTGAGAGTGATGGAAACTGTTGCACTGTTTTGAGATTTAACTTGGCATCGCCTGGCTTCTGGGTTGAGAATAGACTCTAGAGAGTAACAAACAGAAGCAGGGAGGCCAGTGAGGAGGCCATTGTAATAGTCCTGGTGAAAGTTGGTGCTTGGCCTAGGGTGATAGCAGTGGAATGGTGAGAAATTGGATTTAAGGTATCTTCTGAAGCTAGAATGATTGCTACCATTCCCACCTGCTGGCTCCTCTGTGCCCCTGCCAGACTGGCCACTTCCCAGCAGGCTTCCCTCCTATCTGTTCCTCCCTGAATGCTGTCATCTAGAGATTGGCGCTTATAGGATGTGCTCACCTAGGTGATGCTGGCTCTTGCCAGCCACCTGAGCACAGTGGAGTCAGAAAAACAGAAGCTGCGGGCTCAGGTGCGGCGGCTGTGTCAGGAGAACCAGTGGCTCCGGGATGAGCTTGCAGGCACTCAGCAGCGGCTACAGCGCAGTGAACAGGCCGTGGCTCAGCTGGAAGAGGAAAAGAAGCACCTGGAGTTCCTGGGGCAACTGCGACAGTATGACGAGGATGGGCATACCTCGGTGAGCATGCAAATGTGGTTGGGCTGGGGATGGGCTGAGGATGGGCAGCTGGGACTACAATCAGGGCAGTTGCCCTATCATTCTCTGGGGCCAGCAGCAATGCCCCACCTGTCCCCACCTGGAAGAATTCCTTTTTCAGACTTGACACCAACTCCAGGTGAGGGGGGAATCAATCTTGACTCATTCAATCAACAATTAAATTCCTACTGTGTGCCAGGCATTGTGCATTTCTCTGGTGTAGGGCAGACAGTTCCTGCTGTCATGATTATAGGTTTGTCAGGGGAGAGAGACAAGCATCTGGACAGTTCCAATCCACAACCCCAAGTACCACAATTAGGGAAAGCAAGACCTTCCTAAAATGCACTCTCAAAATGTGTGAAATTCAACCCCCACTGAACAGGCATTTGTGTATCTCTGTATCTTATGCAGTGGGGGAATATATAAAGAGCTGAGTGAGCTCCTGCCTTCTCGAATCTGTAATGTATCTGTAGGGAACTAGACTTCGCATGAAAACAAGTATGTGACAACACAAAGCAGCAAGCACTCACTTTGGATGAGTAGTTCATCAGTGTGGGAGGAATTCCAAGGAGATAGGTCCCTGGAGGCTGCAGTGGTCTGAGAAGGCTCCACAGAGGAGGCAGGGTACAGGATCAGGCAGCATTTATATGTTGGAGTGCTCATTTGAATGTGTTAGGAGTTGGGATGGATTTTGAAGGATGATAATGGGGAGGGCAGGTGTCATAGATAAGGCTCCAGGGCTGGAGAGATGGTCTGTTCCCAGAAAGTGAGGGGATGATTTGCACAGGACACATTGGTGAAGCTGGTAGGAGGGTTGGAGGTCTTTGTAAAAGGTTGCAGTTCCTGATGGGAAAAGCACATTCTTCCAGTGTATAAATAGGTTAGACAACAAGTTCAGAGTAAGCAGTGGCAGATGATGGGCACAAGGCTGAGCTAGACACTTTGGTTACGTGTCAATGAGATCAGACACACTTCCTCCCCTTGGGAGAGACAGGACAGACATATAATCAATGTAAACACATAGGAATCAACATGAGGCTGTAATTATAAGAGTTGAGTGGGAAAGAGGGAGACTAGAGGATGGGGGTGGCTAGAAAGGGAACTGTTCTGGTGAAGAAAGGGAAAGTCATGAGATTTTGTCCAAAGCATCTCTGGCTTTTACAAACAAGAGTGGTCTGAGCTTGTCTGGGCCAGATGCTGGCCTTTCCTGTGGACAGAGGCAGGAACATAGGTCTTTTCCTAGGCCCTACGTCTATCTCAATGATTTCGAGGCTTAGAGAGACCCCTGAAGAGACTACTGGGGCCTGACGTGCTGCTCCTTCCCTTCAAGGAGGAGAAGGAAGGAAATGCTACCAAGGATTCGCTGGATGACCTCTTTCCCAATGAGGAGGAAGAAGATTCCAGCAATGGCTGTGAGTCTGCCTCTGGACTTGGAGGGTGATGAGGGGCAATAGGAGGCTGGTCCCTGCTGTGGCCCAACCTGTGCATAGGATTCTCACCATCCAGAAATAGACTCTCCACTTACTCTGGAGATGGGCAGGGGCCAGCCTAGTGCTTTGATTTCTTAGCCTCCTCCTTACTCACCACCATTTATTAAACACTTAATATGTTCTGGGAATGCTGAGATGAGAATGTCACAGATCACACCAATAAGTTCATAGTCTAGTGGGAATGACCTTGGGCTAGGAAGAGCATGAGTTCTTCAAGAGAAAGAATGAAGTCTTCCTTACCTTTGCATAGCTGAACAACCCCTGGCTCATGCTTAACTGAGTAAATGTTTGTTGGATGAATGGATTATTGGGTGAACAAATGGGATTGTGATAGCAGAGGTACAACAGCAATGGAGGCAAATCTCTTTTAAGAGCGTGGTGGAGGGTGGCACAGAAACAAGGGGTTGGGTGCAGGGAGGTGGACAGCAAAGGGAGAGGAAGAGTCCTCTGAAGAACTGTCCTGTTCACTTCCTGGGATGGGTTAGTGTCCCGTGGCCAGGGCTCTGCAGCAGCTCAGCAGGGTGGATATGAGATTCCGGCAAGGTTGCGGACCCTTCACAACCTGGTGATCCAGTATGCAGCTCAGGGTCGCTATGAAGTGGCTGTGCCACTCTGCAAGCAGGCACTAGAGGACCTGGAACGCACCTCTGGCCGTGGCCACCCTGATGTTGCTACTATGCTCAACATCCTTGCTTTGGTGTATCGGTGAGTGCTGCCCTCCACCATTACCCAGAATTTCCCTACATTCCCACCTTCATCCTCCTTTGGCTTCTGTGCCAACTCTCTACTGGGTGCCTCTTCTTCTTGCTGGACTGCCCAGATGTAGCCCACACAGTGCTTAGCTCTTACTTTTTCCATACCCAAGCACTTGGCCTCAGAGAATGCTCATTTCTCAGACTCTTTGCTGTTCTAGTCTCTAAAGAGTTCTTTTCTTTTCTCTCCTCGCCTTCTTTCTCTTCTTCTCTTCTCTTCTCTCTCTCTCCCCTTCTCCTCCTTCTCCCCTCACTTTCTTTGTATGTCTCTGTGTGTGTGTTCTGTCTCTTGATTTCCAAAACTTGTGGACTTATTGGGATAGCCACCTGGTGTGAGTATGTCAGTGAAACCCTCTCACTGACCACACCAGGCTTCCTGTCTCCAGGGGAATCCTCAATTTCTAAATGCACCTCTGTTATCCCTAAGGGAGTGAGGGAAGGATTTCGTGTATGAGGAGGGCAGAGTTCAGGGTGACACCTGTTACTTTTTTTTCCTTTTCCAGGGACCAGAATAAGTACAAGGAAGCTGCTCACCTGCTGAATGATGCCCTCAGTATCCGGGAAAGCACTCTGGGCCGGGACCACCCAGCTGTCAGTATTCCTGGCCCTACCCCCACCCCCACCCCGCTTCCTCATTGCTCTTTTGGCCTCTCTTAGCTCCTCCATTTGCTGTCGTCATTCCACTCACTAGGGCTGCTTAGGAAGGAGGTAATAGCTCTGTCCAATGAGCCCAGTGGCTCTCAATTCTGAGACTCAATGACTCTTTCTTTTAATGAAAAATTTCCTGAAACTTAATTCATAGGTAATGTATCTAACCTATACATATGATTTCCAAAAGTTAGCATGATACAATAATTAATACAAAGCAAGGAAAATAATTTATACTTGTATACACTTAAAATACTATAATAAGCTGGGTGCTGATGATTCATGCCTATAATTCTAGCTACTCAGGAAGCAGAGATCAGGAGGATTGCAGTTCAAAGCCAGCCCAGGCAAATAGTTTGAGACACCCTATCTCAAAGAAACTCATCACAAAAAAGGGCTGGTAGAGTGGCTCAAGGTGTAGGCTCTGTGTTCTAACTCCTTTACCGCTAAAACCAACCAAACAAAAATACTATAATATGATAAAAGAAATACAATAATAGCTGCATTGAGCACAACTGTGTTGGAAGGCGTAACGAAATAGTCTGATATATAACGAATAACGTTTAGATTAGAAGTCAGAGGGGTGAGCCATTCTATGTATGAAATGAAAAATAAAAGAACAGAAGTATGGGTAGATATTTGATCAAAATGCAGTGTTATCTAGGTGCTGGTGGCTCATGTCTGTAATCCTAGCTACTCAGAAGGCAGAGATCAGCAGGATCATGGTTTGAAGCCAGCCTGGGCAAATAGTTCCGTGACACCCCATCTCGAAAAAAATCTTCATAAAAAAGGACTAGTGGAGTGGCTCAAGGTGTAGGCCCTGAGTTCAAGCCCCAGTACCGCAAGAAAAACAAAAAAAATGCAGTTTTATAATAAGTAATCACAGAACATATTTATATGTATAAAAGAGAGAAATAACCATGGTAGGTATAGTTTGCCAAGACAAATGGTGGATTGTTAAAGGAGAGAAAATGAGAAGTAATATATTTTTGGAAACGAGCTGACCGTGTGAAAATAATTCCCTATGATATGACGTGATGGGCAGGGATGATATATCTCAGAAAGCATAATTCCTACCTTGATATCCTACCAACATGTCAGAGCTTCCACTCAGTGTTTGAATGTCTGGCAGGACACTCAAAAGTTGGCAGAACTGTCTCACACATGCAGAACATCTGTAGTGTTCTTGTCTCTCCATTGGTAATAATGCCCTAATCTACTGCAACCAAAAACACACCTTCAGAAATTTCTCAAAGTCCCCCTAGAGGGCGATACCACCCCCATGGACCCTTGAAGCCATCTAATTCAGCAGTGTACCCTCCCAGCCTCTGGTTAGGAGTCCATGCCTCTTGATATTGTCTTGGTCCCTGCTATGTGGAAGAAACTTCAGATTCTTCTAGCCTTTGATAGGGCAGGCCTCTCTTTGCAGGTGGCTGCCACACTCAACAATCTGGCTGTGCTGTATGGTAAAAGGGGCAAATATAAAGAGGCAGAGCCACTGTGTCAGCGGGCACTGGAGATTCGAGAAAAGGTACTCACACCCTCTTTCCAACCATCCTGGATCGTCCACATTTTCAGCTGGTGTACCCCCTCCCTCTCACTTCTTTTTTTTCCAACCCATTTATCTCTGCCTTGTTCCTTCTTCTGTTTCCTTCCTTCTGCTCTCCACTTGTGCAAGCACATGTGCACACACATAATCATAGCCATTTATCTGCTCCTTTGCTCCTTTTCAGGTCCTGGGAACCGATCACCCAGATGTGGCAAAGCAGCTGAACAACTTGGCCCTATTATGCCAAAACCAGGGCAAGTATGAGGCTGTGGAACGCTATTACCAGCGGGCACTGGCCATCTATGAGGGGCAGCTTGGGCCGGACAACCCTAATGTAGCTCGGACCAAGAACAACCTGGTAAGGGAAGGAAGGAGAAGGTGGGTGGAAGAAGGAAAGGAAGGGCCACCTAGGCCCCAGACTCCGGAAGCATCATAATGGGTTACATTATTCTCACCAACTTTGTGCCTAACTCTAGAGCTGCCTTTAGAGGTGAGGGAGACACTTCATTCCAGTGGCAGAAGTTTCAAGCTTCCTGGGAATGGGGAATAACTTTTACCCTACAACTGGAAAAGGATGTATGGCATGGATCTCTGGGGGAAGTCAGAGACAAACTCCCTGAGTTTGGCTAAAATCCTATTTCCCTCCATCTTTCATTCCTGTGTTTTTTCCTTCCTGCTTCCCAGGCTTCCTGTTACCTGAAACAGGGCAAATATGCTGAGGCAGAGACCCTGTACAAAGAGATCCTGACCCGTGCTCATGTGCAGGAGTTTGGCTCTGTGGATGGTGAGTGGCCTAGGGAAGGGGCTGGAAGGAGGAAAAGGAATGCAGACTAAAGTTGGGTTCCTTTAGTCCAGTGCTATTGGCCTCTAGGTCCTGGCTCTCCATATACTATCTAGCTCTCTTTTCTAACCTCCCCATTCCACCCCATGTATCACTCTCAGATGACCACAAGCCCATCTGGATGCATGCAGAGGAGCGGGAAGAGATGAGCAAAGTGAGTGGGGGGACCCAGACTGGGGAGCCCAGCCTAGGAGCCTGAGGCTACCATGGCCTCTGTTTTGCTCCTTGCATTAGCCCAGATACTTACTTCCCACCCCAGCCCCAGATGCATAGCTCCTTCCCTAACCCATCCTACATCCTAGCCCAAATTCAGCCAGCCCCTCCAGCATCTCTGTACTCTCATCTCTGACTTCCTCTTCTACAGAGCCAGCACCATGAGGGCGGCACACCCTATGCTGAGTATGGAGGCTGGTACAAGGCCTGCAAAGTGAGCAGGTAAGCTGCCAGGGATGAGCAGTTTGGTCTCCGATGCCCTCCGTCCAAGCTCTGATCCCAGCCTCCTAGACCTTTTTCCTTTTACCCTTTCACCTTCCCTCAGTCTTAGCTCTGTTCCCTTTTCTCCCATTTCCTTTGCTGAACCATTCTCCTTGCCTTCCCTGGTCTTACCCCCACAGCCCCACAGTGAACACTACTCTGAGAAATCTCGGAGCTCTGTACAGGCGCCAGGGAAAGCTAGAGGCAGCTGAAACCTTGGAGGAATGTGCTCTGCGTTCCAGGAAACAGGTCAGAGGGGAGGGGAATGAGGTTCAAGAAGGAAAGACCTTGGGGACAAAGGACCAGAGAGGCTGATGGGGTGGACAGGAGTTAGAGGAAGATGAGGTAGTCTTGTGGTTGTGGTGGTTTCTAAGTGTGTTCTTAAATCCAAATCTGCTCTTTGTGGTCAGGATGCCAGGTTCAAGACTCCCTTCGCTAAACAGAGCTATAGAGGGGAAACCCTGGCCTTTCACATGGGTAGATGTGGGTGGTGCTGGTGAAGGGCGTGAGATTGAGGAGAACCCTGAGTCAGAATTTCCCAAATTGTAGGTCTCGCTGATTAGTAGGTTATGAAGTCAATTCAGTGTGGGCTGTAGCTAAAAAATGCATGTATGTACATACAGGAATGCATTGTAAATAAAAAAGATGAGTACTGCTCAGTAGTTGTGTACTGGGACATAACCAGGAGGGAAAAAAACGTTGTCCTTGTAGTGGCTGAAAAAAAGATTGAAAGCCCATCCTGAGGAGTGTTTTTTGTTGTTGTTTTGCTTTTGGTGGCACTTGGGTTTGAACCCAGGTGCCTCACGCTTGCTAGGTCACTTGAGCCACTCTTCCTGAGGGGTGAAGAAGTAGGAAGTCCCAGCTCTTTTCTTTTCTTTCCAGGGCACCGACCTATCAGCCAGACCAAGGTGGCAGAGCTGCTTGGGGAGGGTGATGGTAGAAGGACCTCCCAGGAGGGCCCTGGGGACAGTGTAAAATTCGAGGGAGGTGAAGATGCTTCTGTGGCTGTGGAGTGGTCAGGGGTAAGTCTGATCAATGCTCCTTGGTCTCTCCTACCTCTCCTGTGGTTGGTGGTGACAAGCTCTGAGCCTGCCTTTCTCTAGGTTCATGCAGGTTATGAGGGGTTGCTGTCCCCTTTCCAGTTAGCACATCTAGGCTTTTAATACAGCCTAGATGTTTTCAGTCACTGGGCTTTGGGAGGTGGGGCACATGTCCAGAATAAATGGCAGGAGTGGACTCAGAAGCAGTCCATGCTAGGCGCTGGTGGCTCACACCTGTAATCCTAGCTACTCAGGAGGCAGAGATCAGGAGGATCGTGGTTTGAAGTGAGCCCAGGCAAATAGTTTGTGAGACCCTATCTTGAAAAAACCCTTCCCCTCCACCCAAAAAAAAAAAAAAATGCTGGCGAGGTGGCTCAAGGTGAAGGCCCTGAGTTCAAAACCCAGTACCGAAAAAAAAAAAAAGAAGACAGTCCCCATGGGGTCCTTTTAGCTTCCATTGTCCATCCCTTCCTGCCAGGATGGCAGTGGGACTCTGCAGAGGAGTGGCTCTCTGGGCAAGATCCGGGATGTGCTTCGTCGAAGCAGTGAACTCCTGGTGAGGAAGCTCCAGGGGACTGAGCCTCGGCCTTCCAGGTACACAGTGAAATTGAGATATGGCAAAGCAGGCGAGTAAGCCCTTGTCTGCAGTGCCTCTTGGCCTCTGATCTCTGGAGCAGTGTCTTGGAGAGATACGCAGAGGAAGTCAATGGAATGGCCATGGAGAGAAACCTGAGGCAGAAAGGGGCGGGGGGGGGGGGTTGGGAGATGAGGATGATGTTGCTACCTGAGATGATGTGCCTGGTACAGATAAGAGTGTGGGGGAGTTCAGGGTTGGTAGGGAGGTAGTGATTTGATTCCCTGTGGCAGGGCCCAAGAGGCCTGCCACTTTAGGACCACTCAGAAGAAAGAGAGGAGGCCTCAATTCTTTCTTTCTCCATTAGCAGCAACATGAAGCGAGCAGCCTCCTTGAACTACCTGAACCAACCCAGTGCTGCACCCCTCCAGGTGAGTGTAGTGTGGTGAGGACTGTGGTGGTTGAGAAAGGAAGGACTGCTAGCAAGCAGGCCCAGGGGGAGTCAGGAAAGGAGGAAGAGGCTTCTTGTGGTAAGCCAGAGAACTGGAGCCCTTGAGGAGTCAGGATAGCATGCTGTCGGGGGTGGTAAGCACTGAGGGACAGTTTCAGGCCAGACATAGTAGCAAGTGAATCAGGAGGGGACTAGGAATTGATGCTCCTTAAACTGGTACTTTGGGATTATGAGTAATTCAGGAATGACTTGAAGATACTAGTTCCTTCTCCTGCAGCCTCCTTATTTCTCACCTTGGATACTTAGTAATCAGTGAGAAAAAAAGTAATTTCCATTTGAGAAATAGCAATGATATTTTAATGGAGAATGGCCTCTTGTATCAACTCATTCAGAGTATATGCTAGTATTCTTATGCCTCTTCCTTGTAGTTGCTCCAGCAGACTGTGGCCTTCTGCAAAATCCTAGCAGAGGCTAACCAAAGCCTCGGAGCTTGTAGTTGAGGTTACAGGTTCCATCCTAGGTCCAGCAGATTGCAGCTATGGGATGGATGGACCCAGAGAGATGGTATTCAGGAGACTAAGGTCCATGGGGTGATGGGTTGGTGGTGTCTTTTTCAGGGCTCCCGGGGCCTCAGTGCCAGCACCATGGATCTCTCTTCAAGCAGCTGACATTCAACCCACCCTTCAGGCCTGCTGGTCCACCACAGGCCTCTCAGCATTCCCTGTTGCTCCTGACTTTTTCCCATTCCAAGGTGGGACAGTGAAGGGGAAGCAGTGTTTCCGAAGATTGAAGATTGCTGCTGCCTGTAGGGTCTCAGCTCCCTCCTCAGGAACTCCCCTTAGGAAGGACCCTCAGGATACACTTTCCCCACTCTGGGGTCCTCTAGAGTAGCTGGCTCTGAGGCCCTCTGGGTGGGTAATAAACAGGTATGCATCTCAGAGATGCAGCCTGCACAGCTTTTCTGTCAGAGGGTTTGGGGCTGGCCAGCCAAGCTATCTTGTCCTGGCCTCTCATTTCCTCTCCTCTGCTGCCTCACTTCAGGTCCACATATTTCACATTTCTTAAATAAAAGAATCAGGTAACCTTTCTATTATTTGTCCTGATTGAAGAGGGTAAAAGCATGGGCTGTGTTGGGGCCTTCACAGAATGGTGAGGGCAATGATGGATGGGGCAACAGGAGGACTGTTGATTCTTGGATCTCTCCGCTTTCCCTCGTTTGTACCCTTTCCAGCAGGGCCTGGAGGAAGGCGTCTGGGGGTTGGGGAAGGAGGCCCACAACCCAAGGAGAAGGTGCTGTGGACTTGGTTGTCAGGGACATGTGGTGGCCATGTGGCAGGACCCTGGAGTCCTGGCGCCACTTCTCCTGCCTGTGAGGCCCTCTGTGGCTTCCCCTCTGCCTCCCAGCTGCTTGGGGGAAGGGAGGTCTAAACAGGCCTGGGGGGCCCTCCAGAGCCAGAGGGGGACAAGGCAGTATCCATCGCCTCTTGCATATCCTGGAGGCCTGTCAGCAGCTGGGGCCCATCTTCTAAAGCTTGACTCCTCCTGACCCGCCTCCTACACCCCTTGCTGCTTTCACAACAAAGAAAGAATGTGGGGGTGGTGATGCTGGGGGTGGGGGTGCCTGGAACAAGGTCTGTGCTGGGCCTCCCCACAGCTGGAGACTTGGCCATGCCCTGACACAGCCCAGACTGCCTGGAGATGGACTTGGGATGAATTTGTCTGTTTAATAGCCTGTGCCCTGGCTTTCAGAGCCCAGTGTATTTCTACCTTTGGGTTCAGATTGGTCCAGAGCCAAGCCAGACCCCAGCCATGCACTCCTCCCCACCTCCTCCTGCTACATCTCACCCTGAGCTCCACAATGTCTCCAGGTTACCCTACATGTGGACACCAAGGACACCCTGCTGGTCTGGGTCTCCGTCAGGATTTTTGGGTTGCTTTTCTCTTCCCATTTGGAGAATTCTGGGCAAACTGTTGGTCGGAACCTCCAGATAGGCCCAGAACTTACTCCCTTCTTCAGGGGTCAAGGAATCACAAGCGCCACTTTGGTTCTTCTAAATCCCTGTAGACAAACTAGGCAGTGGGTACAGGGTAGACTTTCCCATCTCGCCCAGGTCCCTCGCACACGCCTGAACTTTCCTCCCTCTGTCCCCCATCCTTCCTTAGATCCCTCCCCCCAACTGCGAGCTCCTCCCCATCGTAGCGGGGAGGGGGCGTCGAGGGGGCGGGACGCCGTGCGGCGGCTGGAGAGGAGGGGTCGTCGTTGGGCGGGGCTTGGCGCCTGCGGCGGCGCGCGAGGACTCGGAGGTACCGGGCGCGCGCGGCTCCAGCTCCGGACGCCTCGGGCTCGGGCTGCGGCTGCTGCAGCGGCGCCCGCGCTCCGGTGCGTCGGCCTCCTGGGCCCGCCACGGAGCGCAGTCCGCGCGCCCGCCGTGCGCCCTCCACCCACTTTCCCTGATCCCGTGGCAATGGGAGCTGCGCGGGGATCCGGGGCCAGCCCCCGCCCGCTGCCTCTGCTCAGCGTCCTGCTGCTGCCGCTGCTGGGCGGTAAGTCACGGCGAGCCGGGGGAGCTGGGCTTGGCAAGAGCGGGGGTCCCGAGGGCAATGGGGGTTCTGGGGAGGTGGGTTGGGCGGTTGGAGCGGGGGCAGAAATCCTTGGAGTGGGGGCGAGGCTCGCTGGGGGTGAGAGGTCTGGGTGGAAGGACGCAGAGAGGCTGGGGGCCGGGAGGCTGGCGAAGCCCCCGCGCACTCGGTTGGGGTCCCTCTCCCATCCCGCCGGCGGGGACGCGTTTCCAGCCTCCAGAGTTTTTCCCGGCCGGACCCGAGAGTTTGTTCCAGAACTGCCGGGAGTTGCCGCCTCCCGAGCCCTGGTGGGGAGTTTCTTTTCGGGGAGAAATGACCCCCCCCACGCCCGTGAGAGGTGCGGTTGGTGGCTGGCGGCGGGGCGACGGAGTGGCCCCGGTGGGCTCAGCCCAGGTGACGGAGGCCGGCCTAGGGCCGGATCCCCACCGACCTGCGGCGCGCAGAGCGCGCAGCTTTGTTACCTACGGCGGCCCGAAGCTCTCCGTCCCCTCCCGCAAGTTCCTGGGCAAAGCTGGGACCCCAGATGGCGGTGCCGGTTAGGGCCGAAGAAGGGAAGAATTAGGGGCTGCCTCATCTCCTCCAGCTCCTGGGCCGGAGCCCTGAGCCCATTCCGTGCCAGGGTCGAATCCCGGCAGCAGAGGGTCCCAGGCTGTCGCGGTGATTAATGTGTGAAGGCCGCTGCCAAAATCGGGCATGGCCGGCCTGCCAAGGTGCGGACGGGGTTTGTTCTGCTCCTTCCTGGATTTCCATCCTGTCTGTCCTCACGGAGTAAAGAAAATCTCTAAAAATCTCAAAAAAGGAGCACACTCTGGCTTTCTTGGAGGGCCTCAGCGTTTTGACGAGGGTGTGGCCCGCATCTCCAGGGCAAACAGGACCCCCTTTTTCTCCCTCCCCCCACTCCCCCGCAGCTTTTATTTCCTGACTCGATCACACCTGAGTGTCACCTCTGTGGTGTGGAAGTGCTTTACAGGAAATCGCCCAGCTACCCCAAAGCCCTCCCCAGCTTCCAAAACAAAATCTTCCATGGTGGTGGTCCTGAAGGCAGCCCTCTTTTGGCGCACTCTGTGCCCAGGGGACCTGTCCTGGCTTATCATTCTCCTCCTCCTTTGGAGAGTGGTTTGGAGAGCGAGGAGGGCAGGTAGCGAATTGCCTTTTCTGTAATCCTCCTGACCTGGCAGCTGTTGAGGGAATTGGGGGCTGGTCGAATGAACATCTCCCCTACCCTCAGTTGTAAAAGGTGAGGTGAATGTAACCCAGGAAAAGAACCTCCCCGGGGCATTACTAGGAGTTGTTTCTGGAATTGCCTTGTATTTCTTGTGATGTGTGTGGTGTTTATTGCTCATGGCAGAGTCTACATCTGCTCCCAGAGGAAGTATGGAAGTTTTTTTTTTTTGCAGGGCCAGGATGGAGCCTCAGCCATATGGGCGGGTAGCCTGAGAGCACAGGCCTCCTGGGTTGCCTGGTTGGGTTTTGCTGTGTGGCTCTGCCCAGTGTGGCTGCCTTTGCTGCTGATGCTGCTGTTTAGAGTTCTGAAATCAAGGGGAGATTCTGGTGGAGACACTCTTGCTCAACAATGCTAAATTCCTAAATTCCTTCCATGAGAAATGACTCTGATGTTAATCCAGTGATGGTTGTTGTGTGTGTGGCGGGGGTGGGGGTTTGTGAGGGGGAAGTTAGGGCAGGCTGAGGGCTTGGGACAGGAGGTCTGGAATCTCCTCTGGGGGCTGGGGGGATGTCTCAGTGCTCAACAAAGGAACATTTTAATGAGAGCCTTAAATCAGTTCCACCAAATGTGCCTCGGTGTGGAACCTGTCCATGTGCTGTAAACAATTTCAGACGAGGCTGAGGCGCCTGCTGTCTTGTAGTGAAATCCCTTGACTCTGCCCACCCCAGACGCATGACTTCAGGGGGCAACGATTTTTTAATAGATCACAGTACATTTTTCCATCTCATTGTTTAACTGTGTCATTAACTGGAGTCTAAGACCTCACTGTTAATAAGATTGGAGTTAGGGACCTCCTAATCTCCTGGCCAGGTTTGTGGATTAGACCATTTTGAAATTCAGGTAATTAAGCTGTAAATGGCTGAGTTACTTTCCAAACTTGGAGATCCCTGGTGTGATAAATACATCTGAGGAGGGAGAGGAGAAGAAGAAAGAGAAGAAGGCTTGACATTTGAAACCTTGGATCTTTTGTGTGTGTGTGTGTGTGTGTGTGTGTGTATGTGATTGGGATTTGAACTCAGGGCCTCATGCTTGCTAGGCAGGCACTTTACCACTTGAGACACTCTGCCAGCCCTGTTTTTTTGTGTTGGATATTTTTTCTTTCTTTCTTTCTTTCTTTTTTTTTTTTGTGGTACTGGTGCTTAAACTCAGGGCCTATATCTCCAGCCACTCCACCAGCCCTTTTTTTGTGATGGGTTTTTCAAGATATGGTCTCATGAACTATTTGCCCGGGGTGGCTTCGAACCATGATCCTCCTGATCTCTGCCTCCTGAGTAGCTAGGATTACAGGCGTGAGCCACTGACACCCTATCGAAACCTGGGATTCTTAACACCAACTACTTGGTCAGTTGTGGTCACTGTCCATCCCCATTCCCCTCCCTGGGATCTTTTCTCCAGGTTCTTGTTGCTTTGGGGGAAATTGAGCTGTCACATACTGGGATATGCTATCCTGCAGATTCCCCAAGGCTCTGCAGCCTGTAAATCAGGCTTGGGGTTAGCTTTTACCAGTGGTGGCTTTTCTCAGCTGTTGGGAAGCAGAGTGAGAAGACAGGGTGATCTTTCCATTACTTCCGGAGGATGTGGTCAGGCTCCTGGCTTTCAGAGCAGCTGGTGGATAGAGCTTAGGTTATGGGGATGAAATATTTGGCAGAGCCAACTCAAATTTGCCATGTGATGTGGACAGATTTCTTTCTTTCTTTCTTTCTTTCTTTTTTTTTTTTTTTTTTTTGTGGTACTGGGGCTAGAACTCAGGCAGGGCCTTCACCAGCCCTGTTTTTGTGAAGGGTTTTCAAGATAGGGTCTCGTGACACTATTTGCTTGGGCTGGCTTTGAACTGTGATCCTTCTGATCTCTGCCTTCTGAGTAGCTAGGATTACAGGCGTGAGCCACCGGCGCCCAATGTGGGCAAATTTCCTGACCTGTCTGTGTACCTCCTCTGTAAAGGTGCTTTCTTCCTGGAGTCGTGCGGAGGAGAAACTGTAATGAAGTATAGAAAATTCCCTTTCTGGGTCTTTCTTTTCCTGTGGTGTGCTTCTAACATGCCTTTCTAGCTTTACAATCGTGGTCAACATTTCCCACTTGCTGGAACCCTCCACTCTAGTCACCTAGCCCATTTAACCCTGTGGCCCAGTCCCCCATCTGACTTTTGCCTAGTCTCTCTGCATCCTTCCAGAATCTGTCCTTTCTCTCCTGCCAGAAAGTAGACACCTGCTCATCTTGGGACACCTTCCATATTTTCACCTCACTTGGGTCTTACTGAAGGTCTTTCCCTGTAGAATTCACTACAGTACCTTTTTTATAGTGGGTCCTTTTCTAGGTTCATCAAAAAAAGGGAATGAAGCTTTTGAGTATGGTGTAATCACAGGTAAAGTTAAATTTCCCCTTTACATCCTGGGAGTCTTTTGTGCCCTGTCCAGCTTCTCTGGGGTGGGGTGGACCTGGTCCACTGTGACAGAATCAGGGGATCAGATTCTCCTCCCCTGTTTCCTGACTGTTTTCTTTTGTGGTATTTTTTTGAATTTTGATATGGCAGGGTTTCTGATTTTCTCTTAGAGAGTTCTGGGCATGGCCACTGCTGCTTATGAAGCTGACTTGTCTTGAAAGGCTATAGCTGAAAAACTGGTGCTGAGGTTCCAGCTGCAGTGAACTGTGTACAGGCCTAGATTTTCTGTAATTTTGCTACTTGATATAACATCCAAAGCCAAATGACATCAGCATTTCCTGAGAGTATGAATCAGAATCACAATTTGCATTTTTTTGAGACAGGGTCTCAATTTATAGCCCAAGCTGGCCTTGAACTCAAGATCCTCCTACCTCAGCTTCCTCAGTGCTGGGATTACAGGTAAACTCTACTATGCCTGGTTACAAGCTACATTTTTTTTTAACCCCCCCTATGCTGGGGATTGAATCCAGTAACTTATACATACTGGGCAAGTGCTCTACCATGGAGCTACCTTTCCATCCCTACAGCCTGCACCTTAACAAGACCCCAAAGCTACAAAGTCCTGGGCTAGGTAGTCCTCTTTGTGTAGAAATCCAAGGTATTTGACTTTCCTGTGTAACAGTGTAACTTAGGGGCCTAGACTTTGCACAATATTTGAAGATTTGCTTTAAATCTTTAAATGTGTTCCTGTGAACACATTTAGGTGTGATGTGTACATTTAAAAATTGCCTCACTTTGGGTTTAATTTGAATTAGATTTTATCAAAAAATTTGCCTGTTGTAGAGTGTGCCTGCCTAGGAGGTTTGCAGTTTTAAGTGTGATGTTTAGTTACTTTCAGAGTCTTGGCTTAACCTAGAGGAGCGCGTGTCTCTTTTTATAAGGCGAGACATTGGAGAAATTGGTTTTTTAGGCAGAAGTTGGGTGGAAGGGCGGATGACTTTTCAGGAATACATTTGGCTCATTAAGGGAGGCTTGTCTGCTGGGCTTCAACAGTTGTCGCGTTGTTAGTGTTTGGAGCATTTCATATTGAGAATTAGGGGACTTGTGTGAGTTTGTGTTCAAGCCAGCACAGCTTCTGAGAGCCTCATCTGGGATGGAGGTTGGCTGGTTCAGGCTCTTAATATTTGAGCCAAGAGCAGCTTGGGGCCAGGGATTCAGTCTTTGGTGTTTTCCTGATGGAAGAAAGGGTCATTAAGCAGGGTTGGGTGTCCTTGGCCTGCGTCCCTCAACCTCCTTCTGCTCTTCCTAACCTCAGTCGCATGCCTCTCTGCTGCTGTGCCTCGGCATTGTCCCTGGCTA